CAAAAATGCCGTAGGTGGTCCTACGGCATCTGGGTGCCGTAGGGGATTAACGATCTCCTACGGCACTGCCATATCGTACGAGATCTACGATATCTGAAATTGTAGCCTAAAGCCTGCCCCTAGCTATGATTCCCGATTTTTCCCATTGCACAGGCTGTGCAATCCAGGATTTGAAAATTCTGCAATCTGATATTTCAGATCGCAGGCAGTAAAAATTCAGGATCTCAGATCGCAGCTAATTGCACACCTTGTGCGCTTCTGGAAAATTGAACAAGCTGGCTGCAGCTGGATTTCCAAATGCTTGTACATGTGCGATTTTTTGGACCAGATCCTGCTGCTAGCTATGAAGGGTCTTGCATGTCACCCACTTTCATAGCTAGCAGCAGGATCTGGTTCAAAAAATCGCACATGTATAACGATCTGGAAATCCAGCTGCAGCCAGCTTGTGCGATTTTTCAGATCGCAGCAGGTGTGCGATCAGCTGCGGTCTGAGATCCTGAATTTTTCCTGCCTGCGATCTGAAATCCACTCTGAGTGGTCAGGATTTCAGATTGCACAAGTATAACGACTCTCAATTCCTGGATCGCACAGCCTGTGCGATAGGAAAAATCGGGAATTACTTTTGCTGCTAGCTATGTTTGAAACTTAGCCTAACAGCAATCTCTGAGTCTCATCTCAAGGAAAGGTGGGGAGAGCCATCCAAGCATGAAGGATTTTGGTGATTTGACAGACATTTTCGCAATCCCTGCCCCAACTTCTGCATCACGGTGCGCAGGCAGGTGGGTCAAGTTCATGAGTAGGTGGACGGGCAAGTGGTCTGGGCTGGCTGGCTTGGACAGGTGCACAAGCATGAAGCTGACTGGCTTGACTGGCAGGTGGGCAGGCTGGCTGGCTGGCAACAGACATGCAAAGCAAGTGGAGGCCACACTGGCCCAAGTGTGTGGGCATGCAGGCTTGCTGGCTGCCAGGCATATGTGCCCACGCACACAGGCTCTCTGACTGCCTGCCTGCCTGCCTTGAAATAAAGTCTTGCTTTCTCTACCTTTTTCTCCTTCCCTCCCAATCCTGTCCAAACTCAGAAAGGGTCTCGAATATCCGTGTTTGTATTTCCCGACTTCCGAGATTGCATCACAAGCGCCGCTGGCGGCCGAGGCAGAAGGGGCGCACGGACGCCGAGTGGTTTCACATGCGGGGAGGCAGGTCCGTAGGTGGTGGAGGGCTTGAGCGTCAACCACCATCATCATTCATTCTGCACGTCTGAAGCATCGCAGGTGGCATATGTACCCCGCGAGGATGTCACGCCCTTCCCCTTCTGCCGGCTTTGGTGCCGCCTCATCTTCCACCTACAGCCAGCGGCCCACCTTCGACGCCTATGCGAGTCCAGAGGGCTATGGCCGACCGGCTCCTCGACAGTCTGTTGCTGGCGTCAAGTGGGAGCAGCCTCCCATTCCTCAACCGCCGCTGATTCCTCCGCTGGCCGCACTTGTGCGGTGGATAACGGAGCTACCGCCGATGGCCGAATGGCCCAACATCGCTATTGACCGAGTCATTCTCGCGCCGCTGAGCACGCTCCTCTTGACCACCCGCGACATCATCCTCTCGCCCAGGACGCATCGCATCGTCGTCCGGCTCGGTGTGCTTGGAGCCATATTCTGGACAGCTCTCGCCGCGGCCATCGTCAGCTACGTCGGATTCTACCGCGCCTGGGTCCCCGAGGTCGGCCTACGCAAGGATGTCTGGCTCCAGTACGGGTGAGTCGGAGCCTTGCACCACAATCAGCATGACGGCCAAGGCGCAGACTGACCCGCCACCCTCGTTGGTCCATGGCCGTGTGCTGCATTCTCTCGTCGACGCACTGCCGAGTACTCTCAGGCACGAGGAGCCGCCGTTCTGCGATCTCCGCTTCGACGGACCGGAGCTCGACGGACGTGACACGCGCAGTCGAGGAGACTTTTTTGCCGAAGACCAGGCCTACGACGTCACGCTGGAGCTGGGAGTGCCGTTGAACGAGGCCAATCTCGACTTGGGCAACTTTATGGTCTCGCTAGACCTCAGGTCGCGCAGCGCGGGCACCGTCTTCCGTGCTAGTCGTCCGACGCTTCTGACGCATTCGCCTGCTCCGGTCAGGGCCCTTTCGAGCATCTCCCAGCTCATCTCCCGCAACCCTCCGCCCTCGAGGTCGCCACCCAACTCGCAGATCCTCAGCGTGCCGCTCCTCCGCCGTGTCGTGCTGCGACCCTCGTCTTATGCACCGCCGCTTTCATCGGTGGCCGCAGACCCTGCAAGCGATCGGAAAGTGACCCACGGCCGCGTCACGGTTGGTCGCCACGACGCCGAGAGATACTGGCGCTACGGGGGAGGTGGCGGAGGCTACCTCCCTACGAATGCCGCCGCGAGACGCGATAATCACGTCTCGGTCTCCAGGGCCAGTCGTGGCGAGCTGCAGACCTATGCAGCAAGCCTTCGCTTCGACGCCCACCTGACGGGCCTTCGGTGAGTACTGTTCGACTGCGTGCTAGTCGATCGCAGCGGGCAGACGTTCTGACATCCGTTCTGCTGTCGCCGTCTTGCGGCTGCAGGTTTTTCATGTATCACTATCCTCTCCTGTCCTTCTTCCTCTTCACCTCGCTCTTCCTGGGCTTCGAGCTGGCCACGGCCCTGACGTTGTGGGCACTCGCAGCGATCTACACCTCGTCAATCACTCCGCTGTCACTGTCGCTCGAGACCGAGGAGCACTTTCAGACGGAACGGACGTCGAGACGGCGGGGAGCACACCTCAAGACCGAAGCCGTCGCATCGGACTACACGGGCGAGTCGGAGTCCCTCAAGCGAAGCGAAGGATCGGGCGCCGACGGCGACGGAACCGAGACCGAGACGGACGGCGAGATGTACCGCGCTTCCACGCATCGTCGTGAGGAAGGCGTTGCGCCCTCGCAAGCCCTGCCACGCTTCAAGACCGAGGAAGATGCAGAAGTCGAGCTGCAGCGGCTGCGTTCGCTCGACAGCCTGAGGGAAAGGGACGCGGCTGAGCGGGCCGAGGCCGTCCAAAGCGCCAGACTGCGCGATGCCGTCGAGAACCGGCGCATGACGGGCTTGGACGAGGGAGGAGGCGCGGACCTCCTTCCCGACGAGTTATCGCCCGAAGTGTCGCTGCCCCGGAGGGTCCTAGGTCGCCTCGACGAGGAGACAGAGGAAGAAACCGAGGTCGGAGGCAGCATCAGCGGGGAGAGTGCCAGCGTTTCAGCCGGCGAGAGGGGTCGACTCGTGGAGGCGGCTGAAGAGGAACGCTGGGAGGACCTCGAAGGTGATGGCGGCGCAGAGGCAGGCGTCGCGGGCGTGAAAGGTGAAGCCGCAGAATTGGCCAGCACCGTTGGCGGCGTGAGTAAGCTTTTGAGGCTCGCGATTGCGGCAGCGGGGCCAGTTGCTGATCATGGCGTCCAATTCATTCCCTATCCGCCCAGTCGGCGACATCGGGTCCGTCGAGCATCAGGTCGTTTGGTGCCACGTCGCTTGGCCCTTCTGTCACAACGCTTCAAAGCCGCGCTCCCACCCGACGGAGTGCCAAGGACGAATAGCGCACAGCCGGCTGCGCAACGCCCTTTCGCCCCTTTGCCCGTCTGTTTCCCCCTTTTGGAGACCGCACTGAGCAGCTTCACCCTCAGCGATCGCACAACCACCGCGGTGATGCCTGCGTGTTTCGAAAGGGTATCATTGATGTCTTTCTACTTCGTCCAGTCGCGACGCATTCGAGCGAGTCGCCGTGCGACTCTGGGCGATGCAAGCCAGGCCTTTCACCAGGCGGACCGATCAACAATGAGCCTGGCCAATTTGCGAAGCCGGTCCTCGTCCTCCTGGTCGAAGCCGTCGAGTGCTTCGCAATCGATGTCGAGGACGCCAATGATGATCTCATCATCGGTGCCTCTTGCTGCCCAGGATCGGTCTTCGGTCTCGGTGGGCGCCGAGCCGTCGTGCGGCGACTGCGCCTCGAGAGCCGCTCGATGCTGCTCCGACAGGCGCGAGCGGGATAGGAGGAGCGGAACGACGATCTCGGAGCGCGATAGTGAGTCGCATGCGATGTGGTTGGCTGCGAGAACGGAGCGAGGCGATGTGGGACAGGGGAGATACAGGGTTGTTAGCCACGCCACTCGACCGGGTCACTGAGCAAGCAGGCGTCGGTGCTGCTCACGATAGGCCTCGGTGTCTCGGACCCGGACGACACGGGGCGGCAGCAGGGAGCTTGCATCTGCGCAGACACCCTTTCCGGGGACGGAGAAGATGAGCTGGCAGGCGGGAAGGCCGACAAAGGGGCCGAGGAGGAGTGTGGGCCTAGATCTCTTTGCTCTCGAGGCGGCCGCCGAGGGCATGATGCCAGAGAGGAGGTAGAAGCCGGCCCAGTTGATCTTTTTGTCCTGCCATGCCGGGAAGCGGTTGAGCGAGTTGTAGATGAGCGAAGAGGCGTTGGAGAGCGACGAGATCCAGTCGGTGTCGGGGTCAATGAGGGAGGCCAGTGACCTTTCGAGGTGGTCGTAGAGGTCGGCTTTTGTCACAACGTCGGGCGGGAGGGCAGCAGCGTCGGCGCTGTGGTCGGGGACGGAGGAACGGAGCCAGACGAGGAGATGGTCAGTCACTCTGTCGCGAGCAGCGCGGCGTCGATGCCTCGGGAAGAGACGCACTGGACCATGGCGATGGGTGGGGTTTTGACGACAGGGTGAAGGGACTTAGCGTCTTTGTGGGAGGTCGCAACAGAGTGGCAGTGTGGCAGTGGTGGTGATGGTGGTGATGGTGGTGATGGTGGTGATGGGCGTTGGGGGCTGGCAACGTGCTGGTCGTCGTCGCTTTTGCTTGGTTTCTTCTTGATCGTTTTCCTTGCCCCGTGTTGCATGCGCTGTCCCTGGAGGCGGCTCTGGCTGGGCAGGCTGGCAGGCTTTGGTGTGCGTGGTGCGGTGGGTTGTGCTGAAAGGCCGCCCGCCGGCATTTGCCCGGCGATTTCTCAAGTGGAGGTGGGCGCCCATGCATGGATGCATGCAGACCCGCAGCTGAATGGCGTGCTCGACGCGAAGATTTGCGCCTTCGCTCGCGTGGCGTGGCGAGGGCCCGGCCTGCCTGGCCTAGGCCGGCATCGATACATACTGTAGGCCGGGTCGAGCAGCAAGCAAAGAGCAAGAGCAAGAGCAAGCGCAAGCGTGAGCAAGCCGCCAGGTCAGGTCAGGCAGGGTCCGCCGTGGTGCGCGCCACCGGGAAGCCGGACCTGCCAGCCGGCACAACCTCCAGCTGCGACCGAGGTCCCATCTTTTGTCGCCAGTACAACCACCACCACAACCACCACCACCACCTCCCCCACTGATCATCGCCGCCATGTCGCGGACCGCAATGCTGTCTACCAGTCGCCTGCTCTTTGGATCGACGACCGTCAGTCGACCTGCTCTGGCAGCCGCCTCTGCCTCTGCTGCACCTGCACCATCACTCGCACCTTCGGCGATTCCCAGCTCACGCCGCCCACGACTGGCGCGGACGATACACGCGAGGCTCGGCGAAGCTCCATCAGCCTGCGCATCCTCCGACCACAAGACGCCAACCCAACCCCATCGCAGCTTCGCGCAGCTGGCCTCGACCTGCGTGCCCTCATCCTCGAACCCATCGGCCGCCTTCCCCTGCATCGACGCAAACGAGCAGCGAGCAGAACGTCTGAGGAGGCAGTACGCCCGTCAGGGTCCCGCTCTTGCAGTCTCTTTGCAGCAGCAGCAGCAGCCCGACGACACTCCAGCACCATCCACCGAGGCTGAAGACGACGGACCCGAACCATCCTACACCAAGGTCGTATCCGGCTATCAGACGTTCCACTATCCCACCGAGTTCCCCCTCGACTACGGAGGGAAGCTGCCATCCTTCCAGCTCGCCTACGAGAGCTGGGGCACTCTTTCGCCAGCCAGGGACAATGTCATCCTCCTCCACACTGGCCTCTCGGCCTCGTCGCATGCCGCCAGCACACCCTCGAACACCGCAAAGGGGTGGTGGGAGGACTTCATCGGTCCGGGCAAGCCGCTCGACACCGACAAGTACCACATCATCTGCACAAACGTCCTCGGCGGATGCTATGGCTCCACCGGTCCATCCTCGCCCGACCCGCTCGACCCCAGCGGCGCCGCCTATGGCACCCGCTTCCCCATCCTCAGCGTGTTTGACATGGTCCGCGCTCAGTTCCTCCTCCTCGATCACCTCGGCATCGACCGACTCTATGCAAGCATCGGCAGCTCCATGGGCGGCATGCAGAGTATCGCCGCCGCCCACCTAGAGCGCGAGCGTGTCGGCAGGCTGGTCAGCATCAGCGGATGCGCCCGCAGCGCCCCCGCCAGCATCGCGCTGCGGTACGCCCAGCGCAGCGTCCTTATGTCGGACCCCAACTGGAACCGGGGCTTCTACTACGCGCCTGGCCAGCTGCCTCCGCACACTGGCATGAAGCTGGCGCGGCAGATTGCCACGTTCACCTACCGTAGCGGTCCGGAGTGGGAGCAAAGGTTCGGACGGGCGCGGCGCATCGCCTCTAGCACCGCTGCCGCCCAGCAGCGAAGCACAATCGGCGGGTCCGGGCCTGGCGGCGAGACGGTCGAGCAAGAGCTGGACCCTGCACTGTGCCCCGACTTCCTCATCGAGACCTATCTCGACCATCAGGGCGAACAGTTCTGCCTCAAGTACGACGCCAACTCCCTCATCTACATCTCCAAGGCCATGGACCTCTTTGACATGTCGGACCACGCCCTCGCCGATGTCGAGCGGCGACGTACCCACGCCCACGGCGAGGAGGTTGGCGCAGGGTTGGCGCCTTCGTGCGGCGAGGACGGCGCCAAGATTGCCCCGGCGCCCCGACCGCGGGCTCGCAAGCACATCTCGACCCTCTCCTCGCCCGCCGCCCACGCATACGTCCCCGCGCTGGCGAGGGGCCTCTCGAGATTGGGCGACATCCCGACACTGGTGATCGGCGTCCAGAGCGACATCCTCTTTCCCGTCGAACAGCAGCGAGAGATCGCAGAGTGCCTTCGGTTGAACGGCAACGATCAAGTGAGGTACTACGAGATCGACGCCCCCCACGGCCACGACAGCTTCCTCATCGACGTGGCCAACGTTGGCGGGGCTATCAAGGGCTTCCTGTCTTGATATGCGCCCCTCGAAGGGGCGCGCAACGCAAACCGGAGCAAACCTCACGCGTGTTTGCCAAGCACATCGACCAAGCCGCCTCTGTGCGGATCCGGCCCGCGCATCCCTGGCCGAACCGGTGGATCGCGCCAGAAAATGTCGTCTCGCCCGCCAGGTCCGAGACATGGCGAAGAGGCAAGCTGGGAACGACGGCTGCTGTCTCCTTCACTCCTGTCCTTGTCCGTCCTTGACGGTGGTGAAGCGTCGATCCCAGTATACGAGGGGCAGCTTCTGCTCCTGCGCTTCGGTCGGCTTGTCGATGACGGAATGGATCCGGGCGATGAAGAGAACGCTCTGGTCCACAAATTCGCCTTCCTGGCTGGATCCGACCGACAGCTGGGCCAGAGGGATGTCGGCAACGAGGCTGCAAGATAGGGCCCCGAGTGAGCCACGGACAACGGGTATCCCGTCGGCCTCGTGGCACGGAAAGATGTCGTGGCTGTCGAATGGATGTGGTGCTCTCCCTCGCGGTGACGTTGTCCGCCGGGGTTGCTGGGCCGCCGTATCCCCGGTGCCGAATTTGTCGGGACTTGAAGCACCACGGCCGTACGGGAAGGGCTCTATCCCTGGCGTAGCAAAGGCTCTTGCCAAGTTTGCCTGGTCTTGACCGAGGAGATTGACAACGAAATGGGGCCGCGTCGCCTGCTTCTCTGCTGCTCTAGCTGCGGGCGGTAACGGCTGCGAAGATTGCGTTCTCGCTGCTGCCGCTTGCGAGTCGGACGAAGATGGACTGGGCGATGCCGATACGAGGGCATCGGCGAGCCTGCTCGGCGTCTTGATGCTGAAGGCTACTAACGGCGGCGACATGGAGATTGAGCTAAACGAAGACAGAGTTGCGCCGTGGACCAGTCTGCTGGAGCTGTTGCCGGCCGACGCAGGAAGAAAGCATGTCACGAGCGCGACTGGCTGGGCCGAGGAGCGCATCAGGGCTTTGACCTTTTCTGAAAGAGATGCTGCCGATGGGGTAGCGCTGCTAGTGGTGGTGATGAGACGGGAGCCAAAATGGTGTGGGTGCGGTGCTGCGACCGGGAAACATCTCGGCGCCAGCTGTAGGGTGACCGCGCAGGGCACACGCTCGTCAGCTGAGCGCGTATGGATTGCACGGATATGGAGGGTCGATATACAGAGGCGAGCCTGCTCACCTGCGTCGACATGGCCAAGAAGCTCAGAGGAGCGGAGCAGGAGCTTGTAGACGAGGAGCGCGAGGAGAAGCAGCGACGACCTGGCAGGTCGGCTGGCTTGCCCTTTGAGAGTACTGGCCACCGCGCAGCTGAACGTGTCAATGGCGACGGTGGCATGGCTGCCAGAGAGTCTGGGCCGGGCGCCTCGCTCTTGCAAAGGAGAAAAGCTAAGAGCAGTGAGGGTACGTGTGTGCAAGGAGGAGGAGATGGAGGAGAGTCAAGCTGCCAGTCCTGGGCAGGAGGGCTAGGCCAGGCCCCAGGCCGTTGTAGTATCGGGCCAACCTCATGCTGCCGTGATGCATCGGGCTCAGTTTGGCCCGATGCTGATTTCCTGTCCTGGAAGCATGAGCCCCGGGGTGGTGGGTCTCTGTGCGTGCCAAGCGACCTGCTCCACATGGCAGGCCCGTACGTCGTGCTTCGTTATCTCTGAGCTGCTGCCAGCGGCCCGCGGCCCGCGTCCGTGAGCGGGCTCGGTGCGGACGGCGACGCAGCCCAACGTGGGGGCTCCCTCTCCTTCCACCCCTCCGTTCTTATCGCCTTCCTGGCTTCGGCTGTTTCCACGTCCACCGTCTCATCACGACTACCACCTGGACTACGGCCGCCGCCTTCCTTCGACACTTGTTGACGCCGCCTCGAACGCTCTCGCTCCTCTGTGTCCGATTGGCGCTAATTGACGGTCCACCACGCAATGCATCTGCTACCCAGGGAGCAGGACAAGCTCCTCCTCCACCATGCCGGTACCCTCGCCCAAAAAAGGCTCGCTCGGGGCGTGAGGCTAAACCAGACTGAAGCCACCGCACTCATTGGTGAGTCAAAGGCGCGCGCGACCCCTCAAGCTCAAGCCCAAGCCCAAGCCCAAGCCCAAGCCCACGCGCCCACTCTCTTTCTGACTCTGGCCCGTGGTGGCCCCATCATGGTTCCTCCTCGCACCTTCCTCTCTTGCCTTCGGCGCACCAGCCACGGTGCTGCACGAAAGGATCCGCGATGGTCAACACACCGTCGCTCAGCTCATGCAACATGGCAAGACGCTCCTTGGTCGATGCCACGTCCTCCCCGGCGTCGCCGAGCTACTCCACGAGGTCATGGTCGAGGGCACCTTTCCCGACGGCTCGTTCCTCGTCACCGTTCACCAACCCATCTGCACCCCCAGCGGCGATGCTGCCGCCGCACTATACGGCAGCTTCTTTCCCACACCAGATCCCTCCCTCTTTCACACGATGCCGGGCCTCGATCAAGGCACGCCGGGCGCCCTGGTCGTCAAGCAGGGAGCTGGTCCGATTCAGCTTTGTCCCGGCCGGTCCCGCGTCCAGGTCAAGGTCACCAATACGGGTGATCGCCCCATCCAGGTCGGATCACGTAAGTCTCCGGCACCGCCTCTTTGCCTATAGCTGCTCGGAATGCTAACGATCGAGGGACCTCGCAGACTACCCTTTCCTGGAGACCAACGCCGCCCTGTCCTTCCCGCGCCTTCTCGCGCTTGGAAAGCGCCTCGACATCGCCGCAGGCACTGCGGTTCGTTTCGAGCCCGGCGATTCGCGTACCGTGACGCTCGTCGACATCGGTGGCACGCGCATCCTTGCCGGCGGAAACGACCTCGCATCGGGGCCGCTCGATGCCCTCACCACCCAAGAGGCTATGGCGGCCATCGAAAGCCGGATCGAGGTTGCCGGCTATGCCAACGAAAAAGGCCCCGAAATGGTCGACGACCAGCCAATTCCGCCTTTTGAACTGAGCCGCGACGCCTATGCTGCCCTCTTTGGTCCAACCGTGGGCGACGCAGTGCGCCTTGGTGACTCGCCGCTCTGGATTCAGGTAGAGCGCGACTTCGCAAAATATGGCGATGAGCTCAAGTTTGGCGGTGGAAAGGTCATCCGTGACGGCATGGGACAGGCCTCGGGACGGGCCGACTCGCAGACGCTCGACGTCGTCATCATCAATGCGCTCATCGTCGATTGGTGGGGCATCGTCAAGGCCGACATCGGGATCCGGGAGGGCATCATTGTCGGAATCGGCAAGGCAGGAAACCCGGGCATCATGGACGGCGTGGATCCCAACATGGTCATTGGATCCTGCACCGAGGTCATTGCCGGCGAGAAATTCATCGTCACCGCAGGTGCGATCGATGCACAGTGAGTCGGGCCGATAAGAAGATCTATGCCGAGCTGGGCCTAACATTGACCGGGCGCAGCGGTCCACAGACCATCCAAGGTTCGTCACCACTGATCGATGCCTGCTTCCCACCCACTTTGCAGCGTCCACTACATCTGTCCCGGCCTGCATGAAGAGGTGAGCACCTGGAGACGATGCTTTGTGGTACCAACGATGGACGAGGTCTGACGCCGCAGGGTTTGCTTCCTCAACCGCTAGGCGTTGGCGAGCGGCATCACGACCTTGATTGGAGGAGGTACGGGTCCATCGGCCGGAAGTTGCGCGACCACCTGCACACCTGGCCTTGACCAGATCCGTACGATGCTACGATCGACCGACAACGTACCGCTCAACTTCGCCTTCACCGGCAAGGGCAACGATTCAGGCCTGCCCGGCCTCGAGGATCAGGTCAAGGCGGGCTGTGCGGGCCTCAAGATTCACGAGGACTGGGGTGCCACACCTGCCGTCATCGACGCCTGCCTGACGGTCTGCGACAAGTACGACGTACAGTGCAACATCCACACCGACACGCTCAACGAATCATGTTTCGTCGAAGGCACCATTGGCGCGTTCAAGGGCCGCACCATCCACACCTACCACTCGGAGGGAGCCGGCGGCGGGCACGCGCCAGACATTATCAGAGTGTGCGGTGAAGCCAACGTTTTGCCCAGCTCGACGAACCCTACGCGGCCGTACGCCAAAAACACGCTCGACGAGCACATGGACATGCTGATGGTCTGCCACCACCTGAGCAAGGATATCGCCGAAGACGTTGCGTTTGCCGACTCGCGCATCCGTGCCGAGACGGTGGCGGCGGAAGACGTCCTGCAAGATAGTGGAGCGGTCAGCATGATTTCAAGCGATAGCCAGGCCATGGGCAGGATCGGCGAGGTGGTGGCCAGATCCTGGAGGACAGCGGCAAAGATGCGCGGGCTGAACGGCCCGCTCAGAGAGGAGGATCTGCCCGATGGCGGAGATGCAGACTTGCGGGACAACGAGAGAGTCAAGCGATACGTGGCGAAGTACACCATCAACCCGTAAGTGCCTCGCAGCGTATGCCTGGCGTGACCATATCAGGCTGTCAAAACACGGTCAGAACTCGGGAGCTCAACGACGGCTACGCTTTCCCCCTCCCTCATCACGTACACCAGCGCCATTGTTCACGGCATCTCGCACATGGTCGGGTCGATCGAGGTCGGCAAGCTAGCGGACTTGGTCTTCTACCTCCCGTCCAACTTCGGGACCCGGCCAGAGTTTGTTCTCAAGGGCGGCCAGATTGCGTGGGCGCAGATGGGCGATGCGAATGCTTCGATCCCCACGGTCCAGCCCATCTATGGTCGGCCGATGCACGGCGCAAATGCGGGGGCGGCTGCTTGGAACAGTAGGGTGTTCGTCAGCGCCATCAGCATTCAAAACGGTAGGCTTCGCTCTCCCGATCAGTTTCCTCTCGCGCCCTGTGTTCTCATACCGCCCTTCCGTGAGGAACGCTTCGCTGACTGGTGACTCCCCTCCTTCCACGTTCTCGCTTCACATCGATCAGGTACTATCGCGAGTTACGGGCTCAGGAAAAAGGCGGAAGCCGTCAAGGGTTGCCGATCCATCTCAAAGAGGGACATGAAGCTCAACAACAAGATGCCTTCGATCTCGGTCGACCCGGAAACGTAAGTTCCCGTGTCGCCTCCCTTTTCGCCCAGACACGCTCGCCCGACTGACCCTCTGGCTCCGCACGATGCTCGCCTCGCGCGTCTCTGACGGGCGCGACAGGTACGACGTCCTCGCAGATGGCAAGCTCTGCACCGTTCCCCCCGCCGACACGCTGCCTATGACCCAGGTAAGTTGGAATTTTGGCCTCACCCGCGTCGTCACGGCGAGGCTGACGACCCCACATCTGCCCCTCTCCCTCGATCTGTGGACGGCGAGCAGTCGCAGGCTCTGTTCTGAGGCAGACGATGGGGGCAAGCTGGACGCCAAGTTTCCAGACGCCCGTGGACGAGCTCTCAATCAAATTTTATGTGATTCCTGTCCACCTTTTTTCCAGGCGGCTGCTGCGGCTCGTTTGGCGCAGCAGCAGACGCCTGGGCTGCCTTGCGCTTTCTGCCTTCTGGCTTGGTGGCTGCGCTCTGGCTCCCACCGCCTCCCGTCGCTGTCGCAACCTGCCTCGGAATCGCGGCTGCGGCTGCGCGCGAGAGCGGGATGGCTGCGAGGGCTTTCTTTTTGGCGGCATTCCGCGTCTTTGGCGGGATGCCGTCCCAGTAGGCCTCTTCCTCTTCTCCGTCGAGGATGCGCACCTCTGAGTTGCTGTCGAGGAAGGAAGAGGCAGATTGTGCGGTGGAGTAGAGGAGGGAGACGAGATGGTGCGCGGTGAATCGATCAGGAGTCCGGACGTGGCATCCTGCCTTGTTCTCATCTTCCCTCGAGCCGGGACCGGGGCCGTTTGAGGGAGGATGAAGATCGACGTAGCCGACCGATGAAGGCACCAGCCTCTCCAGCTTCGCCTTGATGGCCCGGCTCGTCGCAGTAGCGTCCGCGAGCGTCGAGTTGGAGAGGTTGATGTTGCTCAGGAAGATGATGGTGCCGACAGGATAGGTCTTGGTTGGATCTTCGTCGGGTATTGCCGGAATCGCACGGGCGTCGGCGACATCTTCGCTCCGCCGCAGCGTCGGGGCCACGTCGACCGGTCGTGCCCTGTGAGGGGATGACCGACCATGCTCAAGGATCTGAGCACGCCATGCAAAGTACTCGGATCGCAGTGCGATCCACTGTTTGCTGTTGTCAGGGAATGCGGCAAGCGGCGAGCAAGTTGCAGGGTCAGAGGGGCTGCTGAATGGCGACGTCCAAGTCTAAAGCTGACGACCCACATGGTGAGGATTCGCAACCTTCTCTTGTGAGCGTCTCCGACGTCTTTGGCCTGCCAAGGATAGGAGGTGGCCAGCTGGCTTGCAGCTTCAGACGAGGACAGGACGACAAAGGCCTGCGCGAAGCGGATCCTCGCGCCGTGGCAGTCGTTGCTGCCATGTCGCGTTCGCTGCTGAGGCCGCTTGTCGGCTCGGCTGAGCCAGGCAGGCTTCATATCGCCAGACGGAGGGTAGGCGTCGTAGACCCGTGCTTCGTCATTGCTGGATTGGTCGCCCAGGAGTCCGTGCACAAAGGCGCAGACTTTCCTCGGTGTCGATAGATGGGCTGGCAGATCTTGCTGCGACGGGGCGAGCGAGCCGAACGAGGTCAATGTGGGCTTCTCGAGACTTTTACAATTCGTGTCATGGCAGCGCCAGCTCACGGTGTAGACGATCCTGTCTTGTTCGACCAGCTTCTCCCAGAACGGCTGCGAGGTTGGCTGTAGATCTTCCCGGACGCGCGTCCGGAGGTAAAAAGAGTAGCCGTCGTCGCTCATCTGTGCCATGCGGACGTTGGCACGGTATGGATCAGCACCGGCCCGCCACGGCCGGGCGTAGGATGCAGCACACTCACGCGAAACCATCCCATTCCATCGAGCTGGCGCAGGGCCAGGCTGATCTCGACGCCCGACTCGCAGATGGCGTTTACCTGGCCGATCTGCAATAGCCTATTGACGTGCAGCGGTGCGTCGGGGGTGGATGCCCACAGCCGCTGCGTCCAGTCTTGATCGTGGGACCGACTTGCCAGGCTAAAAGGCGAGAGGATGCCGAAGAGGAGATCGACGAGCTGATTTTCGATCAGCGCCTGTCGATCTGGCGCTACGCTGGACGGTTGAGGAGGTGGTGTTGGGGCGGGTGCCAGGGATGCGGTGGCAGTCGAGACCGAGTCTGAGGCCGAGGCGGAAGCGACGAGGCGAGCTCTGTGGGCATGAGGGATGGTGGGTCTGCGTGTGGAAGGTCGCGTGATGGTGCGTGGTATCATGCCACCCTGTTCCATGGCTGCGCCTCGGACGGGGAGAGGGATCGATGCGCTTGACGGGGATGGTGGTGGGTTGGATCCAGCGTGGACGTGGCGAACTTGACTGGGCCGAGGTCGTGGGTGTCGCTGTGCTCATGTGGAGGGCACAGGGTCTGGCTGTGCCTTTGCCAGGCCTGCTTCCGCCCACTCGCTCGCTTCGCCCGCTCACTGGTCCCGGAGGCCCTCCTTTTGGACACGTATAGTTATATGTGAGCAGCTCCTTCGCCTCGAGGCCCCTCCGTCGCATCCGCGCCTCGGTCGCATTTCCAGGCCGCTTCGACGATGCACAGCATAGCAATGGCCTCCAAGCAGGCCACAGACAGAGCTCTCGCCTGATCGGAGCGTCACCCCGCCAGCGCAGCTTGCTAGAGAAGACGCGTTTGCGCCACACTCTAGGGTGCGCGTGGTGCGAGCGACCAAGAGCAGCAGCACCTGGTCGCGTGTCGCGTCTTGCCGCCATATCACAAGCCGAGCCCACCTCACCCCTCAAGAGTCAAAGGCCCACCTTGAGATCACACGTAGCCCTCTGGGTTTCTGAACGATTACAGCAAAGCGTGGCTCTATGGGTGGGGAACAAGTAAACGGGAACGCGACATCGGAAACGTGCAGTGGTATTCATCCCTATCGCGCCTACTAGAGCTTGGCCTCGGCGTGCATCACGCCCTCGCGGTTCTGCTTGGCCAGAGGGGCCGCCTCACCGTCCTTGCCAGCGCCCGGAGCGCCGGGCGTCTGGCTCTTTTGCGGCGCAGACTTGTACTCGGAAGGCACCTTCTTCATCTTGTCGGCACGCGCGATGCCCGTCTCGTCGCGGTAGACGCCGAGCTCAATGAGCTTGGCAAACACCTTGGCAAAGTCGCTGAAGAAGAGGTCGCGGTCCTCGGCGTACTTCTGCACCCATGGCCGGAACTTATCGTCCTGGATCAGCGCATAGTCGGTCGGCAGCATCATGAGCTCCTCGTCGTCGTCGTCGGCGCCGGGCGCCTTGGCGGCGTATTGGAAGTTGCCGTCCCACTTCTTGGGCTTCCACTGCAGCTTGAGCAGCAGCTTGTAGTACTGGTTCGAGAAGCGCGTCGGCGAGTTGACCCAGGGGCCCTCGAAACCGGAACGGTCGGCGTGGCAGCGTCCGAGGTTGTGAGCACCGGACAGGGCGACAATCTCCTGGTCGTTGAAGCCCATGCGGTAGAAGATGTGCCTCAGGTGATCGGCGGCCTGCGCAGCGTCGGGAAGGCGGCCACGAGGGGGCAGCAGCGAGTCATCGACAAAGTCGGTGCGGCCAGGCTTCCACTGGATCTCGGGGCCGCCCATGGCCTGGATCGCGACTACACCAGCGAGCGTCCACACTGTATGGCCGCAGAGGGAAGCAGAACGGAGCATGTCGAGCTGTCAGAGGACGGGTTGATCCTGCGTGGAATGCCCTAGTCCCTACTCGGATCAACTCACAGTCGGCGTACGTGATCCACGAGTGCTTCTCCTTAATGGGCTCGAGGAAGACACGGGCGTGCTGGAGACCAGCATCTGCGCACGAGCGAAGAAAGCAGAAAGGTTGTCTGAGTTTCAGCGACCGCGATGATCGAGGCACGGAGTCACAGGGCAGCGAACCTCGACCGCACTACTCACTGGCCGGGTCTCCACCCTCTGCCTCGTACCGCATGCCGGCTCCGTTGCTTCCACCGGTGTCGGTCTCCTTGCAATAGGTGCCGCTGGCGTGCCATGCAAGACGGACGAGGACCGGGCCGGCAGATCCATCGTCGTACTTGGGCTGCTTCAGAACGGCGATAATGTCCTTGCGGACGGCTGGACGAGATGGACGCAACGGCGGGACGCGCGTGTGAGTGCTGAACCCGTAACCGCGCCATCGTCTCTCAGCAGAGACTCACCATCAAAGTCACCGGGCTGGCTCATGTTGGTCGTGTGGGGTATGCGTGTGTGTTGGGATATGTGAGTGCGGGTGAGAGGTTGGTGAATGTGGTGGTCGGGAGGCGACCTGGGCAGGGCGGGGAACAACAGACTTTGAGTAGTGAGGGTGCGGGGAAGCCGGCGGGCGCCTTCCTTCCGTAATCACCGAACGGTTCGCTGTGATTCGACCTCGTCCTCCGAACCTCTCTCACCACTTCCTAGACTTTGCTGGGCTGGGCCCTTGGGGCAGCCGGGGCGGGGAAGCCAGGCAGGGAAACTCTTGCAATACCAGCCGTGCCGGGAAGCGGCGAGCGTGAAAGCCGGACGACCTAGCCTGACCTTCATTACGGGCCAAAGAGGGCCACGGTGGGCGAGGTCGAAGTCGGCGCCACCCGAACAACCGTACCGGTCGGGACGGCCCGCAGCCAGAGTTTCGTCACGTCGAAGTCAGCCAGCCAACCAGATGGTGCGACGCAGCACCTTTGCGTGCGTTGCGTACGCCTGTTCAGGTATGGGCAGAGCCGGCCCTGCGACCTCAGCCTGGCTCCCTGGGGCTTCGCAGGCGTGATGGAAAGCAAGGCCACGCCTGGCCACGCACTCGGGCAAGCACGCCAAGTTGGAAGGATCGACCCTGGCGAAGAAATAATTTCCGAAGATGTCTGGCGTAAGCGAATCAGCTTGCTTATGCCCACGCACCCGCAAGATAGGCCGATGCCGGAACAAACAGGCAGGCTCGCCGGGCGGGCCCCCGGCCTGAAGGGCGCTGGATGCGTGAAAGAAAAAGACGGATCGCGGACTGGCATGAGGAGGCGAGACCCTGGCCAAATCGAAAATCGTCATAGCATCGATCGGGAGGCTGTGTGGACCGAGCTTCCTCGGCCCGATTGACATCCAGTCGGATTTTTCGGAGCCGAGCAGAATGATAGCTTCCATGATCGAGCTCGGGCCGGGAAAGCTCGGGCCATCTGTAGGGTTGGTCGGACCGCGGCGGGGATCGATTGCTGGCTGCCCCACGGCGACGGCCGCCCCGGGTGAAGGTCAGGGCCTGACTTGGCCGCCCTGGCCGGAAGAAGCCCGTACGGCTTGGCAGGCCCTCCCTGCCTGCCTGGACCTACGCTAGCTGGTCTTGCCGTCCCCGCCCTCCTCCTCGTCCCACCACCATCCTACGAAGACGCCTTACCGTGAGTGGCTGACCCACTGGCCCCAACGACGATGACGCTGAAGAAGGTGACGGTGGCCTGTCGCGCTCGCTGCTGACCCCCCTCTCGCTGTTCCTGCACCGTCGCTGTCCTGCCCGCAGCCCGTTTTCGCATGACGCCGAACCCTTCGATCGCAGCCAGGTCCATCCAACGTCTCTCCCAGACCGTCCGACAGCTCAGCTCCGTCAGCATGGCTCAGGACTTCAAGACTCGCGCCGTCGGTGCCCCCAACACCCTCGACTACCGCGTCTTCCTCGAGAATACAAAGACCGGCCTGCCCGCCTCGCCCTTCCACGATGTGCCGCTCTTTGCCGACGAGTCCAAGACGATCCTCAACATGATCGTCGAGATCCCCCGATGGACCAACGCCAAGATCGAGATCTCCAAGGAGGACACCTTCAACCCGTTCAAGCAGGACACCAAGAAGGGCAAGCTGCGTTTCGTCCGCAACTGCTTCCCGCACAAGGGCTACATCTGGAACTACGGTGCCTTCCCCCAGACCTGGGAGGACCCTTCGGCCACCCACCCAGACACCAAGGCCAAGGGCGACAACGACCCGCTCGACGTCTGCGAGATCGGCGAGCAGGTCGGCTACACGGGCCAGATCAAGCAGGTCAAGGTCCTCGGCGTCATGGCCCTGCTCGACGAGGGCGAGACCGACTGGAAGGTCATCGTCATCGACGTCAATGACCCGCTCGCCCCCAAGCTCAACGACATCGAGGACGTTGAGCGCCACCTCCCCGGCCTCATCCGCGCCACCAACGAGTGGTTCCGCATCTACAAGATCCCCGACGGCAAGCCCGAGAACCAGTTCGCCTTCTCTGGCGAGGCCAAGAACCGCAAGTACGCCACCGAGGTCGTCCACGAGTGCAACGAGGCCTGGAAGCGCCTCATTTCGGGCCAGGCCGACGCCGGCGACGTCAGTGTGACCAACACCTCGGTCCAGGGCTCCAAGGGCTTTGTCAGCGGAAGCGACTCGGCCGTCTCGGCCGTCCCCGCCGCTAACCCGCAGCCCGCAGCCCCGATCGACTCGAGCATCGACAAGTGGTTCTACATCAGCTCGTCGTCCTTCTAGGCGCGCATGTCAATCGTCGGCGCTGCCGTCTTCTTGCGGGTGTCAATGTCATCGGAGTCTACAGCAATACGAAATCAGTCTCCTACGAGGTTACTGACAGATGTACAGCGGCGGTACACGCGCTTGCAGGACACGCTGAGGCCAGCCGTGTCGCAGGGTGCGGCCGAGGGTCAAAGCTGATGTCATATTTCGGGGCTTCGTCTTCGCTACTTATGAGTGAACTGGGAGCTGAGGTCGGACATGGATGCGGGAACCAAAGGCGGTACGGAGCTGGACGACTGGGTAAGACCAACGACGCTGCAAGGACCAGGGCCCGGAGGCGTCCGGGTCGCAGCGGCAGATGGTCTCTGATACTGTTGCTCAGGCTCAGTTGGTGCACGGGCACTTGCCCTCGCACGAGCAAGGCCTAAAGATATCGGGCAGGCGGATAGGATGTGGGCGGATCGATGCCTCGGCGGGTCAGCTCGGATGCGCGGGCCAAAAGGCAGCCGGGGATGGAGGACCGCCACGCGACTCACGTTGCGACGCGCAGCTTGTTGCCCTTGCAAGCGCAGCTGGAGGTCGAGCACTTGCAGTTGCCGGAGGCGCAGGTGCACGACGAAGAGGCGCAGTTGTTGTTGCAGGGGCACTGCTGGGATCGAGGGGACGTCAACAAAGTCAGCCTCGCACGGTCGACCGAGATGCGCGGTCTGGTAGACGGTCCAGTGATGTGACTGCGGCGCTACGTACGGCCATCTTTGGAGATTGTGGGAATCGAAGGTGGAAAGAGGAGCTTGGGGATCGTCAAGGGTCGTTGATCGTCAGGAGTACGGCTGAATGAGGTGAATGAGCTGGATGAGGGATGAGCCGATGTCGTGTGCTCGAAAGGCGCTCTTATATCCCCCCATTGGATCCGCAAGTGGGCGGTCACAGACACTTGCGGTACCCGTTTGCCCTTCGAACATGAGGTGCTGGGCAGGACAGAGCGGCAATAGTGGTGGACAGGCAAGCTCCAATATGGCTAGGCTGGCTGCCCCGTCGACTCTGACCCGTACACGGCAGGGAGGTCGAGGGCCATCTCGTACCAAAAAGGGCAGGTTCAGCGTACGGCGATTGCTTGGCATCTCTCGGATGGCCAGAGCACGGGTGGCCAGAGTGACGCCGGCCTAGACACTGCGAGCGCAGGCGGCAAGGTCCAATCTCGTTGGTAGGAAGGGTCCATATGCTCGATAGCCAGAGTGGCCGCCACGACCCAACCTCTGCTGGCGGTGGCCGAGCCAGCCGGACGGAACGGGTCGCGTCGGCGGTTTTGCCCGCCCGTCGACATCCTGAGCTAGCCTGGCCTGGCCTGGCCTGGCTGCCTGACGGGCGGGCGTGCCGATACATACGCGTCCGATGGATGGCTCGCTGAGGTGCATGTGGAGGCCATGCCACGCCAGTGGCCTCGCCCGGCGAGGCCTGCCATGCTGGACGGCGAACGGCAACAGCGCGGGCCGACGTCTGCCTGTCGGTTCTCGCAGCCCCACCATCATCCCATCCCGAACAGTGCAGCACGTACGTCTACTCCTGGCTTTCCATATCGAGACGAGAAAGCTCGACCTCGCTACCCAGCCGCCCGAATTGGCTAGACTTGCAACGTTGGCCTCCTGGCCATGGCTTGGCACCTCGATTCCGTCCTCGGTCTTCGGTTCCTCTCCGGCGCCCCCGGCTCGGCCCGCTTCCGCCCGGCGTTACTTGGGCCCCTGACTGACCATGATTATTCGTATTATTGCTTCGTCGACTCGGTGCCACCTCGATTCTGTCCATCGACCGCCTTCCCGACCACGTCGCCTTGAATAGCTGCAGTGGCCCCGGACCGCTTTTGGAAACGTTCATGATGATTAGGATCAGGTGAGCGGTCGGCATCGACGGTGCCCTGCCGCATCGTTGCGCAGCATCAGGCACCTGACATCGCAACCCCTAGCCTCCAGCCCCCTTTAGACATCCGGAGGGCACCGCCACCTTCAAGCTCACGCCCGAAACGTCGTTGAAATCCCTGCAGGCCTTTGTGCAGGAGCTCTCGGGCATCGATCCAGTCAACCAAGAGCGTGAGTAGGGTGCTCTGCCTGAACCGCACCTTTCCGATCACGGCGCACTCGGTCATCCTGGATTCCGGCGAGTCCTCCATCGACGCCTAATTTGCCTAGTTATCTGCCCCCTGCGTGCTTCGATCCTGGATAATCGTCGATGGCATCCCGGTCCGACGCAGTCAAGACCGGCTATCCTCCCACCACCCTCAGTCTGCTGGACCAGCCTGATGACCTGCTCCTCTCGTCGCCACCGCTCAAGCTCAAGCCTGGCGACCAGGTTGTCGTAGCCAGGAAGGCGGGATCAAGCTCGGCGTTTTCGGCCCCGCAGCCGCAGCAGAGCTCCTCGGCATCTGCCTCGTCCGTTGTGCCAGACAGTCGGCCTCCATCGCAAGCGACGCCTGCCTCGACATTCGGACATCCTTCCCTCACCGCCAGCCAGCCGTCTCCTCCTTTGACGACGCCCACCAAGAGGAAAGCAGCATCTGTAAAGGACGGCCAAGTAGCTGTGCCAGTCGATGGCGGGGACGGATTCCTGACCCTCAAGGTCGTGCCCGATGACAATTCCTGCCTCTTCAACTCGGTCGGCTTCCTGTTCGAACAGCGGCTGGGCAGCGACATCTGCCAGAGGCTGAGGGGCAGTGAGTTCCCAGAAACAAGGGCTGCCCATTGCTTCGTACAGGCCGACGTACGCGACCTCACCTTCCATCGCCCTTCCATCGCCCTTCCATCGCCCTCCTGTCACGTTGTCCTCAGTCGTTGCCGATGCCATCTCAGCCAAGCCACAGGACTATCCCGACGTGGTTCTCGGGTGCGTCGATCTCGAACAAGCCTGGCTCCGGTACTCATCAGGGATTGCTCACGCCGTTGTTGCACCTGCTGTCGGCGACTGGGAACAATGAGCAGGCAGTCGCGGGAGAGCTACATCTCCAAGATACAGTCGCCGCAGGCGTGGGGCGGTGCCATTGAGCTGTCCATCCTCTCGGACCACTTCAAGGTCGAGATCGACTCCATCGACGTAGCCTCAGGCGTGGTGCATCGCTTCGGCGAGGATCGAGGGTACGAGAGTCGCGGCCTGGTCGTCTACTCGGGCATGTGAGTGACCCAGGAACACACCGCAAGCGCAGCAGTGCATGGATGGGCGCTGACTGGTGTACAAACGACCACAGACACTACGATGTCCTCGCGCTGCTGCCAAGCCCCGACTCGCCGGCCGAGTTTGGCACCACGCTGTTCCCCTCGATGTCATCCTTGGGTGACGCTGCGCTCGACGTCGGCAGCGACCCGGTCCTCCAGGCAGCTACAAAGCTGTGCGACGAGCTCAAGAAGCGGCGCTACTACACCGACACCGCCACCTTCACCCTCTGCTGCAAGATATGCGGCAAGGGCGTCAAGGGTGAGAAGGAAGCCGTGCAGCATGCCAAACAGACCGGCCACGGCGACTTTGGCGAAACGTAGTTGCAAAGCCGGGTCACGGGTGCGGGTCCGTCCAGTGATGAGTGGTGGAAGCGACTGCTTGTCGGCGTCGTCGTACCTATTGCCACCCGTCACTCTGTGGAGGGGTATGCTGAATCAACTTTTGTACAACACGCAAGTTGCAAAGAAGGCGAAAAGGGGCTACTGGGGCGCGCACTGTACGCCAGGTCCGCCACCTTGCCCGAAGTCGTCCTCGTCCTCCCATCCGTCATCGTCGTCACGGCCGCCTGTGGCTCTGGCGGTGTTGCTGCCAAACTGCTCGATTTTGGCGGGCACAGGCTCGACGGGATCTTCGATGGTATCGTCCTTCTTTTCGAGGTCAGGCCGTTTGGGCGGTAGGAGGCTCGCGAGGACCTCTGCCACGCTGGCCTTGGACGAGGGTGCCTGGAAGGGTTCCGAGAGGCGAAGCTGGGCATCTGTGGGGAAGTCAATTTCCCAGCGGATGTAGAGGTCGCCTCGGAACTGGGAGCGGTCTTGATAGCGGGGCATGCCTTCGCCCTTGACGACGTCGATGTCGCCGGGCCGGGTGATCGAGGAGCGCGTAACGTGGATGTGGCGGCCGTCGAGGTGCGAGAGGACGGTCCTGGAGAAACCAAGCAGCGATTCGGAGAGGGTGAGTCGGACCGTGGTGAGGAGGTCGAGCCCCTTTAGCTCAAACGACTCGTGCTGCTTGAGCTGGAGCTGGATGATGATATCACCCGGCTTGACGTCGGGCTCCTGATCGGCCTCGCCCTCAAAGACGATCCGTTGCCCATCGACCATGCCCTTTTGTATCTCGACGTCGAGCTTTGCCTTTGCCTTTGTCGTCTTTTCGCCCTTGCAGCGCTTGCAGCGATCTTTGTCGCGGATCTTTTTACCGTGGCCGCTGCAGTCGGTGCACTCGGCCCAGCTCTGGGCGATCATGCCGTTGCCCATGGAGCGCTGGCTGAGGACGCGCCCCTGGCCAGAGCACTTGACGCACTCCTTTTCGACGACTCCCGGGCGGCCGCCGGTGCCTTGGCACGACGAGCAGAGGACGTTCTTGGTCATGTTGAAGTGTGCCGTCTTTCCCGTATAGAGGTCCGAGAGGGTGACGGTGTAGGGGATCACTGCGTCTTCTCCGCGAGTCTTTCGCCGCCGGGTCCTGGGTCCCCCGCCCATGCCGCCCATGCCACCCATGCCACCCATGCCGCCCATACCTCCAAACATGCTGGCGAGGAAGTCGTCCATGTCTGCAGGACCGCCCGGGCCGCCCATGCCCGGGGTATCTTCGCCGTATCGATCGTAGGCGGCGCGCGAGTCGTCGTCGATGAGCGTTTCGTACGCGTGGTTGATCTCTGCGAAGCGTTGGTTGGACTCCTCGGGTGGCAGGTCTGGGTTCTTGTCCGGGTGGTTGGCCAGCGACTGCTTGCGGTAGGCCTTTTTGATGTCGGCGGGGGAGGCGTCGGGCGCCACGCCGAGGATGTCGTAGAGCCGCGTGGACTCGACCATGGTGCGGTGCTGTTTGCGTGTGTGTTTAGGGGGAGGCCGCAGGGAGGAGGAGGTGTAGGTGGGATGGATGATGGAAGGTGAAGGTGGCCCTAGCTTTGATGGCCGTCAGTCGACGCCACTTTGGACGTGGCAACTGGGCCGGCCCTCGACGTCTCTGCTCTGACACCGACGGTGTTTCTGCCGCAAAACTTCTTGCTCCACATCGGAACTCGGGCGAGGCCCTGCTTGGCTGCACGCGACAAGAAAAAAGCTGGCCTGGCCAAGCCGGGGCAGAGGCGAGCCGCACCCCTTGAGCACCTCTTCCCTCTTCTTGCTCCTTTGACTCCTCCTCGGCTGCGGCATCTCTGACTCTCTTGCCTCTCTTTCCCTCCGACGGCCACGTAGCGACTGGAGGCAACGGAGGCGACGGCGACGGCGACGACGACGACGGCTATAGCTCTACACGGCACCACGCCCCACCTGCAACCATGGCCGACTTCTACCTCCGCACAGCAGCATCCCTCGACAAAATCCTCGCAAACACCCAGTCGGTCAAGGCTGCCGCTGCGCCCCACCATGACTCGAAACGCGTCCTCGCCCTCCTCGTAAACACCCTTGCCTATCGTCATCCCCTGACACAGGTGCTTGAACACGTCAATGTCGCCAAACTCGAGCGCAGATCCTTCCCCGACCGCTCCTTGACCCCCTCCAACCCACCTGCGGCGATAGCGCCCACCTCTAAACGCGGCAAACCACCACTTCGAGGGCAAGCAAATGGCACGCAGAAGCCGCACAAGACATCTTCTGCCTCTGCCCCTGCCTCAAAGGGCAACGGCAGCGCGCCGAGCTCAGCCAGCACACCCACCACCACCTCCCTCCTCCTCGTCCTCGCTCACGACCTCCTCTTTTCGAACCGTGGCATCCAGGCGGCCAAGGCCTGGCCGCCCAAGCTCGCCATCGAGCGTCACCGCGCTCGCCTCCACTCGGAGCTGGTCAAGCTGCAGTTGAGGGCGGGCAAGTCGCGAATCCAAGACCTTCGTGCCGGCGCAATTGCAGGCGCCCAGGACGGGCGCTCCTTTGACGATATCGTGCGCACCATCCCTCGCTGGGCCCGCGTCAACGAGCTCAAGACCACCGTCCAGCATGTGAAAGCCTGGCTGGCGGAACGAGGCTGGAAAGAGGCTGGACTCGATCGAGGCAGGACCGAGCTCGTAGCCAGCAACGAGTACGCCGTGTCCAGTCACATTCCCTCTCTCCTCGCTTTCCCGCCAAAGAGCACGTCGACCATCCTCGCCTCCGAACTCTACCGCGACGGCCTGCTCGTCTTACAAGATCTGGCCAGCTGCATGCCGGCCCAGATCCTCGATCCCCTCCAGTGGGAGCGAGAAGTCGCACTCACCACTGCTCCGGGATCAGAAGGCAGCGACGTCGGGCTCAGCCACAATGGACAAAGAAAACGGAAGCGGCAGGCCGAGCTCGGCGCCATCGATGCCACGTCGGCGCCGGGCAACAAGACCAGCCATCTCAGCGCCTTGATGCGAGGCCACGGACATCTCACCGCCTTTGAACGATCCGCACCGCGTTACAAGACCCTGACCAAGCTCCTCGGCCGCTCCGGCGCACTTGCATCGCCCCCCGCGAGGGACAAAGGGAAGGGCAAGGAGCTCGCGCTGGGCAACGTCACCACAATCAACCAGGACTTCCTGCAGACAGACCCAGAGCATGAGTCGTGGCGCAGCGTGAGGTACATGCTCGTCGACCCAAGCTGCAGTGGAAGCGGCATCGTCAACCGCCTCGACCATCTCAAGGGCGACGAAGAGGCGGCCGACGCAGAGGAGGCGGATGAGGTGGCCGAAGGTCCAGATGCCCCAGCAAGGCCGCACGCAGGCGAGGACAAGGGCGTCGAGGACGTCTCGTCCGCTGACTCGCCAGACGAGACACAGGAGCGCAAGACCAAGAAGCAACAAAGGCTCGAGAAGCTGGCAGAATTCCAATTGCTGATGATCCGCCATGCGATGCGCTGTGAGTTCCTTCCGTCAGGTGCATCCTTGTTCGCTGCATTCCTCCAGTCCTCTCAACCTACGCCTTGTCATCTGCCTTTGCGCGCCACCGCGACAGTTCCGAATCTCCAGCGTCTCGTCTACTCGACCTGCTCCATCCACGCCGAGGAGAACGAGCATGTTGTCGTTCGTGCACTGCAATGCGCCGAGGCGAGCAGCCACGGATGGACGCTGGCACCTCGTGCCCAGGTGCTGCCCAGCTGGCCGGTGCGTGGCAAGGTCGACGAGTGCCAAGGCGACGAGAGGATCGCCGACAGCGTCATCCGTTGCATCCCAGGTGGCACACCCTTCTCTGAGGGTCAGTACCCCAATACGGAGAGCTGCAACGGCTTCTTCGTAGCCTGTTTCATCAGACGAGAGGGCCAAGGCGTAGCAGAAGCGGAAGGTGCGGACCAAGAGGCGCACGACGGCAGCCAGGCCAACGAGGACGTCGAGGTAGTGAGGAAGAGGCGCAAGACCGAGCTCAACAGGAAAAAGGCGGAACAGAAAAAGAGAAAGGAGAGGGAGAAGAAGCTTCAGCAGCAGCAGCAGCAGCAGCAGCAGCAGCAGCAGCAGCAGCAGCAGCAGCAGCTCGCAGCTGAAGATCAGCCCATTTGACACAGTCGGCATGATGTTGGAGTGTGGAGCAGGAGTCTCGATCTCGTCTTGGTGCAGCAAGAAGGAGAACGCGACTGGTCTGCACCGGATTGGGTTTATGGGGCGGCGTCGAAAAGCGAAAGTGGCGGCACAAAGGGACCTTGCTTTCGCATCATGTGGTGGTCAAACGCATATCCAATCCGAGAGCAGACTAATTCGAGATCCAACCGCCAAGCAAGCAAGGTGCACCTAGGACGTGCTGCAGGACAAAGGGACGAGTGATGTTCGATGACCATGTCGGGGCGTTGCCGACGTCGCACGTACCCACCACGCGACAATTTACGGGCGACCCGCGCAGGCAGGGCCGGCGATGCCTTGTTGGTGGTACCTGAGATCAGCCGAGGACAAAGGGGGATGCTGTCGGGTGGCCCCGCACCCACGGCGACGCGTGGCGCTCCATGTCCATGCTCAAGCAAGCTGTACCTCTCGCCCAAAGCAAGTCGGCCTGGCTCCAGAGGTTCCTTTGTGCCTCAGGCACAGGTCAGCCCGGCCCGACGGCACCTGCGAAGCACCGCCGCAGGGACTATATCTGTGCTGACGATGGACGGCCCATATTCGCTCCCGCCATCTCCTTTCCCTCGTTCCAGCCGTCTGCCTCCTTCCAGGTGAAGGAGCGCCCTTTGGACTACGCCCCTAATACCTGCGCTACGCTATCAAACCGACCCTCTAATCGACAACATCATTCCTGCTTCTCTCTAATCATGTTGTGGTTCATCCCTCTCCTCTGCCTGCTCCTCCATTCGGTCGCCTCAAGCTGTGGGCTGCCGGTCGGCCCCTCCTCCCCCCTTGTAGTGTCCACCTCTCTCGGCAAGGTCCGCGGAGCCTTGGTCGACCGTCAGGCCCATCGCTTCACCCTGCCCTTCGCCGAGCCACCCGTTGGACCGCTCCGATTCGCCGCGCCCCAGCCTCTTCTATCTTGGTCCTCGATGCTCGATGGCAGCAAGACCCCCTCCGCCTGCATGCAGTCGGGCGATGGAGGCCGAGGCGGCAACGCAGCGAGCGAAGATTGCCTCTACATCACCCTATACCGACCCTCCTCGGCCCGATCCGGCTCCAACCTTCCCGTCCTGGTCTGGATTCACGGCGGCAGCTTCACCTCGGGCAGCTCGACCGCCTCGGGCCTCGACGGTAGCAAATTCGCATCGGAGGGCAACGTGCTCGTCGTCTTCGTCCAGTATCGCCTCGGAGCGTTCGGTTTCTTCCATACCGACTCGACGCTCGATGAAGCCTCCGTCAATGCTGAATCTGGCGCCCACAAGGTGCCGGGCAACCAGGCGGTGCGAGACGTGGTCCAGTCCCTCCTCTTTCTGCGAGACCATGTTGCCGAGTTCGGGGGCAACCCCTCCTCGATCACGGTGGCGGGTCAAAGCAGCGGCGCACACATGGTCCGCACCCTCCTCACGCTTCCAGCCGCCAACTCGCTCTTCCACCGCGCCATCCTGCACTCGGACCCATCCAACTATGGTCCCGCCACCGCCCAGGCCAACAGCATGCTCGGCAAGAGCGTTGCGCAGCAGCTGGGATGCGGAGATCTGGCATGCCTTCGCTCCAGGTCGGCGCAGGACGTGCTGCAGGCCAGCGACAACGCCGCTTCGATGCTGCCCCAGCAGGACGGTTCCATCCCCGTCGGGGAACCTTGGAGGCCCTTTCTCGGTTCCTACTTTTCGCAGGGCATCGAGTCCGCCGGCAGCGCCATCAGAGATGTCATCATGACTACGGTCCGGAACGAAGCCGGATCTCAGGTGGGCAGCATGCTGCAGCCTACGGCCCAGGGTGCATCCAAGATCCGCCTCGATGCCAACTACGGACCCATGTCGCAAGTCGACCTGTCTGCCGGCGACATTCTGGACATGCTGTTCAACGAGGGTCGCGGAGACATCCTCTCGGCCCAGTCCGCCTACTTCGCCGCCTCGGAGCACGACGTCGACGACGGGCTGCGGTGCAGCATCGAAGAGGCCGCCACCGACGGCCTGTACCGCTGTGGGTCGTGGTCTACCGCATCCAGACTCAACCTCTACCTTGCCGTTCATCACACGGGCATGACCTACCCGAGCAACGACGGCAACACGTACTGCTCTGCCGGCGGTCGCGTCTGCCACGAGGACGACATATACGCCCTCTTCGACACACACTCGCAGTCGGGCCGAGGCGGGCTGTCTCCTCGTCAGACGTCGTATGCCCAGGAGCTGAGGGAGAGGTGGCTCTCGTTCATCAAAACTGGCGATCCGAACACCGCCAAGCATGGAGGATGGCAGAAGGCGGCTGCGGGTGGCAGTGGCGGCGGCGGCGGTGAAGGAGGCGGCCAAAAGGTCCAACTTCTGCAGCTCGGTAGCGAAGACGACGGCTCCAGCTTGATCGACAGCGTCGACATGGGTGTCTGCCACGACACCTGGGGCAGCGCCGTCCGGTTCGATTGGCAGCTGTACCAGTAGCGGTGACCTTGGCCTGCTTTGCTGTCGTGCGATCGATAGCGATGAGCCTGACAGATACCATCAAATCGAGTGATGGCATCACGCGGCAGGGTCAGCGGCCTGAGATGCTGAGACGATGCCGGCAGGACTGGTCCCTGATCCGAACAGTGGCAGAGCGTGCAGGCAGATGGGTAGGTCAGGGCCCGAATGCAAGGCCGTGAGCAATCTAGATTCAGCAAGCCTCAGAGCGAGGATGAGCAAGCCGTCGTCGGGCGGCGTTATTGCGGGTGTAGTGACGTGGATAGCGAGGTACGCTCCTAGCGGACACGCTTGATGACCTGATCGTTGAGCTTGAGCAGCGCCTGCCGGGCGTCGCTGTCCGGGAGCACATCAAGCGCTTCCCTTGCCCTCCGTGCGTGGTCCTTTGCCAGGGCAGCGGTCCGCTCCAGGCCGCGAGACTTTGAGACGAGATTGAGCATCTGTGAGAGGGGATGCGAGTATGGAGGTGGGATCAGCTGTGTCAACGGCGAGGGCGAGGTCGGCGGTTCGGCCGTCCACGTTCAGCCGGCGAACTCGATGCTCACCTTCTCGACGTCGCCTTCACCCTCGAACCGTCTCGCCACCATCTCTGCGATGCCCTCGTTGGGCATCTCCTGCCACGTGTACAGCACGGGTGCCGTCGCCAATCCGAGCCTCAAATCGGCACCGCCCGATGGCTTTCCGAATGCGGCCGAGGTGGCCTCGAAATCGAGAAGGTCATCCACCAGCTGGAATGCGATGCCGAGGTTGCGACCATACCCGTAGGCGGCATCCCGAACCTGCCTCATCCTCTCCGCCACGTCGCCGCCCAGACCTGCCCGAGCAATGGCCTCTGCGCCACATCCACCCAAGATGGTCGATGCGCGCGTCGACTTGCCAATCAGTGCGGCCGTCTTGAGATAGGTCTTCTGGAGGTAGAGGCTGAAGTGGGCGGGCGTCGGCCCCAGCTTGGGCATTTCGGACGGACCGACCGCCTGAGCCTTGTCCAGGCCCTGGTTGTGCGCCGAGAGGCCCTCGGACTCCCAGAACGAGGCGTGGTCGCTCTTTGCATGCGCCTCTTGCCCTTCGCTGGCCGCCTGGCTCTTGAGCTGCATCACCTCGCCTTCGACCAGGTTGGCGATGACTGTGGCAAGCAGCTCCACCACTTCATTGTCCCTCAACCGCGCTAGCGCCACCGAGGCCCGCCCGAGCAGGAAGTCGCCGCCAAGGATGCTGAGCTTGTTACCGAACGCCGAGGGCGCCGATGGCGCACCGCGACGCAGCGGGGAGGCGTCGATGACGTCGTCGTGGAGCAGCGAGGCGACGTGGATCATCTCGGTGATCTCGGCCAGCCTCCTCTGCGTCGGGAGAATGCCGCTGAAGTCGGCGGATGCCCCAAGCGCGGTAGCGTCAGCGGCCGACATGGCGCCAGAGGACGAGAAGCCAGGCTTCAAGGAGCCCTCGATGCTCTCCATGTGCGGATTGAAGTCGTTGAGCACAGCGTCGGGGCTGAGGGGCTCGTTGATGCCCATGTCGCGCTCGATGGCCTTGCCAGCGTCGTCCTTGGGCCGGGTGCGCTCGGCGTGCGCCACGAGCTCGGGCCAGAGGGGCGAGATGCCGTTGGTGGCCTTGCTCATCAGCAGCACGATGAGCGGGCGAACATGCTTGCCCTCGGCCTGGAAGTAGTACTTTGCTATTGTGTCGAGCGACGGGTGGCCAGAGCCGAGGAGGGACGAGACATTGGAGCGAAGCGATGAGAGCTCAGACGAGACGAGCGATATCGGGTCGGTGATGATCTGGCCGGAGGTTGGGCCCGAGGGCGATCCAAACAACGGCGAGCCTGAAGACGATGCGCTCGATGCTGAGGATGACGAGGATGAGCCGGGCATGTGTCGGATCTGGTCCTGGACGAGGTTCTTTGCCTGGTCGACAGCGGCGGCCCACGTCGACTGCCGACTGAGCTGCGGCTGATGATGATGCCGCTGTGTCCTTGACCGGACCGCAGATGACCTGGCCGAGGAGCGGGCCAGGCCGACGGCTGATGGGGGGATACGTGGCGGCATGCCGAACGAAGGACAGCCGCGCGTCTGCGGTAGTCGCGAGGCCGGACGCGTTGCGCGACAGAGCGAGGGTCTATGGCCGGAACGGAAGCCGAGGCGTCTAACAGGTGATGAGTTGGAAGCGTGCGAGGGGGGATGATGGTCTGGCAGAGCAAAGGAGCATTCCCGCCTGCTAGCCACGCCTCGCCTCGCCTCGGCCCAACCCGATGGGTCCTTGACCCGCTTACGTAGACAGCCAGTCTGGGAGGGGGCAGCGGTGGGCAGCCTCTGCAGCTCGACGGGCTGACCCTCCCTCGGTCCTTCCCGAGTTCTTCTCGACAGACGCGATCGCTGCCGGAACCGGAGGTACCGATGTTTTGAGGTCACCTACGGCCGTAACTCTTTCTTATATGTCCGGGGCCCGGAGGTATCGACTTTGATGCCACACCATGTTTGGCTTACGGCCGTAAGGATGGGCCCCTCTCTCGGCGATATCGGTGTTTAGGCAGGTTCAAAGATTCAGTTACGGCCGTAAGCCTTATCTCCAGGCTCGAATCACGTCAATTTCTTGGAGTTGCCTGCCGGACATAACGCACGCCCGGACTTTATGGCCCCTTTTTTCGGGGTTAAGCCAGCGAAGCCCCTTTTTTTCCCTGCTCAGGGGACAGGCAGCGCCGCCTCGCGGTGGGCAGAGGCAGGCACTGGGCCAGTGTCCCCAGCCCCCAGCGGCCTCCCTGGCGCCGCCCGTTTCCTCAGCCAAACCGAAGGGCGAAAAGGTATATCTACCTGCCCTTCCTCACTTTCCTTTCTTCCCTTCTCTCCCCTCAGACGGCCGCCTGCGAGCGGGCCAGGTCCCGAGGGACGAATATAGTGGTCAGGCGCACCACTCTAAAAGAAATCGGCCTGAAAACCCCCCCCCCCCCCTTCCCCCCTTTAGCTGCCTGCGAGCAAGCACACAAAATAAACCCCAGTGGCTGGCGACCACTCTAAAGATCTCTGGCCTTTGATAGCTGCCTGCGAGCAAGCCCACAAAATAAGCCCCGGTCTACGTTTACGAAAGAGGGTGGCGCACCGCAGCCACTGAAAAGAAGCGGCCCTTGGTGAAAGTGGTTTGGCGCACCACTGTCTCTAAAGAATCCGGCCTAAAGGTATACACATCGGTCTTCGTTGACGAAACAAGTTTGTCGTAGCCTGCGACCACCCGCGAGCGGCGCAAGGCTGAAAAGGGCCGTCCCCTCTCTTCGATGGAGCCCGGCCAGGCAGGGCCCTGGTTTTGATGGGGCACCTTCCGGCCCTCTCCGCTCAGCCTATCAGCGGCTACAGGACAGGCCGAGATCCGAGAATTTGATTCGCAAGTCAGCGAGCGAGCGGTGACCTGACGGGCTCGCTCTCTCGCCCGAATCAAGACCAGAGCCAAGAAGCAAGGATTTTCCCCGTGCCGCAGAGGCCACACCCGCCGCCCGCACTGCCATCTCTGCACTGATCGTCTCGGGGCATCCTGTCCAATACCCAACACCTTCGCAGCCCTACGATCCCTACCGCCCTGACACGCCCTCGTCTCGTCAAAGGCGTCATCCGTCGGATCCCACATTGACCTCGCAATGAGGCCTTCTTCCGTCTGTTCCCTCGCACAATCGGTGAGCCCTCTTGATGCCGTCATCCTGCTCTCGATGCTCGCGCATTGGTCCTGACCTCGCCCTCGCACGTCTGGCGCACTGCCATCTCGGCTTCATCCAGGCATCCACACTCTCGCAACGCCGACTCGTCCGCGTACAGCTCCTCGTCGACACCCCCGGCCTCGGCAAGGCCGGTCACGTTTGCCTGGTCCAGCCGGGTCGCATGCGCAACGCGCTGCTCCCTTCCAAGCAAGCCGTCTACCAGCCCCTCCCCAGCCTTACGGAACGACTCCGCGAAGAGGCAGCCAACAAGCTCCTTGAGCAGCAGATCGCAGAGGTCAAGCAGCAGCTCGAAGCTCAAAAGGCACGGGCAGAGGTGCAAAAGGATCTCGGACCAGTCCAGCTGCTCTCGCTTCGTCGCAAGCTCGAAAGGGTACCGCACATCACTCTGCTTCGGCGCACCACCCGCGAGTCCAACGTCCCAGCAGGCCAGCTCCCCGACCCGCCGCTCCAGATCCAGGGCAGCGTCTCGGTCGATCAGATCGTCGACCTCCTCCGCGAACGCTACCGCGTCTTTGAGCTCGAGACAGACTTTGCCAAGGACGGCATCCCTGCGCCCCTGAACCGGCTGACCGCGCAGCAGATCTCGAACGCCTGCAAATTCAACATCGTCAGCGAGCAGTCTGAAGATTCGGAGAAGCCTGGAAAGATCAAGAGGACAGGGAAGTACGAATGTGAGTGTTCGCGCAGGTCGGCGCCATCGCGTGTGACTGGAGGGGATCGGCCGAATCGCTGACAAGCTTGCCTCTGTCCTCGCGTGCGTGGTCCGCACCATAGTGCTGGTCAAGATCCACGCCACCAAGACTGAAGTCAGGATCCCGTTCACCGTCCTGCCATTTAGACCCGCCAAGTCGAAGGCCACCATCTCGACCGCCACCCCGCCCCCTCGCGCCATGTCCACACCCGCCGGCGCTCGCGCGTTCTCGTCCTCGGCTGCCTCAAAGGCGCCGACGGGCATCGAGAACTCGATGCGGTCCAAGATCGAGGCCGCCTTCGCGCCGGCCGAGATCAACATCCGCAACGACTCGAGCAAGCACGCCCACCACGCCGCCATGGCGGCGCAGGGCGGTGGCAATGGCGAGACGCACTTTTTCGTCGAGGTCATCAGCGATGCGTTCGAGGGCATGACGCAGATCAAGCGGCACCGCGCCGTCAACGCGCTAATGGCCGACGAGTTTGAAAAGGGCCTGCACGCCCTCAGCCTCCGGACCAAGACGAGCAAGGAGGTGGAGAGAGCCAATGTGAGCAGCCAACAGTAGAGACGCGAGAAGGGGGTGAGTCTAGCCACTGAGGGAAGGGAGGGCGAGGCAGAGGAAGGATGGGGTCCGATCTCTTGTCGTACAAGTCGCTTGCGCCCGCTTTTCCTCACCTTCAATCGCAACGCTGCTGGCATTTCCTCGTCGCTCGGGATCCTGTTCTGTGTGAAGCTGCGCCGAGGCCCGGGGATCCAAGGCTGACGTTCGCAATGTGTTCTCCTCGATTTGTCGCTTCCCAGTCGCCGCGAGTCCGAACAGAAGTGTCGGACGGAACCACCTGCCCAAATACGCCCTCCAGCGCCACCTCCAATGCCGCCGATACGGCCTCGACCTCGACCTCGACCTCGACCTCGACGCACCTACCTTCGCCCGTCGACGACGCCTCGTACTGGACAGCACCGGAATCCTCGCTGCACCCTACCTCTCCGACCCCTGGACGGGCCCGACCGGGGAGCGAGGGCGAGCCGACGCTCGACGAGCACCTGCGGCAGTCTCGCAAGTTCTTCCGACGTGTGACGAAGAACGAGGATGCGCCGCCGGCGCGCTGGCAGCGCATCGCCAACGTCCTGGGCGGCATCGCGGGGAGCGCGGCCGCCTTTTACCTCGTCGCCATGGCCGATTTCGGCGAGAAGGAACACTGCTTCACCCCGCTCCGCAAGGCGCTCTTTGGCGACGAACGCGGATGGAACCCGTTCAGGGTCGACGAGGACCCGAGGTTCGCACCGACGAGGACGGGTGATAAGCTGGTCTGAGTGTCGTCTCGTGATGCAATGCTATGGTCGGTGAGGGTTGCCAGGTGAAATACATTAAAGAGACATGTCCGAGTTCGTCGGGTATGTGAAGGCGTTGTTGGTGAGATGTTGCAGGCTGCTCTGCTGCTAGAAGGGTCGGTGCAGGGCGAGCGGCTGATCAGGAGATGCTGACCGAGGGCATGCCGCCTGCGCAGTCGCACGACGACATACGGCGGCCCAGCTGCGAGGGCTTTGACCTGGTGCGACCCAGCTCGAGGTCCTCGTCGTCCTTGCCCTCGGCCGCCGCCGCCTTCTCGTCGTCCTCCGTGCGATCCGCATCGTCCCTAGCCTCCTCCATCTCCTCTCGCTCGTCTTCGTGCTCGCCCTCCTCCTCCACCACCTTTTCTTCTCCAATCACGCCCTCCTGGTCCCGCTGCCGCTGCGCCCTCTCCCTCCTGAGCCTCCTCTCCTCCTTGGCGCGCAACCGCGCCTCCTCCTTTTCGAAAAACTCGATGGCCTCGCGCTCCTCGCGCTGCAGCGCCATAGCCGCCTTTGAGTGTTGCCGGATGCGGTCGCCATACCTGAACAGGATGAAGGGCACGATGCCCAGCGCCACGGCGAGCGCGCCGAGCACCGTCGACGCGATGCGCGGCGTCAGTTGGCGGTACATTGAGGCCGAAAAGAGCGGGAAGCATCCGCCGAGGACATTTCGTCTGCAAGATGGGCAAAAACGTCGAGGGCGGTAAGGATGCATGGTCAGGAGAAAGGACGCTGGGGTCAAATCGGAGGAAAGGGAGGAGACATACAGGAACGATTGCGCTGCAAGTGCGCTCGAGGCATAGCGCTCATAGACGTCACCGAGCTGTGAGATCGGACGTCGGGAACCACAGGAGACCGTCAGCTTCTGCGGGTAGGGACGGAGTTCCGTCTGCAACAGCCGCAGCCAGACACTCACGTAGCTGAACACTGCCAGGTAGATGGGGAAGAGGGCGGTAGCAAAGATGGTCAAGCCGACGATGGGCGCGGCTGGGTGCACGCTCGGCTGACCCGTCCATGCAAAGATGAAGAGGCCGACGGGGACCACGACGGCGCCGGCGCACGCATAGTACAGCCGCGCCTCGGGCGGCGGTTTGCCCCCGTACTTCTTGGTCTGCCGCGCGTACAGGCGCTCCTGGTGAAAGTTGAAGCCGTATCCCAGCGCGCCGCCGAGCGTCAGGGTGAGGAGGACGAGGCTCTGTTCGGTCGCGTCCCAGCCGTACTCTGCAAAGACAATGGGCACCGCCTCGAGTGAGATGAAGATGAGGCCCCAGAGGAAGCTGAGGAAAGCGGGCAACAGGGTGCGAAGAGCAAGCAGTCAGCCGCCGGTCATGGGCCAAGAGAAGAACCAGCGCATAGCTCGGCGACTCAAACAACTCACCCGATCCACAGCGAGAAGCTCAGCACCGTCGGCTCGAGCAGCAGGTACTGAAACGGCCGGACGAGGGAGATGCGAATCATGATGGCAACGCTCAGCCTCTCGTCGTCGGCGCGGCACCGGTGCAGCTTGCCCGTCTCCTTTGTCAACCTCCTCGCCCTCCGGCTGAGGAGCACGGGCCCGCGCGTCTCCTTCATGAAGAGGACCATGCACGCGAAGCCCAGGAGGGCGACGGCGCCGTACCACCAGAATGCGACGCGCCACGAGTGATGGGCCAGGGTGATGGTCGTCAGGGCGGGCGAGGCACCCTGGGCGAGGAAGACGCAGACGGCGTAGAGGCTCATGACGAAGCCGCGGTCCTTGGCAACGAAGAGGTCGCTCGCGAGCCCAGCGGCCATGCTGTTGCCGACCGAGCCCGCCATGCCTTGGAACCAGCGCGAGATGAGGATCGCTGCAATGTTGGGTGCGAGCGCTTGTGGGATGAAGAGGACCGTGAACAGGAAGGTCGCCACCAGGAAGATGGGTCGACGTCCGTAGACTTCAGAGGCCGGTGCCAGGATCATCGGAGTGACTGCGACCGCTATCAGGTGCTGCGGAGTAGCGGGCCAAAGCGTGCAATCGGCAAACGAGTGTCAGTACGACGACTGCCCACGCGACACTGTCACGGCTGCTGGACGGCAGACTCACCAGGGTGTTGCCGAGAAGATACAGCGTGGTCGTCGTGTCAAGGGCTTCGACAACTGCAGGTGCGGCGATCGGATAGCCGGTGGCGTTGAAGGCGGTGCAGGTGGTGAAGAAGAAGCATGTCATTGCCAACAGCCACCGTTGACCTGGGAGCGGTGGCGTAGCCAGGATGCATCGTCATCAGGGAGGAGTGTTTCTATCAGCCAGAATGCCACAGCACGGCGTGGGTCTGAGCAGATGGCCTCACCTTTGGGCCAATTGAAGGGATTTTCTGGGTCGTTTGGCGGCCAGTCGATGTAGATGGCCGAGGGATCTTGCGACCGTGTCTGGGTGAGGGAGAGGGCCGAGGCCGGGTAGTTGGGGCTGGCGCAGCGGTTGCACTGCGATGCCGTCGATCCGACCCGCTCGAGGCGACCCGGTGTTGCGGTGGCAGCGACGGCGGCGTCTCCGCGACGGCTTCGTTGCCTGCGCATCAGTTCGTCCTTGACGTCGGCGGCGCGCTCCTTTGTATCCGGCTTGAAGCTGAGGCGGGTGCCAGAGCGACCGAGCGCCGGCGCCGCTGACGATGACTCGGCGTCCTTGACCGGGTCGGCATCTTCGAGGCCGGCGGCCTGACTTGGCGGTGCACGCGTGTCGTAGGTCGAGGCGGAAGAGGCGGGTGTAGAGTCGACGGGCGTTTGTGAGCCAGGGGTGAGGGATGCGCCCAGGTAGACGGGCGGAGTATGGGGCTCTGTCGCGTTGGGTCTCGCCATGGCGCTGTGGGCTGTGCGGCGACGGGTGTGTATGGTGGTGAGATGCTGCTGGTAGGCTGGCGGACGCGTTAGTGACGGGTTGGTCTAGGTTTCTATAGTGGCAGAGCAGCGGTCGTAGCAATAGATTGTCGAGCCATTGAACGATGGGCGAGGAGGAGCAAGCGGTCTAAGCGGCACCTTGGCGATATCCAGCGATGATGATGAAGGCGAGCAAGGGCAGGACGAAGCTGGTGGTGGTGGTGATGTAAGGCTGCACGCGAGAGATGCCCAAGGATCCCGGAAAGGCCGTGAAGTGCTCGATGAGCGGGGGAGAGGGCGCGAGGGAGCCTAGGATGGTATGGCTGGGATAGGGCACAAGCAGATGGGAGTTGAAGGTCACGGTACGATGCAAGGTGCGCACCAGCCGACGAGCTCTCCCGACTCGACTCGACTAGCCTTGACTCGAGCTGAGCTCGGGAAGGGGTCACCGTGTCGCTTTGTTCGGCGGCACTGGCGAGGAAATGGACCGAACGAAGCCGAAGATTGTCGTAGTTACGGGCGGGCGGGGGCGAGGCCACCAAGGTGCCGGCGTCGAGCAGAGGGAAATTTTTCCAGCAGGCCGGTGTTCCGCACGGAGTCTCGTCGTCCCTGCAGGGCCAGGCCAGGCGGATGAGTCGTTTGTGGGCCCAGATGGGCCTCGTCAAGCCCCTCGCTTTTGGCCGTGGTAGAGGCCGAGACGAGGCAGAGCAGGCAGGGCGGCCAACCGTCGAAGGCGCTCCTCCTTTTCCGTCAAAGAATCAAGAATGGGACCCCTGGAAGGCGTCGAGGGTGAAGCCCCGATGCCATAGCAGCTTGGCAAAGCTCTGCCAGGCCTGCCAGTCCCGTCGCCGCAACGGCATCGAGCAGCCGATACTCTTACGCCTCGGCCTCTTTCGTACCGGTACACCTCTCCTCGTCACCGCTAAAGCCATGCATGGCCTGGCGGCATTCACGCCGCAACGCCATCCGCTCTCGGGCCACCACCATGGCTCCGTGACTCATCGGCACCGTAGCGGCAATGGTCCCGTTCGTCGGGCCGATACCCCTAAGACCCCCTCCACCGACTCAAGCACAGAATGCAATCGTTTCGATCAATGTCCAAAGCGGTGGTATGGTTGTAACTGCAGCTCCGTCTCTGCGGTGGACGTCAGCATGACTCTGGTCAAGCACCCACAGCCTTTGACATGCCTTCCTCGACCGACTTCTTCAACTGCACAGCCACGGAGAAAGGAACACGAGGTTCAAAGGTTCTCAGCCCGATTGTCAGCATCGATGGTCGTCGTCGCCCTGGCCAGCATCCCACTGCAGCTCGGGCACTCACCGGCGTGCTGATCTCGCCCTTTTCGCTAAAGTAGGCCAATGCGAGCTCTCGCGCCACCGTGAATCCCTTTTCGGCCTCTCCAGCCCGGACCGAGCCAAACACCTTGCCGTCGTACTCAAAGTTCAGGCTGGCACCCTTGCCGGTGGGGACGAGGACCAGGTCGAGCGCCGACCCCTTTGGCACCGATCCGCGCGGGAACGCCTCCTTGACCTCGGAGATGCCCCGCGAGAAGGTCTCCTCGGCGGCCGTGCCCGATGGGATCGTCGACTCCTTGATCGCCTTCTTGAGTCGGCCTTGGAGCGCGCGGACGAAGCCATCGCGCAGGTGCGCGAAGTCGGTCGACCGCACCGGCACTGGAATCGTCGTGAGAGCCGAAGGAGAGGTCAGCATGCGTGCTCGCACAAGGCTAGTCGGTGGTGCGGCGGTGGAGCGGCGGTGGTGCGGCGGTGACGCGGCGGATACGTACCGATGCGGATGGCGCACGGTGCTCCCTGATCGATGAGCTTCTGGACCTGCTTTTCGATGCTGTCGGCGTCTCCTCGGAAGCCGCCCTGGGCCGCGACCTGCTGCAGTCGGTTCTCGTCGACGTAGAATGCGGCCACGTAGACGCGGACGCGCAGGAACGAGACGGTGCGTACGCCCAGGCCGACTAGCCTGAGCTTACCTGTCCCCGCGGGTAGAGACGAGGCAGGCGTGGGCAGGTAGAGGGGGAGTGCCTGGTTGGTGTCTGGGTCGATGACGAGGTGCGAATCCGGGCTGGAGAGCGATGGGAGGCTGGCGGCCGTCTTGATGTCCGAGGCCGCTTCGAGCTCGATGGGACCGGAGAGGGTGGAGTAGTAGCAAGCAGCAGCGATGCCGAGTGCAACGGCAGCCGTGGAGACAGCCAGAGGCCTTGGCGGTCCAGCAGCTCGGGAGGTGCTCGAGTGGCTGAAAGTCGACTGATGGCGGCAAGCCGGCCGTGCGGCGGTGGCGGCGCGGCGAGCAGTTGCGACGCCGGCTGTGCGTGCGTGGCCGACGATGCTGGTGGCGATACGAGGCATGGACATGGCGTTGGGGGGGGGGGGATTGGCGGGGCAAGCGGGTTAGCGAGCGCAAAGAGGAGCGGGAGGCGGTCGGCACAGGACGCCAAGAAGAAGGTGTGGCAGCCAGGAAGAAGAGGTGGAGCTGGTTGCGTGCGGCTTCTTTGTCGTGCCTGCTCGCCGTCTTCTTTAACCCGCCTGACCGCCGCCTGCCGACTTTTTGGGACCCGAGGGAGGGGACCCGGGCAAGGCTGGTGGTGTGTGCGGCCTGCCTGCTTACTGTAGGCGTCCGTGCGGCAGACAAACAACGCGCCGCGCCACAAGAGACCAACACGCCGCCAACACCTCGACCCTCGACCCTCGACCCTCGACCCTCGACCCTCGACCTTCGACCCGGCTGGCCATCCTCCCCTTGCCACTGAACCCTACACGACCATCCTCCCTGCCTGCCTCTCATACTCTCCCGCAACATGTCCTTCACGCCAGACTCGGAGCTCAAGCTCGCCTTTGACGCAGCCCTCATCCCGCAGCACTTCAAAGACGAGCTGCCCGACAACCTCCATGTGCGTCCATCCTGGTCCCCCCACTTCTCTTCTCTCCTCTTTGGCCACACACTGACAGCCCTTCCCTCCCTGCCCATGCGCCGCCGCCGCCGCCGCCGCCACAATATCAACAGGTCCGACCGATCTCGTCCACCGACTACTCGCGCGGCCACCTCACCGTCCTGGCCGACCTGACAAAGGCGCCAGACACGGGCCTCGCCGCATGGCAGTCGCGCTTCGACGCCATCCTCTCGACCCCAAACACCTACTACCCCATCGCCTTTATCGACAAGGCGACCGACCGCATCGTCGCACTCGGCACCGTCTTCGTCGAGCTCAAGTTCCTCCGCGACAACGGCAGGGTCGGCCACATCGAGGACATTGTCGTACACAAGGACGGCCAGGGAAAGGGCCTCGGAAAGAGAATCATCCATGTCCTCACCGCCATCGCAGAACAGGCCGGCTGCTACAAGGTCATCCTCGACTGCAGCCCCGACAATGAAGGTGAGCCCTACGAGCAGCGCCGGCGCCCCCCTCGAGCTCCAGCGCTTTGCTCACCAGCCGTGCTCGGTCTGTAACCCCTTTTGCAGCCTTCTACGAAAAGTGCGGATACAAGAACGTCGGAGTCGAGATGGCCAAGTATAAGGCTTGAGAGCGACGCGACCACGCGCGAAACCTCGCAGACTGCACAAACAGAACATTGCAATAGATTGTCCATCCCTCTACAGCAACGATTGCCAGTCTAGTAGCCGGCGGCCACCAAGCGCCGCACGGCACAGGCCCAATCGACGCGCCTACTCCAGGTACTTGCCGACCTCGACCCGACAGACGGCCTCGAACCAGGCCATGCTGCCGCGCCCCTTTGTCTCGAGATGGGGCAGCGCGATCCAGTCCTCGAACGCCTTTCTCCGATGAGCGTTGGGATCCGCCGGCTTGCCGTCCTTGGACGCCGAATCTTCGCGCGCGAAGCTCGCCTTCGACACTCTGTTGGGATCCGAAGACGAGGGCGCTGGCGAGGCCTTGGGCCGCAGCAGGATGGGCACGAGCAGTGCCAGGTGGGATGTCGATAGGACATACGACGGTGTGACGCCGGTAATGTACGAGACTGCGCCGTTCATAGACGAGAAGGGGAAGAGTGAGAGAGCGCGCGTCTGCGAGGTCAGGAGAGTACACGGTGGTGCGCCGCCCACGCCTGGCCTCCTCTCGACTCACCGAAGCGTTCCAACGGCCACGTGCCCCACATTGGCTCCTGAAAGGCAAACTCGAGCCCTCTGGCCTTTGCAGCGTCTGGCAGCAGCGCGGCGATGGCGTCGCTCGTCTGTACAATCTTGGCCAGGTGTTTGTCCTGCGACAGAGCGGCGGGTGAAGGGCGTTGTCAGCTCGGGCAGTCGACTGCTCGTCGAGGCAGTTGCCCTGTGTATCTGCTCACGAGTCTCGTCGTCACGTCTGCGAGGCCGACCTCTGCCCGTTCGATTGCCAGCAGCGCATCCGCCATCCGCCGCTCCTTGAGGCCGCCGGGTCCTGTCACGGGATCGTGAGCTGCGGGCTGGTTGGCGATGGCGGCCGTCTTCCACTGCCTTGGCCGTGGCCCGGACGACGAGGAGCTTGCACCGAGGTTCCTCGCAGATCTGAGGAGGCAGCAGTGGCCAAAGCGGCGGAATTGGAGCAGCATTTGCTGGTCAGCTCTGCACGACCCTCGGTCAAATTGGCACAGGGGTGATGCGCAGGTGCACCTACTCTAGGTCCTCCCAGGCGTCGAGCGCCTGCTTTGCGTGTTTGAGGCCGTCGTAGGTGACGACCTCTTCCCATGCCTCTGCCTGAGCGGCGTATTGCTGCAGGAGTGTTCTGAGCTTGCGGTGGTAGGTCGTCTCCTGTTCCCTCGGTAGGAGCGGGGATTCGAAGACGGCATGGCCGGTGGCAGCGGCGGCCAGGCTGGCTATCCTCTGGCTGTAGGGCGACGAGGCGCCGGAAAAGGAGCGGGCGACACCGCTGCTGCTGCCGCTGCCGCTGCCGCTTCCGCCAGCGCCACCACTACCGGAGGGTGTCGATGGTTTTGCCGGTTTCGCGGCTGCGGCTGCGGCTGCGGGTGTGGCCTTCGGGGACTGGGTGAGGTTGTTGAGGTTGGCCTTCTTGGACGACGAGGCGGTGGGCGAGTTTTTGGCGAGGAGGGTTGCGGCGTTCTGGCTGTTTTTGAAGGGGGAGAGGACGTTGTTAGCCTTTGCGGCTCCAGGGGAAGAGAAGGGAGAGCCAGCCTGGGGCATGCTGAGGGGAACGACGGGGTAGGCAGGCGGTTGGGGGTGGTTGTGTGGGAGGGAGGATGATGATGGACGGCGAAGGCAGCCATCGATGGAGGGTCGAAAAAGTGCCTCGAAAAATCAGAGGGAAAAGTTGGAAAGTGGAGCAGTCGAAGCAGGCCAGGCCAGGCCAGGTCGGCGCCCCGGCGTGAAACCGGAAACCGGCTGGCTCGGCTGCTTCCCCACACCGACCGCACCGAGCACCAGAGAAGGCAGGCAGACCCGGCCCTCTGCTACTCGACGACGGGCGGGCCGGTCTGCTGCCATCTTCCCGACGTCCACCTGCAAACATCCTCTGCCACCTTCACCCGCCTCTACCTGCTACGCGGCCACAGCTGCACGCTTCAACCTCGGGCCCTCCGTGCTCCCTCCGTCGCCAGCATGTCGTCGCCAAAGCAGAGCACCGAGAAAGAGCCCCTCTTCATCGACCCATCCCACGACCCCACATTTCAGTCGCTCAGCCGCCTCCTCTCAGCACCGGCATCCAGCACACAGCACCTCTCATTGCTCTCCACAAACACCCTCTTCGGCTCCATCACCTACTACCTCTCCAAGCTCGAGCTAGAGCACGTCGGCCATTTTATCGGCGTCCTCACCGCTTCAGGCTGCCTCTGGACACCGCCCCCTCCTGCGCACCAGCCCCTCCAGCCCCAGCCCTCGCCCGCAGACGACAAGACCCAGCAAAAGGTAGCATGGTCGACAGAGAGCCGGAACACAACCACTGCAACGGCCACTCCGCCCAAGGACGGCGCTACCAGCCCCGCCGCCGACAAGTCTACCAACACCCCTCCCGTCCAGAGCAGCACGGAGGCGCCCCAGAGTCTCTCGGCCTTCCTCATCTCCCGCTCCACCGCCATCTTGCATGCCGTCGCATCCGCCTTTGACCGCCGCGTCGCCCTGCTCATACAGTCCACGCGCGGCTCCGTCACCTGGAAGACCCGCCGCGGCCTAAAGCTCTGGATCGAGAGCATCGTCGTGGGGATGTCCGAGGTCGAGGCCAGTGCGCAGCCCGAGTCATTCAGGACGTCTCGCGGCCTACCCATTCCTCGCCTCGCTGTCCTCACAGGCCTTCTCCAGGGCCTCTATCTGCTCCGCGATCAGCGCAGACGCAGGCGCAACATGTCGATCCTGGAAGAGATGGCTGCGATCCGTGCCAACCCTTCTCTCGAGCTCGGCGCACGGCCCTTCCGCTCCTTTGTCGAGGACGAGTGGATCGTCTCGTTTGCAGAGATCCTCGATGCGCTCAGCGACGATCCCTTGCGCGAGGATGTCGCCGACGCCTCCACTGGTGCCGGCGGACAAGGCGAAGGCGAAGAGGCCGACGACTGGGAACGAGAGTTCCAGAAGCGCACTGCGCAGCTCGCCGGCTCGGCACAGATCACTGCTCTTTCATCGCGCTCGGCCAAGCTGCAGGCACTTCGCGAGATCCAGGACGTCCCGCTCTTCCTGGCGTCGCAACTTGCGCCTCTGATGCCCGACAAGAAGCTCCACGCCCTCAACACGGAGCAGCTGGCCAGGGTCACTTCCGAGGCGATACTTTCGCTCTTCGAGGGCGGTCCAGCAAAGACGTGCCTTCTCAGCCATCTCTCGGACGACGTCGGCGTCGAAGAGGTTGGAGGCGAAGTGATCCTCAATGGAGGTGGCACCACCGTCCATCTCGCACAGAGCCTTTCGCGATCGACCCTGCATTCGTCACTAGGCCCCCTGTCCAAGCTGCTGTCCAAGGCGCTAGCACGGGAATCAACAGCCAAGGATCCCGACAGCCTAGGTATGCTGCTCATGGGAAGCTGCGAAGCCAGGGAGGATGCTGCGACTTCCCTCACCGCCGAACCAATCCTACAGCGCATGGACCGGCTTGCAAAGGACCTCGAGAGGAACTGGCTCTCTAGCCCGCTCGCAGGCGTGCCGGAGTCGGGTATCGCCGAAGCATCCCGGGCGCACACGGCGCAGCTCTGGACCATCTTCAAGACGCTGCTGTTCTCCTACACGATGGCCTTCGACTCCCTCATGGACGCGATCCTGCAAATGTGCCCCTCGCCCACCGTCACCTTCCCGCCTGCCGCTGAGCGCGAGGGCGGGGCGAACGCGGCGGCTAGCCGGTGGCCGCCGGCCAGCACCTCGAACCTGCCCCAGCCCTATATCCGGATCGTCCAGTCCATCCTCGAGACCTTCTCGCACCTCTACTGGATCACGTCGACCTTTGGATCGCAGGGATTCGACGTCTACCGCAAGGTCTTCTTCTCGGCCCTCGATGTGCTCGGCCGCGACGGCGAAGGCTGCATAGCCTTGCTGGAGCGGATCCGGCCGGACGCCTCGCCCTCGCTGCAGATCGAGACCAACGCGGCCCGCCGCTCCCTGTCGACCTACTTTCTCGACGTCTCGGAGCAGCTGCTGCCGGCGCTTCCGGACGAGGTCATCGAGCAGCTGCTCCTGCCCACCTGCCGCCCTTACCTCGAGGACACACAGTTCAAGGAGACGTTCGAGTCGGCGCACTCGGTGGCGCTGGCAGTCTACACGCACCGCCGGCGATGCATGTTCGACCTTGCGCCGTTCTACATCGACCTGCTGCTGAGCAGCTACCCAGACCGGCTGGACGACGTGCAGCTCGAGTTTGCCGTCACCACCGTGGTCGGTGCGCTCGCGGATCGGAGCGATTCGGTCTGCTGGTGGGTCGTTGAGCGTGTGGCACAGGCGATCGACGAGGAGCGAAAGAGGGAGCACCAAAGCGGCAAGACGACTTCGATTGTCGACGCGACCGCTACGGATCCGGCGACCGAGCCTACACCGACAGAGCTGCAGGAATCTGCCGCCGCTTCGGCCTCGGCCTCGTCGCCGTCGTCGGCATCGACCGAATCAAGGACAGGCGACGAGACGGCAAAGGTAGCAACGGCGTACCCGCGCCTCGTCACGCTGCAGCTCGTACTCATCGCATGCGTGCCCTGCGTCAACCTGGTGCTGCTCCGATCGATCCTGGCCAAGGCGGAGACGTACATCCTCGAGCACAAGCGACAGGAAGACGACGAGGAGCGAGCCTCGGTCGGGTACAGGAAAGCGCTGTGCGAAAAGACGTTTGACGCGCTCCAGGCGCTCAATGCGGCGACGAGGGAGGAAGGCGTCAGGTGGTGGCTGGATAAGAGGGCGGCCTTTGGCGTGTAGAGAGGGGGACGACGCGGAAGACGCGGGTGGCGAGGTTGCTGGCCCAAAGGGCAAAGGGTCGATAGTGCGCCATCCCACATTTCTATGCCCGAGAACTTGTCCGACATCCACTCTACTTAGCAATCACGACTCTGGCACGAGATGGTCAAGCGCCCGTCTATTTGCCCGACGACGTCGGTGCCTTTGCCTCGCTGTTCGACGCGGAAGCCACTCCGCGACGAAAACGGATCACGCGCACAGGCATCGCGCCGACCCGCATCAAGCGGCCGCTTCATCGGTCCCTCGATTTGACAAGGTATATTTGAACGACCTTACGCAGACGGGCTCGGCGTCTAAGAATGACTGACCCGTCGGCTCGCAAACTTGCTGCGACTCCGTCTACTCTAGCGTCTCTACAATAATCTCCCGCGCTGCCTCTATCGGCCATTGCGAGGGCGACCTACTTCATGTCGGCGATCTTGCCGTCCTTCATGGTGATGGAGCTCTTGAGGGTGAGACGCTTGGGGTCGGAGCTCTTTCCGACCCAGACCTTGTAGGTGCCGTCGACGATGGTGTAGGCCTGCTTCTCGACGCTCCACACGCTAAAGTCGCGGCGGGTCAGCTTGAACTCGGCCGTCTTGGTGGATCCGGGGGCGACGTCCATGAGCTTGTCGAAGCCGCGCAGCTGCTTGATGGGCGCCTCGGCGGCCTCGGGGTAGCCGAGGTAGAGCTGGGCCACCTCGTGGCCGCTCACGTGGCCGACGTTCTTGACCTTGGCGCACACCTTGGCCAGGTACTGGAACAGCCTGGCCGATCCGCCCGGGTGCTTGTCCTTTCCGCTCTGGGTGGGCACCTCGGTCGGGTAGAAGTCGTCGTCGCCCGTCTGGCTGATCTCGAGATCGGAGTAGTCGAACTCGGTGTACGAGATGCCGTGGCCGAAGCGGACCAGGGGCTCGAGGTTGAGCTTGTCCCACTGGCGGTAGTCGATGTAGAGGCCCTCCTCAAAGTCGACCTGCGGGTCGTCGACGGGTCCGTTGATGATCTTGGGGTAGTGCTTGGCGTCCCTCTTGGCCAGGATCGAGAAGGGCATGCGTCCCGACGGGTTCGTCTCGCCGTAGAGCATCTCTGCGATCGTCGAGCCCGACTCCTGGCCGGGCAGGTGGGCGAAGACGAGGGCGGTGATGTTGGGGTGGTCGAACCACTCGTCCATGTAGATCTGGCCGACCGAGTGGACGACGACGATGGTGTTGTTGCTGGCGGCCGCGACGGCCTTGATCATCTCGTCGCCGTTGGCCTCGAGGGCGAGGGTGCTGCGGTCGCTGTCCTCGCCCGAGCGCGCCTGGACAAAGACGAGGCTCGCATCGGCGATCGATGCCGTCGACTGCACCAGCTTGCGGTTCTGGCCGCCCTCGTCGACCTCGTCGATGAGGTTGCTCTCGACGGTGCCGCCGTACTCGCGCGCCTTGGCCGAGATGCCGGCGAGCGGGTCGATGAGGTAGGGGAAGTAGCCGGCGCCCGAACCCCAGCCGATGGCGTTGGTGCCGTTCGAGGTGTGGTTGCCCGGGCACAGCTGCGATCCGCGGCCCAGCCAGCCTTGGCAGCCGTTGATGCCGTACGGGTTGGGTCCGGCGTCGCTACCGAACACGGCCACCCTCGCCTTCTTGGCGAGCGGCAGGCCGACGGGCGCGCGCCCCTCGATGCCCTGCGCGCCGGCCTCGGCCCCACCCTTGCCCTTGCCCTGGCGCTTGTTGTAGATGAGCGTGATGGCCTCCTCTGCCACCTTCTTGGCCACCTTCCAGTGGTCGGCCTGGACATTCTTGTGCTCGTTGACGAGCGTGCCGTTGAGGTAGGTGTTCATGTAGCCGTCCTTGTAGTTGACCTTGGGCCAGTCCTTGTCCTGGCCGCGGAGGATGTACTGGGTCAAGAGGCGGACGATGCCATCGTCGACGCGCTCCTGCTTGACGGTGCCGTCCTGGAGCGCCTTTGCGAGGTTCTTGCCGCCGACGAGGTTGCGGTATCCGCCCGTGTTGCCGCCGGGCATGACGACGTCGCTGCCGCCGTTGTACGTGTCGCTGGTGTTGAACGCGGCCGACCAGTCGGTGACGACAAAGCCCTGGAAGTCGAGCTCGTCCTTGAGGATCGTGTTGAGCACCTTGGAGTTTTCGCAGCCCTGGGTGCCGTTGATGCGGTTGTAGACGCACATGACGGCGCCGCTGCCGGCGCGGACGGCGTTCATGAAGGGCCACAGGTAGAGCTCGTGCATGGTGCGGTCGTCGAGGTTGGCGCTGTACGTGTTGCGCGTGTTGTTCTGCGGGTTGAGCGTCCACGGGTCGTCGGCGGCGTAGAGCTGGCGGAACGTCTCCTGCTCGTAGGCGAGGAAGTGCTTGGCCGTTGCGATGACGCCGTTGGACTGCGTGCCCTTGATGGTGTGGTAGCCGGCCTCGCCCTGGAGGTAAGGGTCGGGACCGTAGCCCTCCCAGTTGCGTCCCTGCCAGGGACCACGTCCGAGGGGACCGCCAGTGGCCGGGCCAAGGTGTACATTCTGGTCGGCGAGGACGGATGGGGCGGTGCACGGCAGCAAGATGGTCAGCGCCGTTCCGCGATGCCCACAGGGATTTGGTCAGCCAGGACATCCGACCGCGGCACTCACGATACCCTTTCCCTTGACCTCCTCTGCGAGTGCGGCGGCGCGCTGGTAGATGAGGTCGCGGTTCCACGTCGCGGCCGTGGTGAGGCCGGGCGGGAAGACGGTGACAAAGTCCGAGGTGCGCACGCCTGCGGGCCCGTCCTGGAAGCAGAGCTCTGGGATGCCGAAGCGGTCGACCCTTCCGAGGGTGCCCTCGCACCTACCCTGTCCGGCCAGGCCGGCGGTGAGGTTGAGCTTCTCGTCGATGGTCATCTGCGAGACCCACGACTTTGCCCTCTCGACGGCCCACTCCCAGCCGCCGTTGCCCGTGATGGGGTGGAAGGGGCTGTTGACGTCGGCGAGCTCCGGCCCGCCTCTCCAGAAGCCGGCGGCATTGTAGGGAGAGTCGGGAGAGACCGTGTCGGACGAAGAGACGGCGGTGCCCTCGGTAGCGGGGCTGTTTGAAACGGTGGTGTTGTGCTCGGCGGCCTGGCGGGCGTTGAGGAGGTACTGTGCGTGCTCGATCGAGGCGGCCGAGGTGAGACTGCACAGGAGGGCCGAGAGGTAGACGCCGAGGAAGAGAACGGCACGAGTCGAGCCCTTCATCGTGACTAGGGGCGGAGGACCCTTGGGGAGGGGGGAAAAGATGAGCAAGGGGGGATCGACGAGGTGGTCAATGGCTTGAGAGACGAGGGAGATGGATGCTGGACCATGACAATTGCGACTGGGTTTGAAAAAGTGCTATATATACATGCTGCGCTGATGTCAACTGGATGGCACCGAAGATCAACGACGCCGGTGTGTGGGGCGAGAGCGGTTAGGTAGCAACCAGGGCCGAGGAGCGTGATGGCGGCCAGAGAATCGTATCGCTGCTGCTGCTAATGTCGTTACGGCAGGTACATACATACGTGCGTATCGGAAGGGCGAGGCGAGGCAAAGTGGAGCGGCGCCGACGAGAGATTGCCGAAGCTTGACCGGCGGACGACCTGTGGTACCGGTAGTGTAGCTGAGGCGTGCTTGCCCCGCAGCGTCCTTGTGCCTTTTGTTGGAGGTCGTCGTCGCCGGTGCGGGGGGTCGTCGAGGGGATATCGTAGGCCGGCAGGGCGAGCCAGGGACAGGCAAAGAGGGCGGGCAGGGTCGAATGCGTCGCAAACGTCGCCGGTTTGAGCAATGGCTCGATCCGATGTCTTGGCTTCCCCACACACACACGCGCACGCGCACCCACACCAGGAACCACCACGGCGCGGCGTATGACTACACCTGCTCCCAGTCGGGTGGCGGCGAAACAGTGGACTGCGCAGTCGACTTGATTTCACCGTAAGCAAGCAGCGGACTGTGGCAGGCAATGGTTGGCGTACGTCCGAGACGAGGCGGCATCGACGGCCATGACAGTTCCGACCGGCAACCCGAACCGTCAGGATCTCGAGGCCAAAGACGCGGCTCCGGCAAGTCAGGGGCAGGCATACGGAAGCACACGGTCTCGGAAGACAGAGAGGACACGATGGAGGCCAAGGATCCGGCAGGCAGGCAGGGGGTGAAAGCATCCGACCGCCTCGGACATAGCAGGTTCAGGCCGAGACCGGGACGGCGACCAGGCTCAGCTCGCCGGGCCATGGAGCAACCGCTTCGGCTTCGGCATCGACGCCTCGTTACGCGCGCACAACCTCTTTCGTCTGCCGGCAATTGCGGACAGAGTACGTGTCGGGCAAGCGCACCCGCCACGAGGATCCAAAGAGACTATGTAAGGTGCACGGCAGCTACGCACGCCTTTGTGGCAGCAAACGCCGGCGGCGGCGCGCGTCTCGACCAAGACGCTTCGCGACCACGACAGGCGACGGCACCTTGATGCCGGGCGTGGCAGAGGCAGGGCCAAGTCAGCCTCTGTAGAGCACAAGACGAGGAGGCTTCCGACGGCAAAGTACAGTAGTCGGTGAAAAGGTCCCGTTTTGGACACGCACCGGCGACCCTCACCGGTCGACGACGGTCGTCCGGGGGAACGAGAACCGAAGGGAAGCGGGGGGCGCGTGGGGGATGGATGCCACCGGGCCAGGCAAAAGGGTACCTACAGTAACTCACTCACCAGCACGGACGGAGGGACGTGTGACCTGGTCGGGTCGCCGGTTGAATCGGCCTCTGCGACGCCTCTCTGGCCATGCGACGAGTTGCGACGAGGCGGACTGCGCGGAGACGTCGTCGTGGACCATCATGGAAACCGTCGACGGTGACGGTGGACGATGCGGCTAGGATGCATCTGCATGTTTGCGGGGCCCATCGCTGCCATGGCATCGAAAGACGACGGGGCAAACGACATCGGCGCTGCTGGCCGCCGGCGACCCCTCGACTGTTGTCGACGACAGCATCGATCGAGTTTGGCGCGCGCCGTCGTGCATGGATCAAGGCTGCCCGCCTCTATGCTGTGGCTTGCTCGCCTCCTGGCTCTAGCATGACAGCCTATCACGCTTTCTTCAGATGGGCTCGAGGTGCCAGCCTGCCTGACTGCACTACTCTACCTCTTCCTCTCTGCTGAGTCTACCCGAGGGTGTCTTGCTGCTCGTTCCTTGGACACCCCCGCACTCTCCTCTCTGCCCCCGCTCCTTCTGCTCAGATGACCCCCCCAGTACAGTGTAGTCCGCTCCTCCTGCCTTTACATCGACCGGCAACCTCGCCGTCGACGGTGCCAGACCCTGCCTGGTTTGGCTACCGCAGAACGCCATACGGCACCTGCTTTCAGCTCGATGAGCACCGTGCCCCTCTGCCCCACGCCGACCAAAGACAACCCACCACGACCTGACCTTAGCCCCGTTGCGCCGACGCCCCGCTTCTCGTACGTCTTTTGCCTCGTTTGTCTACCTCGTGGCCACCAGACGCGACACCGGCGACGTTGGCCCTGCGTTGACCGCGACGCCCTCGCTCATCAGCCCCGCGCCTCCCGTGTGGGCTTCGCACCTGACACTCGCAAGGCCGGACTTTGCAACCCAGCCACGCCTCCCCAGCCGATAGACGACGAGGCGCTCTCCAGGTCAGGCAGTGGCTCGGTAGCATGGGGGCCACGCCTCCTCTGCGCCTGGCCCGTTCATCGTCTTGCGCTCCACCCCCCTTCAGTTAAAACCACGTCGCCTCGACGCTCGGCCCCCTCGACTTTTGTTCCAAGGCCCTCCCTCCCTCCCCTTTGCCCACCTCGTTCTTTCCGTGCCCTCACTCTTTCTCCTACCGCCGATCTTTCATACGCCCACCCTCCACCATGGCCCCCTTCGCCAGCAGCCAAGGCGGATCGGGTGTCGAGGCGACCCTCGCCGCTCGCCGCATCGAACTCGCCGGCTCCCCCGGTCTCGCCGGACTACTCAAGAACGGCCGCACCACTTCGATCGCCGTCTTTGCTTCGCTCGGCGGCCTCGTCTATGGCTTCAACCAGGGTCTCTTCGGCCAGATCCTCTCCATGAACTCGTTTGCCCGAGCCAGCGGTGTCACGGGCATCGAGAACGCCACCCTCAGTGGTCTGCTCACCAGTATCCTCGAGCTTGGCGCTTGGGTCGGTGTCCTCGCCAACGGCTACCTCGCCGACAGGCTCGGTCGCAAGCTCTGTACCGTCCTCGCCTGCTTCATCTTCATCATCGGTGTCATCATCCAGGCCTGCACCCACGGAGGCAATTATGACTACATCCTCGCCGGCCGTACCGTCACCGGTCTCGGCGTCGGCTCCCTCAGCATGGTCGTCCCCCTTTACAACGCCGAACTGGCTGCTCCTGAGATCCGAGGCTCTCTCGTCTCCCTGCAGCAGCTCGCAATCACCTTCGGCATCATGATCAGGTGAGCCCGCCCGATGGCAGAGATACGTCAAGGACAGATTTCGGCATAGATACTGACGCGTGAACGGTATGGGTTCATATGCGTGTTCTCGTTCGTGAACGATGCGTGTCCTCATTCGTGAACGATGCCTGTTCATTCTCGTGAACGATACGTGTTCACAGCTACTGGATCACATACGGCACCAACTACATCGGCGGTACGGGCGAGGGACAGAGCTCGGCTGCCTGGCTCATTCCCATCACAATCCAGATCCTGCCGGCCTTGATCCTGGCCGCCGGCATGGCCTTTGTCGTACCCGAGTCTCCCCGCTGGCTCATGAATGAGGGCCGCGATCAAGAGGCGCTCAACGTCATCGCCAACCTCCGTCGCCTTCCGGAGAAGGACCTGCTCGTCCAGATGGAGTATCTCGAGCTCAAGGCCCAGAAGCTCTTCGAGATGCGCCTGTCGCAGCACGACTTCCCGCACCTCCAGGGCGACTCGGCGGGCAGCAAGTTCAAGCTCGGTCTGGCGCAGTACAAGAGCCTGTTTGCCAACCCGAGCAACCTCAGGCGAACGCTCGTCGCCATCCTCGTCATGTTCTTCCAGCAGTGGACGGGCGTCAACTTCATCCTGTACTACGCGCCCTTCATCTTCCAGTCGATCGGCCTCGACAGCTCCAACACCATCTCGCTGCTCGCCTCGGGCGTCGTCGGCGTGGCCATGTTCCTCGCCACAATCCCCGCCGTCCTCTACGTCGACAGCTGGGGACGCAAGCCTACGCTCATCGTCGGCGCCATCTGCATGGGTGTCTGCCACCTATCGGTCGCCATCATCATTGCCACCTGCTCCGACAACTGGGCCGCCCACACGGCCGCCGGCTGGGTCGCCTGCGTCTTCATCTGGCTCTTTGCCGTCGCCTTCGGCTTCTCGTGGGGTCCCTGCGCCTGGGTCGTCGTGGCCGAGGTCTTCCCGCTCGGCCTGCGCGCCAAGGGCGTCAGCCTGGGCGCCAGCAGCAACTGGCTCAACAACTTTGCCGTCGCCATGTCGACGCCCGACTTTGTCAAGGCGGCCAAGTACGGCGCCTACATCTTCCTCGGCCTCATGTCCATCATCGGCGCCGCCTACGTCTACTTTTTCGTACCGGAAACCAAGCAGCGCACGCTCGACGAGCTCGACGAGCTCTTCGGCGACAACTCGGGCCGCTCCAAGTGGGAGGCCGAGCAGATGCTCCAGGCCCAGCGCGAGGTCGGCCTGCTCCGCCTCGCCGGCATCACCGAGGCCGGCGACGCGCTCCCCATCAACGAAAAGGAGAAGGACGACGACTCGTCCAGCCACGGCAAGAAGGACGACCTCGACGTCCACACCGCCTAGGGGCGTGCCGACCCTCGTCGAGGCCGTCCTCGGTGACGCCCGGTCCTTGGGAACCCCCTTATCACGCTCATCGCATCCCCTGGACTCGTGATGCATCTCGACGACTCTTCCGCGCTTCGAACCTCTGGCTCCGCGACGCAATAAACGCTCACGACCCACCTTGCTCGCCCCTGTTTCACGACATCGGCTGAGGAACCCCCGTCCGAACCTGTATACCTCACGATCTGTTACCTGCCTCTCGGTCCCTTCGTACACGCCCTCTCGTCTTTGCCTTGGGAAGTCTTGAGAAATCGATCCGTCAGTTCACCGCACCGACAGTCGCGCACAACGGGCGGGGCCGCTGACATGGGCGCAACTCGCACGGCGGCACTAGATTAAGAACGACTGAATCGCCAAGCCTTCGAGATCCGTCCTCACCCTCGTTCTCGTCCTCACCCTCGTCGGGGTCCCGCCGCCACGCCAGGATGCTGGGCTGCGGGCACTACTCGTCGCCGGGGTTCTTGAACCTCCTCAACGCCCTCTCCCTCGCCTGCTTGTGCTCGACGATGGGCTTGGGGTAGCCGAGCTTCTTGAACTCGGCCGGGCTGAGACGGTTGAAAGGGTCGTGGATGGCGTTGCCCTTGACGTTGCGGAGCTCGGGCACAAAGTGGCGGATGTACTCGCCGTCCGGGTCGCTCTTTTCCGACTGCGAGAGCGGGTTAAAGATGCGGAAGTAGGGCTGCGGGTCGGTGCCCGTCGAGGCCGACCACTGCCAGCCGCCGTTGTTGGAGGCAAAGTCCTGGTCGACAAAGTTGAGGCTAAAGTGGCGCTCGCCCTCGCGCCAGTCGTGGAGGAGGTGCTTGGTGAGGAACATGGCCGAGATCATGCGGCCGCGGTTGTGGATGTAGCCCTGCTTGATGCACTGCCGCTGCGCCGCGTCGACGATCGGGTAGCCCGTCCGGCCTTCCTTCCACGCCTGCAGCGTCTCGCTGTCCGTCTCCCACTTGACGTCCTCGTACTTTGTGATAAAGGCGTGGCCCATGCACACCTTGGGCCAGGCGGCCAGGACGTGGCCGTAGAAGTCGCGGAACGACACCTCGGTGTTCCACATGGCCACGCCCGAGTCGCGGCCGACGTGCAGGCGGTTCTTGTTGATCGCCATGGTCCGCCTCAGGCACTCGCGCGGCGAGACGAGCCCCGCGGCCAGGTACGGGCTGATGCGCGACGTGCCGTTCTCGGAGACGAGGTTGCGCCCGGTGCTGTACCGCCCGATGCGCGACTCTTTCGAGTTGGCGCCGACGTTTTCCGACCCTTCGTTGGCGGGCGCGTCGAGGATCGTCTTGCCTCCCTTGCCCTCCATGAAGTTGTCGAGCACCTTCTTGGCCGCGTCGCCCTCGACCGGCCAGAGCTTGGCCATGTAGTCGCGGTCGGCGCACTCGAAGCCCTCGAGCTGGTCCGGGATGCCGTACCCGTCGCCCAGCTTTTCGAGGTCGAACAGCGCGCCCAGCTCCTTGTCCTGGCGGATGGCCTTGTCGTTGGGCTCGGGCTCGGGCGACTCGTCGAGGAGCGACATGTCCTTGGAGAGGATGTCGGTCCACTTGCGGTTCCACGGCGAAAAGACGCTGTAGGGCCTGCCGTCGTTGGTCGTCACCTTGCCCGGCGGCACGACGTAGCAGTCGTGGAAGAGCGAGAAGGCCACGTCGCGTTCGCCGGCCTGGTCGACCATCTTGGCGTCGCGCCACAGCTCGTCGACCTCGTACTCGATGTTGGCCGTGAGCTGTCCCGCGCCCCACTGCTTGCACAGCTCAAAGACGCGGTCGATGATGGCGGTGCGCGGCTCGACGGTGACGACGACAAAGGGGATCTGCTTTTCGGCAAACTTGCGCTCGAGGTCCCTCAGCGTGCGGAGGACAAAGTCGATGCGCCGGGCGCTGCGGTCGTGCGCGCGGAAGTCGCCTGGGCTGATGACGTGGAGCGCGATGAGGTTGCCGCCCTTGCCCTTGTCCCTGCGCTGCTTTGCGAGTTCAGAGGCGTGGGCGAGGGCGCGGTTGTCGTGGATGCGTAGGTCGTGCATGCGCATCCAGTAGACGACGTTGCGGCCGTCTTCTGCGCTTCCGATCTTGGAGGGGGCGTGCTTCTTGAGCGAGTCTTCGAGCCTCTGGAGTGGCGTCTTTGACGAGTCCTTGGGGTTGAAGTCGGAGCGGTGCCAGCCCTTGCCCTCCTTTGCGTAGGCGTCTGCGCCGTATCCCTTTTTTACGGTGTTCTGGGCCATGTCGATGGAGCCCTTCTGGTCGGTGGCCTTGGACGACTTCTTGTACTTTTTGGCCGGGGGCTTGGACGTCTCTTCCTCGGACTCGTCCGGGTGCTCTGCCAATTTGGGGTCAAGGGCGCGCTCCTCGTGGTCGGTCTGCTCCACCGTCTTTGAGGGCGACGCGGGCGTGGCGCTGGCACCGTTGGCCTCGTTGCCATTCTGCTTGGCTTCGGATGCCGCCGAAGTCTTGCGCTTGGGAGCCATGTCGGGCGGCGACGTAACCAGAGGGCGACGATGGTGGGTGGGCGCAGCAAAGACGGCGCGTCTCGGAGGAGCCGCGCGAACGAGCGAAGGACGCGAGTACAGGAGGAGTAGTCTGCTGGGAGTCGCGGTTGGGAGGCGATGAAACATAAACGGTCGTCGGATCGATCCGACTCGAAAGGCGCTGGGGGATGGAGGTTGGTCGATGGGATGGAGAGGAGCAGGGACAGAAGAAAGGAATCTGGTTCGGGAACAGCTCCGCCCTGCTTTGAACCCTCATCCGCTCCCAAGGCTGAGCCGTCGGGGGCGCTGGCAGAGGAGGCCGTCAAAGGCCAGGAGCCGCCCGTCCATGATGGTCCCCAGCCGGGCTCGGCAGCCTGCCTCGAGATCCGGGATCTCTGTTTTAGAGCTGGCTTCTGGCACGTCAAAAGGTCCAGCAGCGAGAGGGGGTCCAGAGGGAAGCTTACCCAACCCCTCGCTGCGTCCCGTCAGGCCGGCCTGCTGCCGTCGATCCGCGACGCTGTCGTGCAGCAGCCTGCAGGTGGAGGCTAGGGCGTTGATCGGCTCGGGAGTCGGCTAGATTCCAACGAGACTTGACTTCCGATTGAGGGTCTGTCCCGATTGGGGAGCATCGGGGTTGGAGCGGTTCCGAAGACCGAGGTCGAGGCTCGAGAGGCTCGGGTCTGAATCTTCGCAACGACGCCGGAGCGGGGCGCAGGCAGGGGTGCGGGCGGGCAGGCGGGCAGGCAGGCAGGCAGGCAGGCAGGCAGCCGGCATCAAGGCGGCTTGTCCGGGACAAAAAACTCTATTGCGGGCGTGGGCCGCTGACTCCTTTGGGCCCCTCGGAAGCGGTGCCGTCGTGCGACCTTCTCGATACCACCTCAATCCTGGTCACCCACCTTTGCTCGGCTTCATCTCGCCGCTGGCACCGCCTCGCCCTTTGCCCGCATCCTCTCTTCCCGAGTCGTTTCGACCTGCGCAGTCGACCCAGCCCTTTCCCTCAGCACCTCTTCCTTACTCCCCCACACTTTCTACCGACCTCGAGCTCTGCCCATCATGTCGCTCAACGGCGGTGGAGGTATCAAGGTCTTTTCGGGGACCAGCCATCCCGAGCTCGCACAGCTCGTGGCAAAGAGGTGAGCTGCGTACGCCGAGGCGGCCGTCTTGCGCTTTGCACCCGCGCTCACCCCCGTCTCGTGTCGATCCCCGCCCGACCACGCCAGGCTGGGACAGCCGCTGGGCAAGGCCACCGTCACTCGCAACGACTCGGGAGAGTCAATCGTGCGCATCGCAGAGTCGGTCCGCGAGCACGATGTCTACATCATCAACACGTCGTGCGTCTCGCCCACCCCGACTGGCGTCGCAGCCTCGCCCAACACGGCCCTCATGGAGCTCCTCATCATGATCCACGCCTGCAAGACGGCGAGCGCCCGCAGGATCACGGCCGTCATCCCGCACTTCTTCTACGCCCGCCAGGACAAGAAGGACAAGAGCAGGGCCCCCATCACCGCCAAGCTCATCGCCAACATGCTCGAAAAGGCCGGCTGCGACCACGTCATCGTGAGTCTTGGCCTCGATCTTGAGTTGCGCTCTCGCGGCCCCATCGTGCCGCGCCCTGGCTGATCACCTACCCCTCCTCACCCGTCTTCCTCTCGTCCTCGTCCCCTCTCTCGACGCCCAATCGCTCCCTTTATAGACCATGGACCTGCACGCCTCGCAGATCCAGGGCTTCTTTGACGTGCCCGTCGACAACCTCTACGCCGAGCCCGCGGCGCTCCAGTACATCCGCGAGATGGTCGACTGCAACAAGGCCGTCATCGTCTCGCCAGACGCCGGAGGAGCCAAGCGCGCCACGTCGCTCGCCGACCGCCTCGAGCTCGACTTTGCCCTCTTCCACAAGGAGCGCAAGCGCGCCAACGAGGTCTCGCGCATGGTCCTCGTCGGCAACGTCGAGGGCAAGACGGCCATCCTGGTCGACGACATGGCCGACACCTGCGGCACCCTCGAGCTCGCCGCGGCCCAGCTGATCGAGTACGGCGCCGAGCGGGTGCTCGCCATCGTCACCCACGGCATCCTCAGCGGCCCGGCGCTCGAGAGGATCGCAAAGAGCCGCCTCGAGAAGCTCATCGTCACAAACACGCTGCCCCAGTCGATGAACCGGGCAAAATGCCCAAAGATCGAGGAGATCGACATCTCCCATGTCCTCGCAGAGTGAGTCTCGGGGCGCGGCTCACTCGAGCGACCAGCGCGGACCGGCTTGCTGACTTGCTGCTGCCCGGCGCTTTCCCCCCCGTTCTCAGGACGATTCGGCGATCGCACTACGGCGAGTCGGTCTCGGTCCTCTTCAACCAGATCCCCTATGACACTACGCAACCCTACCGCCATGGGCAAGACCTGCAGCTGGCCGCGGGGGAAGGCAGCATGAGCCGGTCGGCGTCCGAGTCCAGACAGAGCCTCCAGGTCAGCGCGCCGCCATCGCGGGGCATCAGCCCGTCGAGCTCGACCCAGGCCTTTCCGCCATCGCCCTACAACGACCCGGACCCGCCGGCGCCCTCCAACTACTTCCGTGACGCCGTCGGCGGCAGCGCCAGTACGCCCCTGGCGTCGTCGCAGCAAGCGGCGCGGGCCGACCAGACGCCCAAGGCCACGCCGGTGCTCGAGGATGGCCAGACGCCGTGGAGCCCGTTGGGGAAAGGCGCCATCTGAGGCGCGCACGCAGCAGACGGCCCAGAGTCAAAGATCATAGAGAGGTGGGAACGTCTTTTGTCGGTTGCCGGCGTCCACGGGTGGCCGTGCGAACGCGAAGCGATACAATCACATCGAGAGCCGGCTTTTCCAAAGTCGCTGCCGTGCCTGGCCTGGCCTCTACGGATGGTAATGTGCACGGATGCTGGCGCGCGCAACTCTCGGTCACTTTTTGACGTGCTCGTCTCGTCGTGATGGGGGCGTCGAGGCCGTTCACGCGGGCGACACCTCGAGATCACGTCGTTCTTGGTTGGCGTCCCTGCTCTTAGTGGGGCTTTGAGGCCTTGTCCGCTTTGGCGTCGCCTCGTCCCTCGAGCTTCCTGATCTCCTCGTGCGCCTGCGCCAGCTCCTTTTTCGTCGCGGCCAGCACCTTTTGTGCCGCAGCCAGCTCTTTCGTCGCGGCCAGCACCTTTTGCGCCGTAGCCAGCTCCTCTTTCGTCGCGGCCAGCACCTTCTTCTTTGCGGCCAGCACGGCTTTCTTCGCGGCCAGCTTTGCATTCGCTTCGGCCTGGTGGTCTAGCTTTTGGCCCGGCTCGTCTTGCGATGGCAACACCTCGGCGTCAGCTGCCGGGCGACCCCGTTCTTCTCGCTCCCTGTCGTGCCGATGAGCTTCGTACAGGCAGCGATCCTGCGAACTCTGGTCGTCGTCGTCGGATGTGGACTCGTTCTGGCCCTTGGACTCAGAGGGACCGGCGATTCTAGCACGCTTCTGCGACGGCGCTTCGACCGGCTGGCCGTTCCTCTGCTCGACTTGTTCGCGCTCGCGTCCCCTCTTCTCTCCGTCGCCAGCGCCGTCGCCATTGCCCTTGGGCTCATAATGGTCCGAGGCGTTGGAGGTGCTAAAGCTGCGCTTGGCGCCCGAGTTGACGAAGCCCTGCATCGGTTGCAAGCGGCTCGGCGGGTCTCGGAAAGGCTCGAGCAGTCGACTCGGCGCCGACTGCGGGACGGGACGCGATATGATGGGTCGGCCGTCCTCTCGTCGCTCCATGATCAGCCTGGTAGGCTGAGAAACGCCAGAGATAGCGCTGCTGGTCGAATTGGTCGAATCTTTGACCGGTTCAGAGGGGAAACGAGGAGGAGGAAACGACATGTTGGTTCGTGTGCCGGTGCGAACTCGGAGAGAACGTGTCGAGAGGATGCTGTGTCACGGTGACGATAGCCGGTCGGAAAGGTGGAAGGGGGTTGAAGGGAGGAGCGAAAGGGATGAGGGAAGGAGGATAGAGGAGGAGGGAGGAGGAGGATGGAGGATGGAGGAAGAAGAGGAAGATGGGCTGGAGACTGTATACGTCCCATGGCGCAGAGGGCGAGCACGCAGAGGTCGAGCGGGAAGGTGCACCACACGACGTCCGCCCTTCCGCCCTGCCCTGCCCGGCTACGCCCCGGCTAGCACCACGCTGTCTGCACAGGCATGGGTGGTCATGGACCTGCGCAGCCGCTAAACCTTGCCGCCTTCATCCCGGTACCTTGTCGGTCGCCGGCCGCGGCGAAGCGGCGCTACGCCCCGTCGACGACCCCAGCTAGCTAGGGTGAAGCCGAACAGTCAAGGCTCGGAAGCGGACCGAAGCGCGCTTCAAGGTCACATTCAGCATCGTTGTCACATGCGCAAAGCGTACGGACCGTTATAACAAGACGTGGCTGGTATCTCGAGTAAGGGAAGGGAGAAGAAGACGAACAAGATCTGACCCACCGGGCAGGGCACAGGGTCGGAGGCGAAAGAGCGAGACGCTGCGCCGAACGCCGGAGGCTCATCTGACTCGCGAACCAGCTAGCGAGGCCGACTGGCTAGGTCAGTTGTTGCCATACATCGGCGGCGGCGGCGCTGTTGGTGAGGCGTAGGCACCGTACGTGGCCGGAGGCGCGGGCAATGGGGCCTGGTTGCCACCATGCCCTCCGTAGACGCCAGTGTGCGGCCCTGGCGCTTCGTGGCCGTCGTTGCCCCCATTGCCGTGGTATCCATACGGCGGCGCAGGCGCATCTGAACCGCTCACGTCTTCGATCGAGTACCGACGTCCGGACAGGTCGGCAGGTGCGCCCGCAGCTGCTGCCGCGCCAATCGCAGAGTTGCGCTTCTGGATGTGGAGCGGCTGCGTCGACGACGACGACGGGTACTCGTTCTCGGGCGTCGCTCCACCACCGGGCGCCGAGTCGAAACCGGTGTAACCGCCTGGCGGCACGGGGGTCGTTGCACCGGTGTTCTCGTGACCAACCTGCGCGGGAGGGGCGGGCAGCGCCTGAGCGCTAGGCGCCCGGTTGAAGCCACGACGGAAAGCGGCGGCCGTCACCTTCTTCCCTCCGTCTGGCGTGCCAGCACCGACCGCGCCGGCCGCCAGAGACCCGTACGTCGACGCCCGGGACCCGGGACCCATTGCCGATCCGCTCGACGAGGTTGGACGGCGGAAGGCCTCCTGATGGGCTCGCGTGCCTCCTACGGACTGGAAGTAGTTCGAATCGCCAGCGGCATTGGTCGTAGGTGCCACATCGTACGAGGACGCAGCAGCTCCGAAGGTTGCGGGCACCGGGCTGGCGACAGTGACGGCAGCGTCGAGGTTATCCGAGGGGAGCGGCGTGGATGTGCGGAGCGGCGGCAGCATTGGCGCACCCAGGCCTGGGTACCCCGCGCTGCTTTGAGACTGCGCCATGTGCGGGGCGGCGGTCGTCTCGGTAGCGGCGACATCCGCGATGCCGGTATTGTGGTCAACGTGGCCCTCGTTGGTGTCGTGGGTCCCGCGTCGTTGCGGAGCCTCCGCCGACACCCTTCGACTGGTGGCGTAGAGAGAGTCCTGGTCACCGGCGTGCTGATGGTTCCCGACGCTCTGGTGCGGCGACCCGGCCTGCGCCTGCGGTGGCGCTGCGCCTTGGGCCGATCCGCTGCTCTGCATCATGAAGCCGTCGTACGCCGCGTCCGGATGGTGCTCTGACCTGTGCGCATCGTAGCCGTTCTCGCCGCTGTGGTTCGCCGCGGATCCCTCGTGATGTTCCCTCGTGTTCTGTCCCCACTCGTCCGCCGCCGGGTCGTGCAGTCCGTTCGAGTCAAAGGTCGAAGCTTGGACGTCTGCGTTCCAGCGGCTGGTGGAGGCGTGGGTGGCGTAGATGGGCGTGCTGGCCACGTCTCCCGGAGCCATCGAGGGTGCCATGGAACCCTGCGTCCGCGAGACGTCGGCGGCGGCGGCGCCGAAGGGGTTGTAACCCTCGTCGTGGTGGGTGGCGGGCGACTCGAGTCCGGCAAGGTCTGTCTCACGAGCCTCGTTGCCGTAGCGCGGGATCCCTGGCGAAGGCCCCACGGGGGAGAAGCCGACGTCTGCGATGCTGCGCGTCGCCTCCTGCAGGAGCTGCTCAGTCTTGGCGAAGCCTGTGCGGATGTTGAGCGAGAAAAGGCATATGAATGGTCAGCATTCGCAGCGCAAGGCGGCTGTGCGACGAAGTCAGGCAGGCGGCATCGGCCCCGACTCACCGTAGTACTCTGCGCGGGGCATGCCAGCCTTTGTCGTGGCGAGCGGGATCTCGCCGAGCATGAGCTTGCCGATCTCGGCCATGATGGTCAGCTTCTCTGCCATCTCGAGGAGGCCGCCGCACTTGATGCTGAGTGCCTCCTTTGTCGTCCGCCGCTTAAAGTCGCCGATGGCGGCCTCCTCCTCCATGACCTCGATGCGGAGGGAGTCCATCTCGGTCCGCATTTCGCGGAGCTGGGTGGTGACCTTCATCAGCTCCTTGTTCTCGGGACCCATCTTGGAGAGCTTCTTCTCGACCCTCTCGATGCTGGATCCGAGCGAGCGCTTGCGCGACTTTAAGTCGGCGAGCGCCTCTTCGCGGGTGCGGATCGACTTGAAGTGCAGGCGGACGGTGGCGAGGTGGGTGTTGAAGCGGTTTTGCGAGGTGGTGTAGTTGTCCATCAGGACCGAGAACTTGCCCAGCACATCCTGTGCGGCGGTGGCAATGGCAGCGGCGGCAGTAGCAGCAGGTGCGCGGTTACGAGGGCGAGAAGACCATCGATGATCAGCAGCAGGCTCCAGTGCAGCCGTCGACTCCCTTCTGTCAGGACATTAGCGAGCGGCCACTCACATTGAGGTCGGGCCCCTCCTCGACGGACCACGCCTTGATGGCCTCTGCGTTCTTCTTATAGTCGGATGCGGCCCTGGTGTTGGTCTTTATAAAGTCTTTTTCGCTCGAGATGACATCCTGCAGCGCCCGCAAGTCCTGGTTGCCGAGGACGGGCACGGTCGAGGTGTGGGCGATCTGCTGCTGCGCCTTCTTGAAGAAGGACATGGCGTGCGGGGCAGAGAGGTCCGTTGGTCGTTCGGTCGGTCGACGGCAGTGAGGCGTCGATGTGCAAGGTGGTGGATGGGGTCCGGTAACGGCGTGGTTGCGGAGGGGACCAGCTTCGTTGGCCGCAGACGAGTTCCCCTTATGTATGGGCTCGGCAAGGCGTGTGGGGGAGTTGCCGATGGGCAGATGAGGGCGAATGGGAGAAGAGGCCTGGATGGGCGGCAGTTGGCTATGGTGGAAGGTGGCGAGGCTGTGTAACAAAGGGGCTGGGCGACGGGTGGGAGCGCAGTCTTAGTGGTGGTGGTGGTGGCAGTGCAGTTGCGAGCGACGGCGGCGGCCGGCCGGCGGGCAAGCCGAGACAGGAGACTGATGACGCTCGGCTGCCTCCGCTCAAGAGCCCGACCGCGGCCCACCTTGCCCGATGCCAAGGTTTTTTGCCTTCGCCCTCTGCACCGCCTGCCGGCTGGAGGGCGGCATGGCCCGAGCTGAGCCGACTGAGCTGAGCTGCTACTCTCTCTCTGCGGCGCGGTGGATGGCCGGTTCGCGGCTGGCGTTCCTGCTCGACGACGACGCTTGGCCACTCTCTCGATGCGCATCCTCGGTCCTTGCCAGCCTCCTCGCTGCCATCGCGAACATGATCGACCTCGCACCGTCAAGCGGATCGATCAGCCGCCGCAGAAGCAGGAGGCGGCACCGAGCGGCCGCGTCTCCTCCGCCGAATCAGAGCACGCCCACCGCCATTAGCCCCGAGAGCGGACGCCTGCGCCGAGCCGCCAAATGAGGTCTCCGTCTTGCCCGCGTCCTTCTGTACCTTGACCGCGCGCGACCGCGAGTCCACACGGCGCAGACTAGTGTTTGGGCCAGGCAGGCCGATCGGCCAGAGGTAGTAGGTGCATCGTAGAGTAGCTGCTCCTTTCTCGCCTTGGGGTCTCCTTCTTGTACTCGTACCACGCACATTTCTGCTCTCACCGAGTCGGCATCTCGACGACCTTCATCACCTCCTTGCCACAAGCTCAGCCGGCTTCCCTGTAGCGCCTGTTCCCGGTCGCAGCCATGGCATCGGGATCAGTCTACGGCGCAATCTTTGGCGCTCTCATCACCTTCATCTCCTGTGCCTTTGTCCTCTATCGAATCGCGACGCGCGTGAGCACACCGACCAGCGTAGAGAGCGTTCAGCCAACCCCGGAAGCAGAGGCAGTCATGGCTGGGCAGGAGACGGCCGGCTCGGCCAAGGCGTCACGACCGCCGCCAACCGCGGTCCTCGCCGCACCCGAGCCATCCGAATGGTCGGGAGCGCAGCTGTACCAGGAGTACATCAAGAAGGCAGGCATGTCGACCGACAACCCGCAGTACGTCGTCTTCAACACGCAAAAGGGCGGCATCGAGTTTGCGCCCGCCCCAGCTGCCGATGCGCCCTACCTCAAGCTGCACCCCGATGGCAAGGCGGAGCTGATCAAGCCGCCGGCCAACAAGCAGAAGAACGATCAGCAGCAGCAGCCGCAGCCGAAGAACAACAACAACCAGCAGCAGCAGCAGCAGCAACAACAGAATCACCAGAAAAGCAAGGAGCAGCCGTGAGCAGGCAGGGCGAGCCAACACAACCACGGGGCGCTCCGTTCGGCTGACCAGGCTTGGCCGAGCATGCTTGCCCGTTTTGCCCCCGTCTCGACGTCAGAGCCCTCGTCGAGGGGACAATCGAGCTGTCCAAGTTCTTCGACCTCATCACAAAGGTCAACGGCCAGCCCGGAGTATCGAGGCCAACGGCCTGCACCTGCAGCAGCCTGCCCCACGGAGGCGGCCACAGCGGGTGTCCTGGGCCTGCGTTTCCCCCACAGGCGTGAGTGCATGCCGCCTGCATTGCGCGTCTCCTGCATCGTCAGGTCGCGGGCTGCCTGACTGACGGCAAGGCAGTCGAGGTCTCCTGCACCGCCTCGACAGGTACTACTGGCACCCTTCTGCCACTCCGGTGGTGAGTTGCGCGGCCGTATCGTCCGGCCTCATGAGGCGTCGACGTTTTGCTCACGTTGTAGCAAGCTCGCGCTCGCCACCGCTGCGAGTGTCCTGCGCTTGCAGCACCACCCAGCTCCGACATCCCTTGCCGCGGATGCAGCCCTGCAGTCGCAGTCGCAGCAGCAGGTGCAGCAAGGGTCCAGTGAGTGGCCGCACAGCCGCTCGAAAGGTCGAGTGACGAGCTGACGAGCTCTCTGTGGCCCTCCGACTCTCGTCTCGCCTCGGGCACAGAGCCAACACCCGTCGCGGCGGCGTCGACGAAGCCCGACAAGCTGGCCAAGCCGGCCTAGGTGCCAACCTCGCCGCTGCTTCACCTGACGCGACACGCTCCCTCACCAGACGCGTCCAGATCCCTACCCAGACGCGCCGCCGTCAAAAGCGCGACGGCGGCGTCCGACGCAGGCCGCCTTGGAACGACAGCCGGGAGACTCGATTTCGCGACAGCACGCCCTCGAGAAGTCGGGTCGACGAGTGGCTCGAACCAATCGGATGGCGCGAGCAGCACGGGGCCGAGCTCGACCGATCCCGTTCGAGCGTGTTGTGATGATGGATGGAGGAGGGCGGTCCCGGACGGGGATGGATCATCCAGGGCTGCTGCCAGCTGCCCTGGACGGGGGAAAGTCTGCTGCCGCTGACTTGGGATTTATTTTTGGTCGGCTGCCGCCGCCTTGCTAGGGTCGATGTCGCTCGTTATCCTAGGGGGCCGCTGCCGCTTGCCCCGGGGAGAAGGAGGAAGGGAAGGAAGGGGCGAGGGAGGGTTGGGTAGGTTTATATCCCTTTCGAATTGGTTCATGGGCGGGGGTCCCTGGGGGCCGGTCGTCGCGCCTGCAATTCCTGCCAGGCCAGGCCAGGCCGGCCTGCCGGCCTGCAACTCTAAACTCAGATTCAAGGCACCCAGCCTGTCGCGATTCCGAAATAGACCAGCAGCTTTAAGAGTTCCCTGCAGCGGGACTTTCTAATCGGCTTGGGCCGCTGCCTGCCCGCTTCCCTTTGGACCCTGGCTTTGAGCAGGTAGGGGGGCGGATGCCTGCCTGGCAGGTCTGGCCTGCCTGGCACGCCGCGTTGGCCGCTGGGCAGGGGTGCCCGGCCGGGCCTGCCTCGTCCGCCCCGTCCAAGCGCGGTCGCGCGTCTGGGCAACTGCCGCAGCGACGGCCTTGCCATCCTTGGGGATGGCGGCAAAGGGCGGTCAGCATGCCAAGCGAGCTCACTGTAGCCTACCGTCTGGTCCTCTATGCGCCTGCAGAGTTTGAGTGTGGCACTTGTCTGTCGGCAATTCCATGCTTGGCCAGTAGTCTGGCTATGACATTGTTTGATGGCCTAGCGAGTTCGTCGCGTCCGTCCGGGGTCGGAAGGGACGAGGCCAGGCTGGCAGGCCCAGGCGGCGCGGGCTAGGCAGGCAGGGCCGGATCAGCGCGAGTCGCGTCGCGCTTGGCACGTCAGGTGGACATGGGGGCTCGTCGGGGGGCGGGCAAGGCGAGCCAACATCCACCCACGCATCCGCCCCGCGCCCACAAGCACGCCGCTTGCCTGCCTCGAAGCTGCTCGATGGGATCGAGCCACGTCGGTCGAGTCAGCTGCCCTAGCCTGTGGGAGTGAAACGGGTTCGACGCCCCGCTGCTAGCGATACAAGGCGAGCTCGGACTGCTCGAGCGGCCTGAGGTCTGCTGCCAGCGGGCCCTGTATTGATCCTGAGTGGGTGCGAGCGACTTTTCCCAGCCGGGCCTGCCTGCCTGCCTGCCTGCCTGCCTGCCTGCCTGCCTGCCTGCCTGCCTGCCTGCCTGCCATGGCAAGGCCACGCGACGGGCCTGCTTTCACCAGGCAGTAGGGTTGCGTGCACGCGACGGGCAGGCCTCCTGCAGGCAGGCCTGTAGGGGTGCAGGCGTATACGCGTCGCGCGTTTGGGAAGGGCCCGTCTTCGACCGGAAAAGCAGGGGCGCGCCGTCGCCGCCGCCCTTGCTGCCTCGGCGGGAACCCATCCACGCCCTCGCCGGCCCACATCGTGCCGCGGCTCGCTCGCTGCAACATCGTCGAGTGCGCCCGCATCCGTTCCCGGATGGATGGTGTCAGGGCGGGACCGAGGCGGTACTGCACGTACGAGTCGAGCCGCACCCACATGCGATGCTAGGGTTTGTGGCGTCGGCCGCCCTCGTGGTGAAGAGGGGCCCCGCGGCCCAGGGGAACGGAACCAATACAATCTCGAGCTGCCGCCGCGGCCCGAGATTGAAAGGGAGGCACAAAAGGGGCGCTGCCATCCTTGGGGACTAGGGTGGAAGGCGCCCTCGGTATCCTTACGGGGCGCCCTTCAGGGCTGCGATGCGCCGCTATGCTTGGTCAACGCAGACTGGGACTTATTTTAGGCCGCGTTCTTTAGAGTGGTGCGCCAACCACTTGGGGGGATCCAGCCACTTGGGCGATCCAGCCACTGGGGGAGGGGTTTATTTTAGGCCGAGTTCTTTGAAGTGGTCGCCAGCCACTGGGGGATTATTTTAGGCCGCGTTCTTTAGAGTGGTGCGCCAACCACTTGGGCGATCCAGCCACTTAGGCGATCCAGCCACTGGGGGGGGGATAATTTTGTGTGCTCGCTCGCAGGCGGCTGTCTGGGGAGAGAAGGAAGGAAGGAAAGGAGGAAACGGTAGGATTATATACCTTGTCATCTGGTCCATGGGTCGGTCGAGGGCAGAAATTTTCGCGCGCAGGCGGGCCCTTAGCTCCGGGCGAACGGATTCCATCCGGGGATAGCGCGGCCACCACTTTCTGCGAGGCACACTGCTCTAGCGCCTGCGCCTACCTCCTCGCCCGTGCGCAGCCCGGAGATATCGGTCCCAGCTGGCGGTATCCCCGTGCTTATCTCCTGGAATTTCCATATCGCCGGGCTGGACTCGCCCTTTTGCGCCGGAACTTGCAGCTAAGATTGCGTGTATTCCTTATCTGCACGGGGATATCGGGCCTCCGGCCATAAGGCTGCCCGGGCGGGCACCCTTACGTCCGTGGAAACGGAATTTTCGCGCGCCTGCCCTGGATCTACGCCCTAGCTCCGGCCACGTGGACGGACGGAGTTTAAATTATCGCCGGTTTCGTCAGGACCTCGGATATTGCAGGCACGGGGGCCCACGCGCAGCCCGGGGTTTACCTTCAGCCCGCCACGCAGCTATGTCCGGGATACCGATACCTCCGTTATCTTTGCGCCTTACCGCCGAGATCAGGCGATAAACCGCATCAGCGGAGACCTTACTTCCGTTTCCGTTGGGATCGTCCGGCGCTAAGCTTAGCTCCGTGCATTGATATATCCGTTTCCGGCGCAAACGGCACGCTACGGCCGTAAGGCTGTCCCCGTATGGCCGAGCCCGGCGATACCGTAGCTCCTGCACCGATACCTCCGGCCCTCCGCCATAGCTTAGCTCCGGACACTGATGTTTTTGCGGTCTATCGCCGTTTTCCAGCCTCTATCACGGATTTACCGCGTGCCCTGCCCCTGCCCGAGGCACTTCGCCCCAGGGCCTGGCCCCTTCCTGGCCGCCCTGCCGCCCTGCCGCCCTACCTCCGGCTGTCCTCCCCCGACCCATGGACCAGATGAGAAGGTATAAAGACCTGTCCTTCCTCCCTCCTCCTCCTTCCCTTCTCTCCCTTCAGACAGCCGCCTGCGAGCGAGCACACAAAATAATCCCCCAGTGGCTGGCGACCACTCTAAAGATCTCGGCCTAAAATAAATCCCTCCCCCCGGTGGCTGGATCGCCCAAGAGTGGCTGGATCCCCCCCAAGTGGTTGGCGCACCACTCTAAAGAACGCGGCCTAAAATAAACCCGTTCCCCCCGTGATCGCCCAAGTGGCTGGACGATCCCCGTCCCCCCATCCCCGTCCCCGTGGCCCCGTTCGGGGTCCGTTGGCAGCGGTCCCGGATACTCGTCATCATCATCATTCCCATTCCACCCGCCCGCCCGCCGACTCTTGGACGGCCGAAGGGTTGGCTCGCTCCCGCCGTCTGTCTGGCTGACTAGGTACTACAACCGAGGAAGTTCCAGAGCGCATCGACGTCCTTGTAATCGTGGTGGACGACAGTGACGAGCCACCGCTCCTCGCCGATGTTGCGGAGCAGCTGGCGCGTCGCCGACGCGGGTGGGAAGAGGAGCTCCCACTCGGACCAGATCGCGAACGCCTCTTCCTGCTCGGCGTCGCGTCGCGGTGCGAAAAAAGGGGCGATTGGGGGTGAAAAAACGGATTCGCGTCGCGTCAGCTCGTCCGCCCGCGTCGAGCAAGACCGCCGCCTGCAGGCAAACGACGACCGGGCCGAACCGTGTCCGAGGGGCCTACTCACCCTCCAAGCCTCGAAGCTCTCCTTTTCAATGATGGTGCTCTGCACAATCTCCTTGCCCGGAAAGATGGCCCAGGTGACGGTGTTGACCTCGCCCTCGCCGAGGTTGCTCTGGAAGGCGCCCCTGCGGTTGCCCGCAAAGTACGATACCTCGCCGCGCCCCTCGCCCTCGATCTTGGCCACCAGCGCGTCCTTGTCCTTTGTGCTCATAAACACCTCGACAAACGCCTTCTGGAAGACGTAGCCGCCCTTGGGCCCGAATCCAAACGTCGGGTCCGTCGAGGGTGCGCCGTCGACGGCGGGCTGCGAGCCGACCGACCACCACCCTTTGCACTCGCCGTTGTGCGGGCAGTTTTGCGGCGCCAGGTTGAGCTGCAGCAGGTGCGGCCGGATGCGCACCGTCTCGGCCATGAGCGGCGCGTCGCACCACGGGATGCAGGCGATGCGCTCCTCGAGGTAGGCGGCAAAGATCCTCGAGATGTCGGCGTGCGCCACGGGATGGCCCCAGATGCGCAGCGCGTCCTGCGGCGGCACCTTGAGCGACACGCCATAGCCGTCCATCTCTCCGTAGGCGGGCGAGCGCGAGTCTCCGTAGCGTCCGTTGGGGAACTCGTCCCAGGTCGACGTCTCGGGCACCTGGTACGAGCTCGAGGTGCGCGCCAGCGTGCGCCGCAGCGCCTCGGCCGTCGTCAGCTTGAGGTCGCGCGGCGTGTTGTGGCCCGTCCGGTCCGAGAGCATCTGGTTGCGCGTCGCTTCGAGGTGCTTGTGCGGCGGCGGCGCGCTTGCATCTCCATCGGCGGCGAGGGCGGCCGTGGGTCCCGAGAGGTCATCGGCCTCGGCGCCGCGGTCGGCCTGCCACCCGAGCCCCTCGAGCACGCGCTCGACGCTCTTCTCGAGGTTGAGCGTGCACAGGTGGAAGCCGCGGATGTCGGACTCGAGGTAGATGCGCGCAATCATGTGGATGCTGAGCGAGACGCCGTACTCCTTGACCGCCGCGTCGTCGCTCTTGATGGGCTCGAGGGCGTCGAGGACGGGCTGGGGCACCTTGGCCTTGCAGAGGTTGGTCATGCGGCGGAAGCTCAGATAGTTTTGGACGGGCATGATGCCGGGCAGGATGGGGATGGTGATGCCGGCGGCGCGGCAGTCGCGGTACCACGCGAGGAACTGGTCGACGTCGTAAAAGAGCTGGGTGATGACAAACTGGGCGCCGGCGTCCTGCTTGGCCTTGAGGTGGCGAATGTCGCGCTGGACGTCGCGGTCGACGTAGTCGGCGTGGCCCTCGGGGTAGCCGGCGACGCCGATGCAGAAAAAGTCGCCGTGCTCCTGGCGGATGTAGCGGACGAGGTCGATGGCGTGCTGGAAGCGCGAGTCTGCGGCGACCCAGTACTCCTGGCCGCGCGGAGGGTCGCCGCGGAGGGCGAGGATGTTGCGCACGCCGAGCTCCTTTGCCTTTTGCAGCGTGGCGTCGAGCGCCTCCTTTTCGACGTTGGTGCAGGTGAGGTGGAGGCAGACGTCGCAAGCGTCCTGGCCGACGGCAGTGTCTGCGTCGCCGCCGTTGACGCGCGTGAAGCCAGCCTGGCCCTGCTCGACGTCGTTGGCCTCGCCGCGCACCCGATCGAGGTCCGGGTGCAGGTGGCCCTTTTGTACGCGCGCTGCGAGCTCGAGCGACCTGGCGGTGGTGGTGCCGCCGGCGCCCCAGGTGACGTTGATCCAGGCTGGGTCGAGGTTGGAGCGCATGCGGGCCACGCGGCTGTAGAGGTTGGCCAGGCCCTGGGTCGTCTTTGGCGGGAAGAACTCGAAAGACCAAAAGGGGCGGTCGGCCGCCACCGAGCGTGCTATCCGCGTGGTGACGTGGGAGGGGTGCTGCGTCATGCTGGGCTGGGATGAGGTCGACGTCGAGGCTGATGCCGATGCCGACGTCGAAGCTGATGGTGCTGGCGACATGGTGTTGCTCCTAGAGAGGCAGAGATCTGGTCGTCGTCTGGCGGCTCGGTCGTTATCGCAGGGTGGTGCGGCTGTTTGAGGACGCTGGACCTGGATTTGCAGCTGGTCCTTGTGTTGGGTGAGGGCCAGAAGGATGAGTCCCGGTGACGGGCCGGAGTTGGCTGCGGTGCGAGGGTATACGACGATGGTGGCGGCCGTGGCGTGTCGAAGGCGTGGTGGAAGAGAGATAAGACAGGTAGAGCCGCTCACCCGAATGGCACCACCACGACGAGATTCTCATCTCGAGCTGGCCTGTCTGCAGCATGCACGCTGCTCCACACGCCATCTGCCTGCCTTTGCCTCTCGCTTGCTTGCCTGTTGCTTGTGCCTCTGAGCTTCGAGGTTCTTCTTGGGCCTGCTTGCCTGCGCCTGACTCACACGACTGGCTGAAAGAGCGAGGCTCGCCTTTCGCACGAGAGACGTCCCGCTGCTCACGGCGGTCACGGAGCAGCCCGCCCAGTTGCCGTCTGCCCTGCTCTGTTCATATCCCAGCCCTTGCTGCCAGAGCTACCCATGGATCATCATCATCATCGTCATCTCTAGTCGTTCCATATGGCGACACGAAGCGACACACGTCCTGGCTGCTTCGCCGTTGTCAAGGTTTGGAGGAGCTCCGCCATTACGCAACAGGCCGGAACGGTGCGCGCAGTGGAGAGCGGGCAGGATGGTGGTTGTAGTATACAAAGGGCTGGAAGAGACAGAGCGCCGGTGGCCGGAAGAGGACGATGATGGCGGCGGCAAAGGAGTGGTGCGGATGCAGGTGCGGTCCAGACCAGACCGGACCGGACCAGCTCAGATAGGAGGCCGATGCGAGGGGCAGGGGAAGCGTCTAGTTCCTGAACCTGATCCACTCGTCGTCGACCTCGACGCCGCCGGCCGCCGCGGCCTGCTTCCACTGCTGGCGCTCGGAGAGGTCTGCCATCCTCTTCATCCTCTCGACGTACTCCCTGCCGGCGCCAAAGGGGACGGGCGCCTGGATGGCGGCGGGGCCGTCCTCTGTCCTGAGCACGGTTCCGATCGACATGAAGAAGCCAAACGTGGCGCCCGACGAGAGCATGTACTGCGATAGCGTGGCTAGCGTTCCCTTGGGACCCGGTCCGGCGCTGGGAGAGGGATCGGTAGGGTAAAGGCGAGATCAACGGCAGCGACAGAGTGTCAGCTTGCACGGCAAACGCGGTCAGGCCAGAAAAGGTTTGCAGACGCACCGGAGGATCTGGAAGCCACCGCCGATGAAGCCGATCGTGAGGCCGACGAGGGTGCCCATCATGGCGCCCATCCGGACTGTCAGACGGCAAGAGGAGGGCAGGACGGTGCGGGGCAAGGATGTGACTGGGCAGTCAGCAGTGCACATCAAGGGGAAGACCAGCGACGGTCGGCACTCACGCTTCTGAAAGACGGTCTGCTCCTGCGGCATGCCCTGCATCTGAGCTGGTGGCGGCGGCATGGTGGCGGTGGCGTGGTGGAGCGTAGCGTGGGCGATGCGTGCTGCTGGGACAGGGTGAGGCTGCGGTTGGAAGGCGAGGCGAGGCGAGGCGAGGCGAGGCAAGGCGAGGCAAGGCAAGACGAGGTGGTGTCGATGTTGGTGAGCAGGCAAAGTAGCGGGGTCGAGTTGGCCCGCCACCCCGGGGGGCCCTCTGCTTGGCAGACTGACGGCCCAACGCCTTTTTCGCCGTCGCAGCGACGAAAGCAAAGGCGTGCCGGTTCCGAAGGCCTCCACACTTGGACTCGGCGCTACCCGCGCACATGCGACTGGGAGGCTGGCCTGTGCCTCGCTCAGCCTGGCTCCTCTCCTCCTCTTCGCCATCCCGCACCACCATTCTCTCCCCGACCCATAGTCATCGATACGCCCACGATGCGAGCAACAGCTATCCAGACACTCGCCGCCGCTTACCGAGAAGGCGTAGTGGCCCCCTGCGCAGCAAACGAGCTGGCGGACCACATCTGGCCCTTTGCCGACAAGGTCGCCTTCCACCAGGGGTGAGCGACTCGCCGTCTGCCTCGACCTCGGTGGCGTCTCACCGTCCGCTGACCCATCCCCTCGCTGCCATTCGGAACCACAGGGATATCACCAAACGTAAGCTTAGCTGCAGACTTCCGTGATCCTGATGAAGCACCGTGCCGCACGCTGACATGTAGCTCGGACACCCCTCACCTCGGCGAGGAACAGTCGAGGTCGACGCCATCGTCAACGCGGCCAACAACAGCTTGCTCGGTGGTGGGGGCGGTGAGTCGCAACTATTCGACCTGATCCGATGTGTCAGACCCGTGCGACGCTCAGCAGACTGAGCCTTGACCTGACTCGACGCGATTCGATCCACGGCGCCTGCCAGTCGACGGTGCGATCCACCGCGCCGCCGGTCCCAAGCTGCTCGAAGAGTGCCGCGGCCTCAACGTGAGTGGTCGCCGCTCCCTCCTTCCCTCTCCATTCGGTCCGCACCAGAGCAGCAGGAAGTAATTGCCTCCTCTTCCGCACGCTGGGCATGGCCGCATCTCGAGCAGGGCTGCGAGACCGGACAGGCCAAGACGACCAAGGGCTACGACCTCCCTGCCAAACACGTCATCCATACCGTAGGGTGAGCCTTGAGCCCAGATCAGCCGTTTCGGAGTCAGAGTGCAAGCTGACGGGCTCATCTCCTGATCTTTCCAACAGCCCTGTCTGTCAGTGACGCCAGCGATCTGCAGCTCCCGTCTAGCCAGCATCATCATCAACCTGCTGACCGACTGACCCTCGTCGTCCTCTTGCCAACAGACTCGGCATCGAAGAGCGACGAATCCGCTCGCCTCCTCCGCTCCGCCTACCGAACCAGTCTCGACCAGGCGGTGCGACACGGCGTCAAGTCCATCGTGAGTCTGATCCCTGTATCGATCGCTCCGGGAGGCGACGGCACAAGAGGCAGGTCTGACGCGCTTGACGGGCACCCACCACCCTCGCAGGCTTTTCCATCAATCTCGACGGGCGTCTACGGATATCCATTCGAGTCGGCCTGCATCGAGGCTCTGTCCGAAGTCGGGCACTTTCTCGACCAAAAGGGACAGGGCGACAAGGTGCGTCATCGTCGTCGTCGTCGTCGTCGTCCTTGCCTCGACTCCTCTGTCGAATCACCGGCATCATCCCCGGCTGACCAGACTCTCCCCGTACCCCTCCTCCCCTCCCGCGCCGCCGCCGCCGCCGCCGCCGCCGCCGCCGCCGCCGCCGCCAGATCGACAAGGTCATCTTCTGCTGCTTCTCCCAACCCGACTTGACACGGTACCGCCAAGCCGCCACCCGCGTCTTTCCGCCCGAGGACATGCACAGCCAGTTTGCAGAGGACGAGTAGCGGAGCGAGGATCGAGGTTCTTGGGTCGATACGAGATGCGCATGCTGCAGATATGAGAGTAGAGCTGTACAGGAGGGGTGTGTTCAGGGCCGCCCGTCGACGACGACAGCCAGAGGGGCTCGTGTGGAGCTAGATCGCGATAGGTGAGTCGGGGTGTCGGGTCGTCGATTGTCTGTTTTTGGGGGTTTTCCTCCTCCTTTTTCATCGTCGATAAGAGGGTTCCGGCCGAGGAGGGTGGATCGTTGGCCCAAGGTCGCTGCTATCGTCGTGGGCCAAGGGCCGAGGTAGGGGCCCGCCGAGGATGGGCGACGCTCAGTAGTCGTCGCCGCGCGAGACGACCTCCTTGCACGTGGGCCGCAGCAGGATGGTGTGCTCGTACTGGGCCGTCATGGAGCCGGGGATGTCGCAGAGGGGCGGGTAGTCCTGGACGACGCCGAGCTGGACGAGGTGCTTGAGGCCGAGGAGGTAGTTCTTCTCGCCGGCGCGGTCGAGGTAGCGGCGGCAGAAGGGGAGGCTGTCAAAGTTCTTGTTGATGGTGCGCAGCAGGCTGTGGGCGCTCTGGATGCGGATCGGGATCGTCTTGGGCAGCTTGGCCTTGCGCGCGTAGTGCGAGCACTCGCCCTGCTCGGTCACGTAGCCGCGGCCCGTCGAGCCGAACGTCTCGATGGCAAAGTACTCGCCCTCCTCCATCTTGGTCTCGAGGTTGGGCATGGCGACAATGGGGACCGACTTGGATCCGTGGATCGCGTAGCGGCCGATGTTGTGGCCGTTGAGGTTCTGGACGCACTTGACCTTGAGCGTCTTGCCGTTGACGTCGTACTCGTGGCTCTCCATGACCTCCTGGATGGCCGCGCCAATCTCGCCGAGGCGGGCGTCGATGCCGGCCTCCTTGACGCCGGCGTTGGTGGCGGCCTTGACGGCGGCGAGCAGGGGGTCGTGGGTGGGCTCCCAGTTGAGGGTAAAGGCCGAGTCGACGATGCGGCCCTTTACGTGGACGCCAAAGTCGATCTTGAGGACGTCGCCCTTGGAGAGGACGTTCTTGTCGCCGGCGTTTGGCGAAAAGTGGGCGGCGCACTCGTTGATGTTGACGCCCGTCGGGAAGCCGATGCCGGACTCCATGCCGTTCTCCTCGACGAGGGCGCGGGTGCCGTTCTCGATGAGCTCGGCGATCTCGGTAAAGGTCATTCCGGGCTTGACGGTGCGCTGGGCGTACTGGCGCACCTGGCGGTGGACCTCTGCGGCGCGTCGGATGAGGTTGTAGTCGAAGCCCTCCTCCTGCTGGACGAGCCTCTCGCGCTCTCTCCGCTCCTCGCCCGTCTCCCTCTTGCGGTTGTCGTCGAACTTGGACTCGTCGTACTCCTGGATCTCGCCGACGGGGAAGACGCCGCTGGGGAAGAGCTTGGTGACGCCGATGGTCGGGGGCTCGGTCTGGGTGCCGGCGGCCTTTGCCTTTCGCTTGGCGGCGCCGCTCTTGTTCTTCTTCTTCTTCTTCTTGCTCTTTGTTGCGGCGCCCTCGCCGCCGTTTGCAGCGGGCTCGTCGTCGTCGTCATCGGCGTCGCTGTCGGCGGCGGCGGCGTTGTCGTCGGCCTTGTGGTCGCCGTTTGTGCCGTTGGTGGGGAGCGAGGTGGCAGCGAGCTTGTCAGCGAGCTCGGCCGGGGTGGCGCTGCCGCCGTTCTGCTGCGTCGTGGCGGCCATGGTTGGCGTCGGCTGTGCGAGGGGCGCGGAGGAAGGTGTGAGGGTGTGGCAGTGGCGAGGGGCTGGGACACGCTGCGGGTGTGCGATGCGAGCCAGCTACGAGAGAGTAGGTCGTGAGATGGCGAGAGGGAGCTGAGAGAGAGGCGGCGAGAGCATGTGTGTGGCCGCAGCGCTGTTTGCCTCGTCGGACAGAGAGGGCCGACGAGCAGCTGCGCTGTAGCTGCAGCTCCACACTCGACTACACTACTCCCTCTTTCTCGTCTCGAGGCCATCGTCGGCAGCGAAAAATTCAGGCTGGCTGGGCTGGCAGCCCGGCTTGGCTGCTCGCTGCTGCCGTGCGGAAACGGATCGGGCCAGGCGAGTCGAGACCCGATGGGTTGCACAGAGAGAGAGAAGAGAGAGAGCGGTGCGGCCAGATCGGCCCCGGCCCTCATGCTGTGGGCTGGCCGGTTCTGCCCCCGCCTGCCCGCCTGCCCGCCAGCGCAGTCAGGGTCTGCCGTACGCCACGCCTGCAAGCCGAACGCGAGTCACCGCGGCCAGGAAAAGCCGGGCTCTCCAGGCAGGCGGGCGAGCTCTCTTTTGCTTTTTCTTCGCTTGAAGCCCATCCTCTCTAGCTGGCAGGCAGGCGGCGTTGGCGCTGCGCCGGACTCTGGCCGAGCGGAGAGCGACAGCCACGAAAGGGCCTGGCCTGGCCTGGCCTGGCCTGCCTGCCTGGCCCAGCGCCAGAAAAATTTGACTTGCACACCCCGTCGCGCACGAGGGCCTGCCCAAGGCCACGGCTGCCTCTGGCTGCTGCTTCTCTAGGCACGACGGGCAAGCCGCGGCGCCAGGCCGTGTGGGTGCAGGTGCAAGCAGGCAAGGCAAGAAGCTCACAGCACGACGTGGGGAGGCAGTCCTGGCCTGAAAGGCTGAAGAGAGGGAGAGATCCGGCCTGGTGTGGCTGGGTGCGGGCGAGGCGAGGGCGAGGTAGGGGTTGCAGCCCTGCCCCGCTGCCACCTTTCTTCTCGCCTTCCAGGTATCATCCTCACCCCGCCGGGCAGCCATCTCGATACCCCGCTCCCCTCCTCCTCCGTCCTCTTCTTCTTCCTCCTGCCCCTCGTCCTCTACCCTCGCCCTCGCCCTCGCCCTCGGCTTGAAGCCCCGCCTCCGCCCCTCGTCATGTGTGGCATCACCGCGCTCCTCCTCGCTGCGGCCAACCAGGCCGCGGCCCCCGAGATCAACGAGGCCCTCTCTCTCCTCCAGCATCGCGGCCAGGATGCGGCGGGCATCGTCACCTGCGGTGCAGGAGGAAGGTTCTACCAGTGCAAGGCCAACGGCATGGTCAGGGACGTCTTTGACGTCAACGCCCTCGCCCGCCTCGTCGGCAACATGGGCATCGGTCATGGTGAGCAGCAGCGGCAGCGGTAGGCCGGCACCTTTGGTTGCCATCGCTGCGTATCGCGCACTCACTCCTCTTGCCTTCGGACCGTGACTGCCTTTCCGCACCCCCTTGCCTCCCCCGGCCCTGCTGCGTCGCAGTCCGATACCCTACCGCCGGCTCCTCTGCCCACGCCGAGGCGCAGCCCTTCTACGTCAACAGCCCCTACGGCATCACGTTTGCCCACAACGGCAACCTCATCAACACCGACGAGCTGCGCAAGTTCCTCGACGCCGACGCCCACCGCCACATCAACACCGACTCCGACTCCGAGGTGCTGCTCAACATCTTTGCAAACAACCTGCAAAAGACGGGCAAGTTCCGCATCAACGAGGAGGACATCTTCACCGCCATCCGCGACCTCATGAAACAGTGCAAGGGCGGCTACGCCTGCGTCGCCATGCTCGCCGGGTTCGGCATCATCGCCTTCCGCGACCCCAACGGCATCCGGCCCCTCGGCATGTGCTCGCGCCCCGCCCTCGGCGCCGGCAGCTCCGACGTGCCCATCGAGGGCCACGGCAAGGACTACTGCTTCACCTCCGAGTCGGTCGTCTCGGACGCGCTCGGCTTTGAGAACTTTGAGGACATCGCGGCGGGCGAGGCCGTCATCATCACCAAGCACGCCGTCTCGCGCCGCCTGCTGACGCCCAAGGCGGCCGACCCGCAGGCCTACACCTTTGCGCCCGACATCTTCGAGTACGTCTACTTTGCGCGTCCCGACAGCGTCATCGACGGCGTCAGCGTGTACCGCAGCAGGATGGCCATGGGCGACAAGCTCGCCGACGAGGTGCGCAGGCAGCTCGAGGCGCGCGGCGAGACCATCGACGTCGTCATCCCCGTGCCGGACACGTCGCGCGTGGCTGCGCTCCAGGCGGCCCAGCACCTCAACATCCCCTACCGCGAGGGCTTTGTCAAGAACCGCTACGTCGGCCGCACCTTTATCATGCCCGGACAGAGCGTGCGCAGGAAAAACGTGCGGAGGAAGCTCAACGCCATGGCGCTCGAGTTTGACGGCAAGAACGTGCTGCTGGTCGACGACTCAATCGTCCGAGGCACGACATCCAAGGAGATCATCCAGATGGCGCGCGACGCCGGCGCCAAGAAGGTGATTGTCGCCTCGTGCGCGCCGCCGATCCGCTTCTCCAACGTCTACGGCATCGACATGCCGTCGCGCCACGAGCTCGTCGCTCACGACCGCACCGTCGAGCAGGTGGCCGAGTACATTGGCGCTGACATGGTCATCTACCAGACGCTCGACGACCTCATCGAGAGCGTGCGCCAGTTTAACCCGGAGCTCAAGCAGTTTGACTGCTCCGTCTTCGATGGCCACTATGTCACCGGCGGTGTCGACCAGGACTACATTGCGCACCTCGAGGGCCTGCGCAGCGAGAACGCCAAGCTCAAAAAGGCGGCCGGAAGGGTGCCGGCCATCGCCGACGCCAACGCCGCCAAGCAGCAGGCTGCGGCGGGCGCTGCCATCGAGGTCAAGGCGCCCGCCGACGGCGCCAACGACGAGAAGATGGCGTCCCAGCCCGTCGTCACCGGCCAGACGCCTGCCGCGACGGCGGCGGCAACGGCGGGCGCCAACGGCCAGCGCAAGAGGCGGCTGGGGCAGGACGACGACGAGGAGAACGACGAGCCCGAGGCCACGGGCTGCAGCGGGCCGATGAACGGCGCAGACGACATCGGGCTGTACAACGGCTGGTCGCGATAGCGGCGGAAGCGGCGCTGTGTTGCGGCGACGACTACGCCCACCTGTGTGCCCTTGCTTCTGCTTCCGCCCTTGCCCGTGCTCGACCCCTGATTCTTGCTCTCCGATTCGCTGCACCCAAAACGCAGGCCCGTGCCGTGGAAGGTGGCCGGCCTGCGATGTAACCATAGACCCCGATTTTTCCCCTTTGCGATGCTGCATGCCGTCGCAATCCGACCCGCCTCGTCAAGCATCGACTCTCTCGCTGGCCTTGACGATGTCAGGCGCACATGAGCAACGGACTTGGTGCAAGGGGGCTTCCTGATTTTCAGAGAGAGACGGGCACGGTACAAGTACAGGGCGAGGCCAGGCTGGATCGAGGCATCGCCTCAAGGCAGGGTGTACGGGGGAAAACGATTGCATCACTCGTCGTCGGAGTCGGAGAGGTCTGCGGCATCGACGTCTGCGGTGGCGGTGGCGGCCATTTCTGCGGTGGCGGCAGTGAGGTCGGCCTGGACGGAAGAGGTTGATGAGCCGGTAGCGGCCTTTTGCTGGGCCTGGATGCGCTGGCCTGTCGGGCGAGGGGGCGGGATGGCGAGGGCAAACCGTAGGACAACGCAGAGTGTCAGTACGGCTGGAAGAGGTCCGACAGATGATCTCGGAGGCCAAGGGAGAGGGAGGGGGAGAGGGACGTACGGATGAGGATGAGGATGGCCTCCTTGTCCCTGCGCTGGAGCTTCTGCAGACGCCGCTCCATGTCGCGTTTCAGGTCCCAATTGGCCCGTTTGGGTGCGATGTTGGTGAGGTCCTAGCAGCCGTCGAGCAATAGATCAAGGCACAGAAGATCGGTCAGCTGGGAAAGGTCCAACCGAACGTGCTTGTGCTCGCGCAGAACAAGGCGGAGGCAGTGCGACTCACAAGTTCCTCTGCCCTCTTGAGATCGTCGAGCGCGATCGTCTGCTCCTGCAAGCCCCTGACAGCCTCCTCGACGGTATCCTTGAGGTCCTTGGGACCGCCGAAGCGACGGACCTGTCCCGTCTGCGGGTCGTAGTTGCGGAAGTGGCGCTTAACAATCAGGCCGACGTCGCGGCCGTCGCCGTCGTCGTTGGCCGATGCATCGACGAGGCCGGCCGCCTCGTCCGCCTTTCGTTTGCGCAGCGCCTCGAGCTTCGACTTGCGCGCGATCGATGCTGCTTCCATGGCGGGGTGACGTGGGCCGGACGCAGAGGGAGGGTGAAGCGGTGGTGGTGGTGTGGGTGAGGGTCGAGATGCGCGACCCTTGAATTCTGGAGGGTCGAGGACGGCAGCTTCGGAAATCGGAAGAGGACGGATGGACCCTCGGCCTGGCCTGGCCTGGCCTCGCATGGCCTCGCAACCAACTCAGTCGCTTCCCCACCCACCACCACCACCACCGCCTTCAATCACACACGACAGCCTCACTCGCAACGTCACCTCGCTTCGACCCTGGCCGCCGAAGCTCGATCTTCTCCCGAGATGGCACCTCGTGGAGACGCAGACGCCGACATGCTGGTCCACGGCCGCGCCCGTCGCAGCACGGCCGGCAACCGCATGAAGGCGCTGCTGGAACAGGAGCTGGAACGAGACGAGCTCTTTGAAGAGGTCGAGGACGACATCGACTTCGAGGCGCAAGAGGAGCAGGACGTATTTGACTCCGACTTTGACCGCGACAGCTCCGACGGACAAGGCGGTGGAGAGAGCGACGATGAAGAGGCCGGAGAGAGGAGGCTCGAGGAGGCTGAGCGCGCAGAGAGGAAGGCCAAGAGGGCAAAGGCCGTGCCCGTCCACGTCCGCCGTCCCGCCATACGTCCACCACCTCCGAAGCCTGCGAGGAGGGAAAGCGACAGGCGGAGAGAAGACCAGCAGGCTGCAGATCACGACGACGGCGGCGACGGCGAGGCCTCGTCCCGACGAGGATCCAAGCGGCGCCGCATCGCCTTTGCACCCTCGCACGCCGACCCGTCATCAACCGCCAACACGTCAGAAACCGGCTCGCCAGGCCCGCGCAGCCTGCGCACCAGCAGCCGCAGCGCCACCGTCCAGAACAAGCTCGAGGTCGAGGAAAAGCTGCGCGAGGCACAAGAGCGCAAGGCCGCCCTCCCCGTTCGCCACGCACCGAAACGACGACCTCAGCTTACCCAGGACGCCCTGATCGCAGAGGCACTCGAGACAGAGGAGAAGAACCGCGAGAGCCTGAAGAAGTTCCTACAGCAGGAAGAAGCGCGGCGGGCCAAGGACAGGGTGAGGAAGGAGCGGATACAGGGCCCTTTCGTACGCTGGGTCAGCGTTGGACTGAGGCCTCTGCTCGTTTCCAGCTCAACCTCAACGCAAGCGGACGAGACGAACGATGACGACAGCAAGGACGATCAAGGGAGACAGCCCAAGGACAATGACCAGGCAGAGAGGACAGACGCTGCGCGCAGCCAGACGCAATCCAAGGACGAGCAAGGTGACGAAGAGCGAATGGATGTTGACGAGCACAGACAAGACGAGCCCGAGAGAGCGACAGAGACCGCCATCATCAATCCCGTTCACGACGACCAGAGGCCCCGCACGTCGCAAGAGGCCACTGCAGCATCGAACCAAGCCGAACAGGCTGCTGTATCTGAACGTGCCATCGACAAGCAGCCCTCCGAGGAACCCGGCACGCCCCCGCTCCCAGCAACACTGCAACCAACAGAAGCTGTCCCGCCAGCACCATCGACACCAGCACCAGCAACTCCCATGCCAACGCAACCGTCCCTCGCCACCGCAATAGATCTCACAGAGGATCCTGCTGTGGCCGCTCGGGCAGAAGCTTTGAGGCTCAAGGCGCAGCAGGACGCACGTCAGGCCTCTTCCTCCGGCCCGGTCCAGCTAACGGGCAGCGCCCAGCCTACCTCGATCTCCGACAAAGCAGCAGCAGCAGCAACAGTCGGCGACGACTCTGCTGCGCAAAAGTGGGGGCCGCTGCAAGCGCGCACCGTCCTCTCTGTCGAACGGACACCAGAGGACTGGACGTGGGAGGACGACTTCCGGGTGCTGCTGGGCGACCACTGCTCGTGGTCCTCTGTGCCCATCGTACCGGCGCGCAACCGGCCGCTACGACCGCGCCAGTCGATCTGCCCCATCACCGGCCTGCCCGCCCTCTACCGCGACCCGCGGACGGGCATCCCGTACGCCAACGCCAAGGCGTACAAGATCATCACCGACGTGCTCAAGAGCCGCTTCATCTGGACCGGCCGGAGCGAGGAGGAGATCGACGCACAGATGGGCGACAAGGAGAGGCGGGCGCACGACGACGATGGCGAGCGTGGCGGCAGGGACGACGACGGGGAGGAAGACGATGGTGATGGTGCGCGACGCAAGGGAGGCAGGAGGGGCGGTAAGAGGCGAGGCGATCCTTCTGGCCTGGCTTCGCTCATGGTGGGTCGGGGGGCGGCGCCGATCGAGTTGGGCTGCTACGTCCAAGCCGAGGACGAAGCGGGCGCCGCGGGCGTGTTCGCATCACTCTCCGCCGCATCATCCCGCCCAGCCCGGACCAGGGGAGCGGGCAAGGGCGGCGCCAGCGTCGTCGGAGCGTCGATGCCCGCCGTCGAGTCGGAGCCGAGAGCAGAAAGAAGGACCAACGACCCTTCTCCGTCAGCGCCTTCCACGACCACGACGCCGGCGACGAAACCGCGGTACGAGATGGTCTGGACTCCTGCCGTCGCGCCGGGCGATGAGGAGGCCATTATGGCGGCTGCGGCCCAGTTACCTGCCGGATCGACGAGGTCGGGTCGCAGAGGGGCACGGAAGACCTGATCCGCTCTCGCCACCGCCGTCCCGGGCCAGCTGCACTCGTTTGTATCAGCACCACCGCCGCCCCTCCTTGTTTTTGCCACCAACCACTCTGCCGCGTCGAGCGTATCATCCAAAACTATCGGTCGAATCGCTCAGACCATCATCCACCGCACCGCACAGCACCACCTCTCGCATTCGCGCCGCCTCTCGATTCGCTCTGCGGCATCGCATGGTATTGCACGTGCACCGACATCTGCATCGGCATCGACATCGGGGTCGATCAGCGCATCGCAGCGCAGCGCAGCGCTGGAGAAAAAGAGGGCCTATGCTTTTGTGCTATTCGTGTCGCGGGGCCGGCTGGCCGACACGTTTGGATGGACGACTCACTCCATCCCCGGGATCTTCCCCGGGCCCAAGCGCCCCGAAAGAGAGAGGGGGCGGGGGATGAAGCGATCGGTGGTCGGGAAACGTAGCATCGTTTTTGGATGGGAGCATCGCCGCTGCTTCGGTTGCAGCCCACGGTGTCATCGATACGGGTCGATGGTCGACCACCTCTGCCTCGCCTTGTCTTGTCTCTCGTCGCTTCGATCTGGTCGCCGCCTGGTTGCGCGCGGTGCGGCGCGGGCGTTTTTGCTTTTCAACGATCTTGGCCTTGCACGCAACGCAACGCATCCTCTCTCGCGGCGGTCGGTTCTCGCACCGCCATCAATCCCACGAGGCGGGCGGGACCGAGGCCTTGCTCTTCCACGGCTTGGCGTAGCTCTGCGGGATCCAGCGCTTGGCCTCTTGCACCTTGTCGTGCCACAGCTTGACCGTGTCGTGCCTCGTGTGCACGAGCCAGAGCTCCGAGTCAAAGTCTGCCGCCGCGTCCTCTGCCGCCGCGCGGCCGTTGCCGTTGTCGTTGGTGCCTCGCTGCTCGTTGGCGGCCTCCGGCTCAGCGAGCTCCCGGTGGTCGGTGACGATGCGCAGCTCCCACTCGCCGCTGTTGGATACGCCGACGATGGTCTCCTCCCGCCGCACCTGCACCGGCCTCTCGCCATGGCCGAGGCCGGACAACGACAGCTTGGCGGTGCCCTGGGACAGCGCGTCGGCTTGGGCGGCCGAGAGCCGCAGCGCATCCAGCAGCACGCCGATCCTACCGGCGCAGGATCCGCGCACCTGGTCGTCGTACCAAACGTCGAGCAGCTTGGCCTTGGCCTCCCACCTTGGGGCCTGGCCGCTCAGCTTGGCTCCCCCCTCGTCGTAGTCGCTCCACTGCGCTGCGATGAAGAGCTGCCTCTGCTTCTCCACCACCGCTGCGAGGATCTCATCGGTTGAGCGGACCTCGGTCGCCTGCTGCCTGGCGTCGCGCAGGAGGCCTTTGGGCGGGCTGCGCGACAGCCTGCCGAATGCATCCACCGCTCCACCGAAGCCCGAGGAAGGCCAGCAAGGGTAGAACTCGTCCCAGAGCAAACGGTGTGCCAGTGCCGCGCTGGCAAAAGTGTCCTGAGCAAAGGGCGTGGCCGGCACGGGTACCCGAGAGAGCGTCTCGAGGGCCACCTGCGGCACGAGCGCCGCGGCGGGCGACGGACTGCTCAGGAACGGCAGGTTCTCGGGCCTCCTGCTCCTCGCTCGTCGACCCCGAGGTTCGTCGTCGTCGTCGTCACCGCCATCGTCGTCGTCTTCGTCGCGGCTCGTCTCGCCGCAGTGCTGGTCGCGCATCGGCGGGACGGACACCGCGGGCACGGACGATCCGGCCTGGCCCAGGCTCGAGTTGATGCTGAAGTACTCGGTGTCAGGAGCTGGCCCTTCGCTCGCCTCGCCGTTCTGAGAACGAGGCGAGGCCGAGCGGCGGCGGAAGATGGCCGTCTGGCTGGCGTAGCGCAGCGTCGCATCTTCATCGTCGCCCGTCCGCGGTCGTCTCGTCCTCGCCCCGCCGTTGGACGACGATTCGCCAGGGCTGCGTCGGTGGATTCCCTGTCCGACTCCGCCGACTTCGACATCGTAGCCGTGAGCCTCGGCCGTCGCCTCGCACCACTGTCGGAACTCGTCGGGCGTCCACTCAAACTTGTGGTCGTCGTGGCGGAAGACGCGATTGGTGCGGCCGGAGGGGTCCGGAAAGCCTGGTCGCGTGGAGAGGTCGCCGCCAAAGTGCGCGTTGAAGCAGTAGTTGGGCGTGGTGACCAGCAGGATGCGAGGGCGGTAGCGTCCCAGCACGACGGGCCCAAACTGCTCCAGGGCAGGCTCGTCGAGGTGTTCGATGCTGCAGGGGGGGGATAAGGGGCACGCACATGACGAGAGGTCAACATCGAGCAAGCTAGGCGACAGCCAAACAACGCGGCCTCGGCGTCGGCGCGACAGACTCACACTTCTGTGGCCACAAAGGCCTCATATCCGGAAAGGCTCTCGTTATATGACTCGAAGGGACCCTCGAACAGCTTGACCTCGAGCGAGCGCCAGCGCGGTCTCGTCTCGGCTATCGCCTGGCCGTGAACAGAGAGCGCGGAGCGGGCGTTGCGGAGCGCCTCTGCATCGACGTCGAGGCCAGCCAGCCGGCTGAGGTTGATGTCGGCGTGTGCGCGCGTCCAATGCCTAGGCGGCAGCAGCTTGGCCGCCCCTCCTTCGTTGGCGTCCGAGTCGATTCCGGGAAAGCGCTGCGCAGGGAAGCTGTCAACCTGGAAGGCAGGCTGCATCAGTGCTGAGAGCAGCGTGCCATTGGCGCAGCCCAGATCGACAACCTGGGCGAGCCAAGGGAGCACGGTTCCGGCAAAGCGAGGAACAGGTCGAGCGGATTTAGGTCAGTCGCGTCGATCTCGCCTCTGAGCCCGGCCGTGCCATGCCTCCGCAGCCTTGGGGGAAGCCGCAGTGGTGGCGGTGGTTTCTTCACTCACCGAATCGACCTTTTCCTGTCGCAATTTGGTGAGGACCCAGGCTTGCCTCTGCGGCGTCGTGCGAGGAAGAGCCGAGGCAGGCGTCGTGAGCACAACGAGGCCATCACGGTCGTAGACGAGAAGGGGAAGATGAGCGGACCTACCTGAAGCCAGAGTGACGGGTCAAAGTAGAGCTTGGCGGGCATCTTGGTGTCCGGGGGATGGAAAGATGGCGGAGCAACAGGGTCGAGTCGGGCGTTTGCCGGAGGAGAGACGATGCCGCTGGGCCTTGGTGTGCTGGCTGACGGGACTACGGTAGGACCCTGCCGAGCACTGCGGTCCGAGAACGCGACCTGCTGGCCGGTCACAAGGATGAGAGCAGCGTCAAGGCAAGACGAAGGTGACAGGGAAGGTGGTCGGTACAGGCGCAGCTCAAGGTGCTGCGGTCTCGCTGCAGTCCCAGTAGCGCCAGCAGAGATGCAGAGCGATCGGTGGTTCGTCTCGGTCGAATGGCACCAGAGTCTCGCTGCGGTGGCGAGGAACTGCTTGCTGGTGCTGCCTGAGGTGGCAAAGTCGTCGGTGGGGATGGCCCTGCGTCGAAGAATGGTTCGAACGAGCAGTGACTCGAAGGTCGGGGAAACGACCAGGCAGGGAAGAGGAGCGAGAGAGCGACGGCGAGGAAGAGGAGCGGGCTGCGTTGATGTCGGGGGGAAGGGGGGAGCGGGTGAGGGAGGGAGAGAGGGGCAGGAGGAGAGCGGCGTCTTTGTAGAGGGGAGCTTGGAAGCTTCTCTTTGGCGCTGGCAGGCCGCGTGTCGGAGCCTGTCGAGCCTGCCTGGGTGGGGGCCTCTTTGCCGGCCTGCGCACGCACGCACGTCGAGCCTTCGCCACGCCACCCGCGTGCAGCCAGGCAGGCGGGCAGGCGGGCGGGCAGGCGGGCAAGCACAGACCAAGCGGGGGAAGCTAGCCAGCTGGCCAGGCGGGCCTGACGAGGCAGGCTAGGCGCCCGTGGCGAGCGGGACAGGGCCGTGGGCAAAGGCAGGCAGGCAGGCAGGCAGGCAGGCAGGGCCTGCCCGTCAGGCCACCCAAGCCTGCTTGACGATGCTCGTCCCCTCTTTCCTCTTTCGCCACCATCTGCCTCTACCTCTGCCTCCAACCTTGCTTCGCGAGCTTAGGTTGGGATACAGCGGTGGTGCAGCTGATCTCCCGTCCATTGTCGTGTCATGTCGTCCTCCCCTGTGTCCCGAGATCTCGCTCACCCTCGCCTGCCTCGCGCTCCCCTTTCTCGTCGGCAGAAGCAAGCGCAAGGCCTACGCTACACACGGTATTGTACAGGTACTCACGCTAGCTGCTCCTCTAGCCGCTGATCGAGGTGCTCGATTTGCCTTTCTCGTCCAACCCCTTTGTGCTCGCTCGTGGGCAGCAGATGGAAGGCCTACGCCCCGTCGCCCGCGACCGGTCAAGCCCCTCCGGCGAGCTAGCAAGCTTGTTTTTGGCGAGGGGCCCCCAGTCAATGCAGACCTGTGTCATCCTGGCACACGGAGCCTCGCCTTAGCTTTGCCGTTGCAGCTCTGCAAGCCGTCGTGTCGAGACTATTATTCGCGACGTCAGGCGGGCAGGCAAGGCTGCTCGAGATCCAGATCGGGGCCAGCCGACCACCATCGCCAACCTCGCCAGCATGCATGGGCAGAGGGCGGTGCGGTCGTCGTCGGCCCGCCCACCGCGCTCCAGCCAGCTGATCGAAACGTCTTCCGTCTTTGATCCGCGGGCCGCCCTGCTCTCGACCCCGCTCGACCCGGGCAGGCTTATAGGCAGGGCTCCACCGTTGCATCACCTCTCTCGGTGGGCGGCAGAGGACACGGCTTGCAGGCCGTCGACGTTGCGGAGCGCGGCCCTCTCAACTCCTTGCCATACATACCTTGCATTTACCCTGTGCCCACCGGTCGATGCTCTCGGGGCGAGCTCGGCCGCTTCCGACCGACGGCGGCCCAGCATCCGGCCTGATATGTACGTATACGGCTTAACCATATGAGGCCACCGAAGGACGCCGACCCCAACACCGTCCGCGGACGCCAGGGCAGGCAAGAAAGCCGGATTCAGGGTGCCCAGCCAGCGAAAACTTGAATGCGGGGAAGCCGGAAAGGGTTCAGTTGATGGGCAGGGCGGGGGGAGGCGGACCCGGGGGTTCTCGTCTGGGCAGCTGCTCGCCACCGCCAGCTCGCCTCTCACGAGTCACCGTACATTCGTGCGTCCGACCGCCCGAGACAGCTTGGCGGCCGGCCGGGTGAGTTGCCGTCCTCGCTGCCGGCCCTCTGCTGCGTGCTGCTGGTGTCGTACACGCTTCGAGCGTGGCCACAACCTCGACCTTCGATCACGCGAGCTCTGCAACGAAGCAAGAAAGTCTTTTGTCGCGCTCGGGAGCTTCGAGTCCGACCTACTCCCGCTCGGTCCCGCCTGGCTTCCGCTGCACAGCGTGGCGGAGACCGAATCGGAAGCCAAACGGCAGTCCTCGTCGAGCAACAAAAACGGACACGGATGAAACACTGACTACGGAGAGACCGCTGGTCACCATGAATTGGGTATTCGCAAGGCTCGCGAGCTTGCGGACAGCCGTTCTGGGACCTTGAGTGTGAGTGAACCAGCTACGTCCGCCCGGACGACCGGCGGGCATCCTCACAGCGGCCACGCATCGGTATTCACGTCCTTTGTGCAGCTCGACGGCATCGCGCTTGGCAGTCGTCATGCCGATCATCGTACAGTCGAGCGGAGAAACGCCGCGCGTCGTCTGCAGTCCACGGGCGGAATCGCGGACAAACTCGCCCCCGCCGTCAACCGTTGGATGGCCCCCAACGACTTATGACCGGTCGGTGACTCGCCCGCAACCTTCTCGAGGACCACACCCGCTTCGCCGACGTCGACCACCGACCTCGCCGGCCAGGCCTCGCAAGGGCAGGCTACCGTTGGCCTGAGTCCCCAGGCGCAGGCGGCAAGGGGCTCACGCCGGTCGCTTGATTGGCTTCGCTCGGAAGCCAACCAACCAAAACGTTCGCCACCAGCACGCCTTGGCCCGCGCTGATGACGCCTCGCCTTGGAGGAGGGGTGTCGCGTGTGTGCGCGCTCTGCGCGGTGCACGCCGCCCAAAGGGTCGGCCGATCAGCTCGCCGAAAGCTCCGGAGATTCCTCCGACGAGGAGACAAGCAAGAAAGGCTACATCGGTAAGTTGGAACAGGCACACGATGGCTCGAGTTCAAGCACTGGTGCGGGGAAAGAGCATGCGACCAATTAAGCTTGTCTGCAGCTCGCCGCACGATACAGCTACAGCTGGTATGTGGGATCGCAGCATCTTCCTACCGCAGCAACGGCCGCAGCCCCCGTTTGTGCGCATCGTCTCTACCGGCCCACAACAGAGGGAAAGACGGGCGACATGTTACCAGGAGCCGGCCAGTCAGTGGGCCTTCGCCTCAGGCCCGTCAAGAGGGGTACTACAGAGTATGGCTGACCCGGTCGGTAGGTATGTAAAGCTCGCAAGACAAAATCGAGGTCGAGCTGTGTCGAGAGCCCTAGTCGAGCGCTAACGACTGGCACGACGACTGAATAAAGATAATGCTTTCTCTTGGCAGGCCCTATCCGCGCCGCCGCCGCCGCCGCTGCCGTTTCCGCCTCGTCGTAAGGTCGAGGTGGGATTTGGGAGTCTGCGAGCGTCCACAACCCGATCTTTGCTCAGCGCGCCTCGAACTTGGTGATGACGGCCCGGCGACGCGGTCGGTGGGGATGTACGTCGGTTGGACGGCTGGTCAGCCAACGCCTTTCCGGCCGACCGAAAAGCCGGACAGCAGGAAGGCGGTTGTTGTACAGGTACGTACGCCAGCCACCCTGCCCTGCCTCTTGGCGCGCTTAACGCCGGGTATCCGGGATCTGGGTTCGCGTCCCGGTCCAGCCGCCTCGCCTACCAGCATCTCAGAGGGAGGACAAAAGCGCGAGCGGCCCAGCAAGCAGCAAGCAAGCGATCACCCAGAGCCCCCTTAGCGAGCGCCGAACAAACGAACAAAAGCGATGGAAGGAAAGCTCTTGCTCGAACGCACGCTTCCGACTGGGCCATGGGGTCGCCCGCCGCAGCACTTCTCAAAGGTTCGTATAGTCTAAGTGTCCCTGGAGAGAGCAAAGCTCCCTGAGGCGACGACTCTGACGGCCGTTCACCACCCGCTCTGCCGTTCCCATGCTGGTCTGGCCTATATGGGGATGGCCAGGGACGCATGCATGCCAGCTGTGATGTGGGGCTGCCTGCATAGCAGCGCAGCACAGCGCAGCGCACCTCTGTGGGCCCCGCAAGACCGATTCCCCCCCGGGCGCGCGCTACAGGCGGATCGAGGGCAGCGAGCCCTTCTGACCCGGCCTCCCTTCTTGCGAGGCGAGGCCAACGAAGGCGCTGGCTGGGAAGACGTCGGTCTGTACATAGGGTCCGCGCTCCAGACGAGCTTACCGCCGAAGTCGCCTCGATCTCGACTGCAAGATCGGGGTTTGGACGGTGGAGCTACCGGTGCTGTAGCTGCTGTGTCTGCCATGAATCGCGCCAGCACCTTGACGACGGGTGTCGTTGCTTGGATCGAATGGCGAGATCGGGAAGACGATGCCGGCCTCTAGGCGAAGCTGTCGCCTTCGGGATGTGATTGGCCGGCTGGATGGCGCGCGATTGGCGCAAGGCAGGGCAGGGCACTGGGCGCGCGCATGCTGCCAGCACAGGCCTGGCCGGGCCCAAGAGTAGTGCTGGAGGGCGGGAACGAGCCCGAAGTCGAGGCCAGGGCGGGATCGAATTTCAAACCCGGGAAGCCAGCCGGGTCTCGGGGCCAAGCAAGGCCAGGGCTCAGGCGGGCGCCACCCCACCCTGGCCTGCCAGCCTCTGGAGGCAGGCAAGCCGGTCGAAGAACGAACGAGACAGCAGCGCAGCACGCAGGGTGCAAGGGGTTGCACGATGCCTGCCTGCTTGTTCTTTTTTTTTTTTTTTTTTTTTTTGCTGGCTGGCTGGCTGGCAGGCAGATTGACCAACCGGAAGGCACGAGCGCAGAAGCAAGGGAGCGGACAGAAGGAGGGGGAAAGAAGCACGCGAGCGCGACCAATCAGAGCGCGAAGAAAAAGAGACAAAAGGCCAGGAAGGTGCCTGCCACGCACCCCAACCTAGCGTACAACCGCCAGGCGGCCAGCTCCCAGCGTACCGGGAATCCACCCGATCTGAGGTGGCGGCGACGTCTACGGCCGACGACGAAGCGCTGCGTCCAGCTGTCAACACGGCTGCGTGCGGCGATGGCATGGGTATCCGTACCGTCAGGTCTGGCTTGCCAGAGATCGAGTCCTGCCCATCTGGCCCAAGGGACGACGAGCCCTGCAGAAGAGGCGAGAAAGCGCGCAGGCGGGGCGGCGGCGGCAGCGGCAGCACGGCGGCGGGTGCTGCTGCTCGCCCGGTTGGGCCCTGCACCGGCAGCTCGAGGCTCATCTGGAAGAGCACACGCGCGCACTCCCCGCCCCATCATCACGACACAGCCAGCAGGCTGCTGGTGCTTGCGGGCCTGCCGGCCTGCGTGCGCGCGTGCCGGCCAGGCCTGCCCTACAGCAGAGCGCAGCAGAGCAGCAGCAGCGCCTAGCCCGGCCTGTTGATCTCATTGGCGGCGGGAAAGCGCCCCGCCACGCAGACGAGCCCACCCTAGCCTGACTCTGCCTGCCCTGCCGACCCTACCTGCCTGCCTAACTTTTGGCCTGCCTGCCTGCAGCGCAAGCAGCGAGCGTCTGCCTGCCCGCCTGCCTTCCTGTTGCTGGCCTGCGTCTCTGCGCTCGTCACCCCCTCTCTGGACGATGATGCTACGTCTCTGGGAGCGCGGATGCAGATGCTGCTGTGAGCAAGCCTCTCCGGGTCGCCCAGCAAAGCCGGCTGCGAACCCGTCGCTCGGTCGTGTGGTACGGTGCTGTGCGCGGACAAAGGTCCTCTCTCTGTCTTTGGCTGGCCACGCTCTCTTGGGAGGTTTGGCGGGCGCTCTCTGTCCTGCCTGCCTTCGGCTGCACTGCCCCATCTGCCGCTGGCGATGATCTGGGAACTTTTTTTCTGTTGTTGGTTGGCGCGGAGCGAGCGAAGCGATATTTCCGTGGCCGAGATTTTTTTTTCGGGGGTTGCCAGGTGGGCCTCGGGCGAGCGGGCGAACGGCGGGTGGGCAGGCGGGCGAAGGCAGCGGCGGCGGGCCGGCCGGACGGCGAGCAGACAGGCAGGTTGGCGGGCAGGGCTAGGAGGCGGGAGAGAGAAAGTTGTGCTGGCTGGCAGCCAGCCAACCAGCTGGTCGGGGAGGCACCCTGGGCTGCCGCTGGCCACCTCGTTCTCCTCGTCACCTCCAGACGGCCTGCCCCAGCACCACCATCCCCACACCATTACCCTTCGATATCGACGTCGACCGGACACCGTCATACGGCAGCTCGATCCAACGACCGCCCGTCTGCGCTTCGGCCCCTTTCCTCCTTTCGGCCCTGCCTCGTCTTCCAAGCACATAATTTCACCTTCGGCCATCTGCTGCTCCCTTTGTCCATACGCAACTTCGCCCCGACCCCGACGCCACGTCGCCACGTCGCCATCGTTTCATCGCCCACCGGATCCTCGGGTCACGCTCGAAGAAGGCTGCCTGAGCTCCCTCCTAACGACTCGCGCCAACGATCCAAGCCCGCCCCGACCGCTGGCGCCTTTTTCGGACGACGACTGCGACTCGCTCTAGTCGTTCCTTGGGACTCAGGGTCCGCCTGCTGATCACCGAGGTGCATCGCATTCGCGGCAGTTCCAACCGCCTTCTCGAAACAACGCTCGCTGGCTGATCTCTCGGTCGCGGAGACGGCACATTCTGAGGTCGACAACGCCTTTGTCGAACTCGTGAGTTGCGAAGCGGACCGACCCTCCTCCCTGGCCGTGTCGTCTCTTGCTCGGCCCAACGTCGAGGACGCCATCTGTCGTGACGCTCTAGGGGGTTTGTGCCGGTGCATGCACTACGGAAGGGCCTGCAGCCGCCTTTGAGCTCGCCAGACGCTTCCCTGCCCTTCTCGTAGGGAGCATCAGGAGCGTCTAGCGACGCTCAAAGGTCAGCTCTTGGCCCGCATCCCCAGTGCCACCAACGGTGCCGACCCCCGACAGCTACCCACGCCCTTGGCCAGACGCTTGGTTGCGAGAGAGGACCTGACGGAGAACCTCGCTCTCTCTTCCCTTTCTCCCTGTCGCCTTCCTCGCTCCATCGCCGCTCGCACATCTGCTCGGCTTCGGCGTTGCGCTGCCGTCGCTCCTCGCACGATTGCTTCATCGCACCTGCACTTGCTGCCGATCACGGTCTCGGACCTACTTGGCCTGATCGCGGGCCGCAGTCGTCCGACTCAACGCCAAGTCATCTTCCAGGCTTCGAGAGGCAGACTGTTCGCCGCTGGTCCCCCCCTCTTCTAGGCAGCTTCCGGCCTGGCTTGATGAGCTCTTACACCGGGAGCGTGCGTCGTTCGGAGAACGGCAGCTCCACGACTACGGTGAGTGTTCCGGCAAAGACCTCGCTCCTCGAGGCACCGGTTGCAGGGGCGCTGTACCAGTGCAGGTCGAATTCGCCCGGCTTGCCGGCTTGATCAGCTTGGGTGCTCCGCTGTGTCGACGTACGTGGTTGCGAGCTGGGGACTGATTTGTATCTCGCCTCAATGCTCGCTCGCCGACAGACCTACACTATACCGAGCTCGATTCGCAACACCTACGATACCAAGGAGATGACCTCGACCATTCCGCTCACGAGCTTTTCGCCACCGTCGAAAGGCTACTTTACGCCGTCGAGCTCGCTGCCGCCATCGCGCTCCGAGACAATGGCGACAGCGACGGCAAACGCCCCGTCAGTGGGGCCCACCCGCGGCAGGAGGCGAGAGTCGCTGACGGGCCAGATGAGGCGGAAAGCGTCGGTGACGACCGCTGCCGCAGGCGGTGGTGCGTCGGGCCTCAGCATCACCCGTGGCCAAGCGCCCGGCTCGCCCAACGGGCAGCCCATTCCGCGTCCGCTGCGTTCGCCGGGGATGATGCCGTCCGACATGGCGGGCCTTTCGGCCTCGTTTGGCGCTGCCGGTGAGGCGCTCTCGCTGTCGTCCTCGGTCACTTCGAACGCGACAATCGGACCCTTTTCGCAGTCGCTCTCCAACTCCAACGGCCCCGGCCTCAAAAAGGAGCCGCGCTCGCTCGGTCACAGCCACTTCGGCAAGGAATGCTTCGGACCGAGCAGCACCGACCTGACGAACAACCCCCCGAGCTCCTCGATGCTCAGCCCGTCGTCGAGCGGACCGATCGATGCGACCCGCGGCAACGGCAGGGACAGGCGGAACTCGGCGAGCTCGACCGGGACCATGCAGGAAGAGGACGATGGCGCCAAGGAAGCGGCCGCCTCGGCGCCCCAGGGCCACCAGCAACTGCACAAGTGCGAAAGCTGTGCCAAAGTCTATCGCCACCCGAGTTGCCTGGTCAAGCACCGCTGGGAGCACACCGTGTACTGGAAGGAAGCCTCGAAATTCCTCATGAGCAAGCACCAGCAGGTGCAGCTGCTCGAGGCCGCGGCGATCCTGGTGGGCATGGACTCCAACGCCCGGTCGCTGCCCGAGGAAAAGGCGCTGTGGCCGGCGGCCGTCAGCCCGCCGCTGTCTGGCCTGCTCGGCTCGGACCAGATCAACTTTGACACGCTCATGGCCGCCAAGCGACGCAACGCCACCGCCACACCCTCGCCTGCTCGCGGCCCGACGCCCGGCCTGGTGCCCAACGACAGCAGCGACGGCAGCACCAGCAGCGCCTACGACGCCTCGCACCGCAGTGGCACGCTCAGCCCGCTCAGCGGGCTCGGCCAGCTCCGCCTCGGCGGCAACGAGACCATGTCTCGCAGCGAAAGCTACGGCCGGCACGGCGGCAAGCCCGACACCGACGTCCGACGGTTCCGACTCGACGATGCCGAAAACTCGCACAGCAGCGGCAGTGACCAGGCCGACCGGTCCGGATCTGCCGAGATGGACGACGACGACGACGAGGGCAAGCACGCCGCCGACGACGAGCGCGACCGCGACCGCGACCAGGAGCGGTACGGTATGGACGCCGGCGGCGACGTCATGGCCGAGATGGAAATGGACGACGTCGTCTGAAGCGGCGCCCGTCTTCCTCGCGCGCCTCGTCGAAAGTACCAGAGGCGGCGGACGATGCATTCAACGTCGTCGCCGCCTCGCATGTCCTCCGTCGATCCTCACAATCGTCTTCCAGCACCGATGCCTCCGGATGGTCGTCTACCTTGCAGCCCTGTCACTTCTGGATACGTCAGGTCCGTTTTGCTTTCCCCCCCTCCCCTTGGGCTTTTACTTTTGTCTCCCCACCCCGTCGTCGCCCCTTCCGCTTCTTCCATCTATGGCGACGTTGCCATTGTCGTCGATCCCTCCGGGCATCCGCCTCCGCCGTCATGTTATCTCAGGAGGAAGGTCACCGCTCAGACACACCAGTCAAGGCGGTCGACGGTCCCTTCCTCCCGGGCCCCTCTCTTTCTCCGCCCCTCCCTCTTCACCTTTCCTTTTCACCCAACCCCTGTATCAAAACAAAGAAGAAAGAAAGAAGGAGAGATTCAGCAGCAGATGCGTCGTCGACGCCGTCCGTCCGTCCGTCCGTTCATCCCGGCCTTGCTGCTGCTTGGACGGACGTGCGGGGAGCGAGAGGTGCTGCGGCAGCGACGGCCGGGGTGTCGGCTGCGCGGCGTGGATGTGGTCTCTTGGCGCCCTTGCCCCGCCGGCCCTGCCTGGCCCTGCACGTCCAACTGCCGCGCCTCTCAACTTCGCAACCAACCTCTCTCGAGCGATCCTCAAGACACTTTGGGGCTTGCTCGGTCGTCCGCCCTCGACCTGTTCTCATGGCCGGTCTGCCGGAAGCGTGCGGGCAGGCCCAGGGGTAAGCTCTAATCCGCGGGAAGGTAGGGGGCAGGGGATGCAGGGCGCTGGGCGGAAGCGGGACAGAAGCCGAAACAAACCCCCCCAGCGGGTAGGAATCCACCGGCAGCGGTGCCGCATCGTTTCCGCCCTCTCCGCCCGACCTGCGGGTGCGGGTGCGGGTCCGCCCGTCCATCGGGGGAGCCGGACCCTCTGGAAGTTCGAACGACGACGTTGACCGCGAGGAACCTTTCACGGATGGTGCAGATGCAGATGGACTCGAGCCCGATGGTTTTGCGGGGATGCCCACCAGTACGTCGTCACCAGGAACCCCCCGGCCTTCGCCGCTGCCAAAACTACTCTCCTCGAGGTCTGAGCACCGCCCCGAGGCCCGAAGACGTCCATGACGATGGCAAGGTCTCGTGGCTGGCTTCGCAACGACGGAGAAACAGGTGATGCCGCCCGTCGGCGCCGTCCAGGCCACACGGCGTCCGTCGGGGTCCACGATCGAGGTTACGTCGCGCGCCGAGCCGCACGTTGTCGTCGTTGTTGACGGCGGTGATGATGCTGATTGCCCTGACCAGCCTCGTCAAGCGCTCAAGCGAGGCCCAGATGAGCGCAGCGGGCACAGATAGAGCTAGCGGAAGGCGGGGGGCGTGCCTGGGGAAGCGAGCACCTCGGACGGAGGCGGTATGAAAAGAGAAGGGGCGATCTCCCCAGCAGCGTCAGGCGGGAGGGAGCGTGGCAGGCGGAGAGGCCAACGGAAGATGCAACGTCAGAGGCGCCAGCCGAGGTTCAGGCGACGCCCAGCCAGCCTCTAGGGTACCGACGATGATCCGGCCTGCTCGGACCAAGAGCGACTAGCCAGGCACGCTGGGATGCGATGATGGGGCTTGGTTTGGGTTTCCTGCCATTGGGGCCGACGGCAGCGCCAGCAAAGCGCCGGTCCCTGCCTGGGCCAGCAAAAAAGACAGACCGGGGGTACGACCTGCGATCGACGCACGACGAGACCGCGGCAAGACGAACAGACGAGCGGCTTGCACTCGACAGCTGGCGGTGGTGGCGACCGAGGTCGTGATGGTGCTCAGGCACCTATGTTCCTGCTGGCGAGGCCATGGGGTTTGCCTCCGCATGGCCGCCGACCGACGTCGTGGACTCGGATGGCAGGCGGAGGCGGTGCCTGTTTTTCCAGCATCGAGGCGAGATCCGACGCCCTCGCCAGATTTGGATCAAGCAGGGCCAGGCCAGGCCAAGCCGTCGGGGCCTCCGCTCGGAAAGTTGAGCGTGAAATCGGCTCCACGGCGTGTTGCCCCCCCGCCCCGCCTCCTTCTCGCGCAGCCGCCGCTGACCTCGTCTGCCCCGCGTTTCCCTGCCCGCCTCTTCCTCGACCTTTTCCCGGGAACCAGCGTGCTGCACTGCGGCTTCTGCATCCCCATCTCCCCCGCCCTCATCGGTCAACGGAACGGGGCGCGCTCTCCTCGCGTTGAGCAGCGGCAGCCATGGCCTGCGCCGGCCAAACTCTTCCAGGCACGACTCAGGGACCGCGGTCCTTTGCTCCATTCCGTCCTTGGAGCGACGAACGAGGAACGCGACGACGCTGTCGGCCGCGTTGGCTCTGAGACAGGCACGTCCAGAGTACGACGTACGGAGGAGCCGATGCCAGATGGTCGGCGGCGTCGCAGCATGTGGGGCCGACGAATCAGCTTCGAGGCTTCTCAACCCCCCCGGGGCCTGAGGGTGTCTGCACCGTTCTTCCGACCGCGGACGGGGCTGCCGACGAGCGAGCGAGGTTGTCAAGCGGTCCGTCCGGCGAATCCCCTCTCCGGCCCGACCAACTCGCCGAGGAATGGAAGGAAGCATGCCAAGCGGGCGAGGCCATCGTATCTCGACCTGGCCTGGCCTGGCCTGGCCGAGTGCGGTCGCGAGTGCCTCACTGCCCGCAATAATGGTGCTTCCTTGGTAAGACAGCGCCTAGACGCCATATCTAAGTACCCGAACCCGACTCAGCCAGCCCAGCTGCTGCCGCAGCCGCAGCCACAGCCGTCGCACCAACGCCCAGTACCCAGCGATAGGATGAACATCGACCTGCTATTGTCCGCCGGCCAAGACGACTCGCCAGCAGACTTTTTCCAAGACTCTCGAGGCTGAGCCTTGCCGGCTCCTGGCAACCAAGGATGGAAGACGATGTGTTTTGCCAGAATGGTCGAGCTCGGCGGGCGTTGTGGTGCCATCTCTCGGCGCCGCCCTTTGTGCATGCCTACTTGCAACACGTCGGCCAGAGTACGTCTGAGTCGGGCGGCGAGGACTGAGCGGAAAGCTATGGCATCGTCGCGCGCCCGCACTCCTCCAGTTTTTTTTGAGACCGGGGGATGCCGCCGTCATCTCACTTGACCATCGTCAGCATGATGGCCCAAGCAATCCTTGCTATTGTCCTCCAACAGAGGAAGCTTTTGGCTCCGATCACGATGAGAGGATGGCCTTGTCTCTGTCCGCCTTAGCTTGCTTCTGTCGTCACCGGTCTGCCTGGGGCTCGTCGCGCGTTTGGACCTCCGCCGTCGAGGTGGTCAGGCCTGCGCGTTTTATCCAAGCAAGGCCGTCTCGCGCTGCGTCCTTCTCTAAGCTTTGGCCTATGTTCGATTGTGTGTTTGTACAAGCCAGCGAGCTCAGAGCGTAAGCTAGCTTGCTTCAACAGCATGCGCGCGTGGATGTCGAGGCAATCGTCTCTTTCAACAGGCTAGGAAACGAGAGTTTTCGTTGAGGGCTCACAAACGTCGTGCAAGACCATCTTCATGGCAGGATGGCTCACGCTTACCGCTCCGCCAGCTGCCCCTCCCTGGGCGTGTTGCCGGTGCGGCTGCACGAGAGCCAGCGCTGCAGGAAGCGGCAGCACACTTGTGCATGCATCTGCAAACAGCCAGGCAGGCTAGGGCAGGCAAGCAAGCAGCACCAACGCAGCGCAGCGCATGGGCAGCGGGGCAGACGGCGGCGGGATGAAGGGGGCCACCGAGAAGGAGAGATCAGAGACAGCCAGCCAAGCAGGTCACGCTCCCCCTCGAAGCCTTGCCTGCCATCATGGCATCTCCCGGCTCCCAGCAAGCAAGCAAGCAAGCCAGCAAGCAAGCAAGCAAGCAAGCAAGCTGCTGTCCTTTGCCAGATTCGCCCTCGGACCACGAGCCTGGCCGGAGCTGCAGGCCCATCTCGCCTAACAAGGTAGGGGGCGACGCGAGAGGCGACTTTGTTTCGGGAGGTGCGCCGGCAGGCCCTGGCCTGGCCTGGCCGTCGGTTTGCACCTGCGCTGCGCTGCGGGGCCTGGCGCTGTGCCAACGCTTTTTTGTGGAGCCGCCGACCTGTCCAGCTGGCCTGCCTCTGGCCTCCCCCCCGCCGCCTCCTCTGGCCGTCTGGCGACGTCGTTCTAGCCTCGCTCTGCCTCCTGGCCTCGATCTGCCTCTGGGCTGTGATGGCCTGCTGGCCTCGCCGCCTTTCGTAGTCCGCCTCCCCTGGCCTGGCTGCTACCGTACGACGGTCATCTGCTCGTCCCTCTAGCTTGTCCCAAGCGCCGCCGCCGCCGCTGGCTGCTGCTGCGTTGGGTTCTCGAGCCCGCTTTCATGCTGGAATTTCAATCGCCCGCCCGACCAGCTGCGGAGCAGCGTGCAAAGGCAGGCGGGCAGGCTGACCTGGGATCCGCGGCCGCTCACTAGAGCAGGAGCTCCTCTGCCCCACATCCAACTCGCCTTCTCCCCCCGGTCGCCCATCCGCATCGTCACCTGTGCCCGACCGCTGCCCACATATAAACGGCGCTGGTCGATCCACAGCCTTTCGAGCCATCCCTTCTTCCGCCCTCTGACCAACATCGCGTTCCGCTCCTTCGTCCGCTCCCCAACCTCTTACCTGCGCTTCGCTCCCGTTGGTCGACGACGACGACACCCCAGGCTACATCACCAGCAGCCGCGAGCCGCATCCAGCCCTCAGCCCCGTGCACCGTGGACCAGCTTCCTCTCTTCGTCTTCCCCGCATACCCAGCAGCGTCTTCTTCGCGGCCCTCTCCTGCTCTCTGCTTTCCTCGTGTCCGCTCGCGTTTCCTGGATCTGCCGTTCGTTGAAACCCGGAAGAGTAGACACAAGCGCGCTGCCGACACGCCATCCGCGATCCCTGCCCTGTATCGACCCCGACGGACTGCGACCGGGTAGCGACCGTCCTTTTTTCACCGCTGGACCGCCCACACGGAATCTAGACGATAATGGCGACCATCAAGAACGATCTCGGGGAGGACATCCTCCCCGGCTACAAGGGTGAGTGCAAAAGCCACAAGGCTGCAAGTCTGCCAGCCTCCGGTGTGATACGACCTGCACGGGGCCAGCTCCAGGCGTCCTGCCACCTGGACGTCCCGCTCCAGACCCGTCAGCGATGCTGAAACCTCCTGTTCGCTCGCCGCGATGCGCACGCTCCCGGCTTCGCATCCGCTTCCCGCCTTCCCCGCAGGCAACCTCTCCGATGACCAGCAGAAGTCGCTCCGCGAAATGTACCGGAGGCTGTTTGAGCTCTTTGAGAAGAACAAGGAGGTCTCGGCCGAGGTCGACCGCAAGGGAGGTCCCGCCGCCGTCGCCGCCAAGGGCGAGTCGTCGGCACCGCCGAAGAACGAAAAGGACGCCGGCAAGGACATCCCCAAGGACGACAAAGCCAAGGAGGAGGCCAAGAGGCAGGAGGAGCTCAAGGAGATGAACGAGTTCATCGACAAGTACGGTGGCCCCATCCTCCAGAGGACGGCGTGGGAGTTTACAAAGGTGAGTCGTGCAGAGCCCTCGGGCGGCACGGCGACGGCGCATCCGCTCCACGGACGACTGCGATGTCGCACCAACCGAGCATGGTCGCTGACGCTGCCGCGCGATGGCCTCCGAACCGAACCGCAAACAGATGGACCACATGGACACGTCGCTGCTCCGCTTCCTCCGAGCGAGAAAGTGGGACATTGACCGGGCCCTGGCGATGCTGGCCGCGGCGTGCAAGTTCCGCCTAGAGAAGGACGTCGCCGGCATCATCTTCAAGGGAGAGGAGGGCCTCCAGGACGTCCCCGGCTTCCTCAACCAGTTCCGTCGCGGCATCTCGTACATCAAGGGCAACAGCACCAAGGGAGAGCATCCCATCTACTTTATCCACGTCGCGCGCCACTTCACCAGCGCGCAGAAGCATGAGGTGCTCCAGCAGTTTGTCTTGCTGGCCATGGAGAACGCGAGGCAGCTGACGACGCCGCCCTATGAAAAGGCGGTCGTCGTGTTCGACCTCTCGGGCTTCGGCCTCAAGAACATGGACTGGCAGTGCGTCCTGTTCCTGGTCAAGTGCCTCGAGGCCTACTATCCCGAGTCACTCCAGCGCATCTACGTCCACAGCGCCCCCTGGATCTTCAAGGGCATCTGGCAGGTGCTCCAGCCCATGCTGGACCCCGTCGTGCGCGACAAGATCAAGTTTAGCAGCAAGGCCAAGGACGTCGAGGACCTGATTGCGCCCGAGAAGCTGCGCAAGGGCATGGGCGGCACCATGGACTGGGACTGGGACTACATTGAGCCGCAGCCCGACGAGAACAAGCTGCTCAAGGACAAGGCGACGCGCGAAAAGATCGAGGCCGAGTACCGCGAGCTCGCCGACGAGTTCGAGGAGGTCACCAAGAAGTGGATGACCGAGGGCAGCAAGGACGAGGACACGCCGGAGCTCTCGTACCGCCGCGAGGTCCTCGCCAAGCAGATCCGCCTCAAGATCTACCAGCTCGCCCCCTACACGCGTGCCCGCAACGTCTACAACCGCGCCGGCATCCTCAAGGACGACGGCTCCTTCCACTGGGACTATCCGCAGGTCAACGGCAAGATGGTCTCGCAGGACGTCAACACCCGCCACTGCTACGGCGCCCTCATCAAGTGGCTCCAGGACCACAACGAAGACACCCTCGAGGACTCGATCGGGCACCAGAAGCTCGCAGAGTTCTCCACCGACGGGTCCATCAAGAAGTCGTATGGCGGCGGCGGCGGCGCCAAGGCGGGCGGCGGCGACGACGCCGACAAGAAGAAGAAGAAGTCCAAGGCCGGCAAGGAGGAGGAGGCCGCCGCCGCGGGTGCCGCTGCCGGCGCTGCCGCGGGTGCCGGCGCCGCTGCTGCTGCGTCGTCCAAGAGCAACGGCGACTCGAAGCTGAGCAAGAGCAAGAGCAAGAAGAAGGCCAAAGAGCCCGAGCCGGAACCGGAGCCGGAGTCCGAGTCGTCCACATCCGAGTCCGAGTCTGAGCCCGAGCCCGCGCCAGCACCTGCGCCAAAGAAGAAGAAGTCGGCGTCCAAGGCCACGCCCAAGGTGGCTGCCCGCAAGCTTCCGAGCGACGACGAGGCCTCGGACGACGACCACCACGATGACGACGACAAGCCGCAGACCTACACGGGGGCCGCGATGGGCGCCGTCACGGGCGTCGCCGCCGGTGCTGCCGCCGCCGCGGGAGCCGGCCTCAGCTACCTCACCGGCTCCTCCAAGAATGGCCAGGCCGCTAACGGCAGCGCTCGCGGCGCGCCCAGCACCGCCTCGCACCAGGACGACGACGACTACGCTTCGGCCAACGAGCAGGACCACTATCCGGATGAGGACCCCGAGTTTGACGAGGAGGAGGAGTTCGACGACCAGGCCTCGGACTACTCGGACGAGTCCATCACGCCCGAGACGGCCGTCGTCCCGAGCTACATCCAGAGCAAGAATGTGTCTGCGTCCAACTGCCGCATCGACGACAACGACTGCCGCGAGGACCTGGCCGTGGTGCGCGAGGCCATGGCCCTCTTCCTCAACTCGAGGATGAAGGAGGCCGAGGAGCTCTGCATCGAAGGCGCAGGCACCCGCCTCTACAAGGCCGAGGGCATGGCGCTCATCAATGCCGTCAAGTCGATCCTCACCTTTGAGCCCGAGGACTTTGAGTCGGCCATCCTCTGCTGCAAGCACTCGATGAACATCGCGTCGTGCCTGCGCAAGAAGCAGGGCACCATCAACAAGCTCATGGGCGGCAACAAGATGTCCAACTTCCGCTCCATGAGCCTCGTCCAGCTCCACGCCGAGCTCGTCTACGCCGAGTCGCAGCTGCTCAAGTCGGTGCTCGGCATCTTCTACTCGGGCGACAGCATCGCCTTTGTCAAGCAAGCCTTTAGCCTCCGCGCCGCCTACTTTACCATGCGCGAACTGTTCAAGTTTGTCGAGCAGACCGACGCCGAAGCCGAGGAGGCCCAGATCTCCAACAAGCGCTCCAACCACCCGACCATCGACCAGGACTTCCGCTCGGGCGTCTACCTCGGCAACGGTCTCTGCTCGCTCGTGCTGTCGATGCTGCCCACCAAGATGCTCAAGATGATGGAGGGCTTCGGCTTCGTCGGCGACCGCAAGTTTTCGCTCGACCTCTTTGCGCGTGCCGGCGGCTGGAGCAAGAACAAGCCTCTGCCCACCATCTCGGCCGACGAGGAGGGTGTGCGCCGCCCGCTCTGCGACATTGCCATCCTCACCTACCACCTCGTCATCTCGAGCTACATCCCCGTCTCGGACGTCGACTTTGAGTTCGCCGACAAGGTGCTCTCGTGGAACCTGGTGCGCTACCCCAACGGCATCTTCTTCCTCTTCTTCAGCGCCCGCCTCTACGCCGCCCAGGCGCTGCCGGAAAAGGCGATCGAGTACTTCCGCAACTCGATCGAGAGCCAGCGCGAGTACAAGCAGCTCCACCACCTGTGCTTCTGGGACCTCTCGCTCACCTACCTCTGCACCTGCGACTTTGCGCGCGCCTACGAGTGCTACGACGTGCTGTCGCGCGAGTCCAACTGGTCCAAGGCCATCTACCAGTACGCCAAGGCCGTCATGCTCTACGAGACGGGCATGGACGACCGCGCCAAGAGCGCCACCATCATGCGCACGGTGGCCAAGCTCACCAAGAAGGTGGCGGGCCGCCAGATCCCCTTCGAGACCTTCGTCGCCGTCAAGGCCAAGAAGTACATTGCGCAGCAGAACCGGCTGCCGCTGCCGGGCCTCGAGTTCTCTTACCTGTGGCACTGCATCGGCCAGACGCCCGTCTTCCTGCTGGTGGAAAACACGCTGACGCGGATCGACGAGTTCATCGACGAGCTCGAGTCGTACGAGAACCCCAAGTCGTACGGCACGGGCGAAAACGAGTACTGGTCGTCGTACTGCCTCGCCTTCTTCCTGCGCGGCGTTGCGCTGCGGTTCGTGGCGTACCCGGAGCCGCAGACGCTGGTGCGCCTGCCGGCCGAGGATTCGGTAGGCCCGATCGAGGAGATCCAGGCCGACGCCATCCAGTCGTTCAACAAGGTATTTGAGAACGGCCACCGCCTCGACGAGGTGGACCGCTACCTCGTCTACTTTGCCCACTACGAGCTCGGACGCCTGCGCAGCTGCATGGGCCAGGACAATGCCGCCAAGGACGAGTTCCGCAAGGTGCTGTCGGGCAAGCCGCTCGAGGCCAAGGGCAAGGGCGGCCTGACGGGCAGCGGCAAGGCCAACTACCTGCTGAGCAACATGTGCCAGGTGCGCGCCCACGCCGCCATGGAGACGATGCGCGTCCAGCGCAACCGTTCGCGCGGCTCGTTCTTCAGCGGCGTCAATGGTTCGCTGGCCAGCCAGAGCATCGGCGGCTCGGTCTCGACGCGCTCCAACTCGCTGGCCTCGGGCACGAGCCGCAGCATGATGTCGAGGGCGACGACGCAGTCGAGCCGCTCGCGCGGCAGCATCAAGAGCGGCCGCGGCTACGACGACGACGTCGAGTACGCCGGCGGCAGCGGCGCGCACCCCCAGCGCTCGCGGTCGACGACCAACCGATCTGCGGGCACCGACTACTCTCGCCGCCGATAGCGAGTGCCTGGCCGCCCGCGTGCCCCTCTTGCGTGCCCCTCTTGCGTGCGCTCCGACGATACCCTACGCTTCCTCGCCTCTTTGTCTCTATCCCGATTCCGACTCGCTCCCTTTCTGCCTCTTCCGAAGTAATCCTTCCCGCCCCGCTCCTCTCCCTGGCTTGTTGCACGGTTCCCTTTGGGCCGCTTTTAGGTTGTCGATGCCCTCGCTTGAGCTGCTTAGTTTTCTATCCGTGACCCCGTCCCTCGCCCCGCCCCGCCCCGCCCCGCCCCGCCTCGCCTTGACGTGCCTCGTGGATCTGTAGATGATGTTGGCGTGGCCAACGTGTAACTGAATCGTGTCTCTGCACCACGGGCGAGCAGGTGCATGCCTCTGCCGGCAGCCGACAGAGAGTCAAGAGTCTGACCGCGTTGGTGTGGACTTGGCGTCGATCAGCAGCTGGAAGGAATGACCTGGCTGAGCCCGCAGCGATGGCGGGGCGTTGGGGCGGGGGGGACGGCAGCTGCGGCGTTGAGGGAACGGGTTGGACCGATGGATGGCCCAGGACGAGCACCTTGGACCGCCGGGTGAACCCTCGGAACCCTCGTCGCGGCTCCGAAGTCGAGGAGAGGCGGTGGTGTGCGATGGAAGTACCCGTACGCGTAGCCTTGGCGGCCGAGGCAAGGCGAACACGTACGTTACGGCAAGCTGGCAGGCGAGAGCATCTGCATGGCGTGATAGAGAGACGGCGGGCGGGGACGGCTCACGGAAATTTGAGCGAGGCGGGTGCGGTCACGCAATCGAGCGCCCTCTCCCTCTCCCCGCTTTTCGCCGCTTGACCTGGCCTGGCCTGACCTGGCCTGGCCTGGCTGCTCCACGTCCAACATGGCCAGGCCGCGGCCAGGCGGGCGATGGCGTGCTCTCTCTCGCTGTTGCACATCCTCGTTGCCCGCCCCGCCTTCTCTCCTCGACCCTCCCCCCACGCTCCTGCCGCCCGGGCCTCCTCCACACCACACCGCACGTCGACGGTCTCGAGCAAGCGGCCTTTGGCAAGCGGCCGAGCAAGGCGCCATGACATGATGGCCTGACCTGCCCCGCCCCCCCCAGGCCTCGCTCAAACGTGGACATCGCACGCAACGAGGCGACCAGGCGCCCCACGTTGACCTGCCGCTTCTCGACAAGGAAAGGCTATGTCGCCGGCCAGGTTTCGCTTTCTTCTTGCGCTGGCGGCCCGGCTCCTCCTCGACTTCGCATCGAGGCCCGGCCTCGCCGTCACCAAACGGTCAGGCTAGGCCGTACGCTTGCCAAAGGCGGAGCGCAGCGCCGATGTCGACATCGCCCAGCTCACCGGACCGGCCCGTGGCATGGGCATGACTCCACCCTGGTTCTCGACCCTCGCTCGCCTGGCCTTGCTCGCGACGGATGGGCCATCGATGACCTCGGTACTTAAAGGCCAGCATGGCGAGCTGTCCCATCCTCTGCCCACCCGCTTGCCCCGCCCATCTCCAACCTCCCAACACATCTTTACCGTCCTGACGGCAACGGCTCTCTCGTCACGACCCATCTCTCCGTCTAGACCGAGTTCATCGTCCACTCGACGCCGCCATCCCCGCCCCCCGTCGCGCCACCATGCCCGCCTCTACCCTCGACATCCCGGCGTGGACGCCTCCCACCCCAACCCAGCAGAAGGACATTGACTGGGCGCCCCTCCGTACCCTCGACCTGAGCAAGGTGACCGGCGACGACTTCACCGACGTCCCCGCCGACGTGGTGCAGGAGGTGGGCGACGCCTTCCACCGCGACGGCTTCATCTACGCCGAGAACCACGGCTTGTCGTGGGACCAGGTGCTGCGCCAATTTGCCATTGGCCAGTACGTCTTCAACGGCGTATCCGAGGAGGACAAGGCCAAGTTCAAGGCCGACATCCTCGGCACCGGCAGCTTTGTCGGCTACAAGGAGCAGGGCCACTGGAAGCTCAACGGCATCAAGGACCGCATCGAGCAGCTCAACTTTGGCTCGCAGTCGTACAGCCCCGAGGCGAGGCAGAAGCTCTTCCCGCCCTCGATCCAGGAGCTGCTGCCCGAGATCGAGGCCTTCGCCGTCTACAACCACCGCGTCATCCTGCGCAAGATCCTCTCGGTCTTCTCGCTTGTCCTCAAGCTGCCCGCCGACACGCTGTGGAACCTGTCGCGCGACCCGGAGACAAAGGGCCTCGACCTCCTGCGGTACGCCATGTACCACACGCCGCCCAAGGAGGACGACGCGGCGCTCGGCGGGGTCCGCCTGCAGGGCCACACCGACTTCAACAGCGTTTCGATCCTCTGGAGCCAGCCCATCACGTCGCTCGAGGTCCTGATGCCCGACAATGTGTGGCGCCTCGTCAAGCACCGCGACAATGCCCTCGTCATCAACGCCGGCGACGCGCTCGCCTTCCTCTCGGCCGGCTACCTCAAGCAGACGATCCACCGCGTCGTCGCGCCGCCCGCCGACCAGGCGCACTACACCCGCCTCGGCATCTTCTACTTCGCCCTGTTCAACGACGACGTGCCCCTCGAGCCGCTGCTCGAGTCCGAGGTGGTCCGCGAGGCGTACGCGGCGCGCGGCACGGGCTACTGGGACGACCGCAAGGCCCAGGGCCTTCCCGTCCCCACGGCCGGCGAGTGGGAGCGGCTCCGCGTCAAGGCCTATGGCCAGATGGGCGCCAAGAAGGGCGATGACGGCCACGATCACGAGGAGATTGCCGGCCAGAAGATCACGCTCTACAACGACACGAAGGCACCCTCGCAGCAGCAGCAGCAGCAGCAGCAGCAGCAGGCGGCCCAGCCGCGGGCGATCCGCGCCTAGGCACACACGCCTGGTCCTCGGTCCTCGACCTCTATACCCGCTGCCGTTGCTCGCTCATCTGCCGCTCCACCGGCGTCCTCGCCACGTCTCCGTGACGAGGCAGGTGCGCGACGGCTTGCCTCTCCCGCGGTCTAGCCTATGCCCGCTCTCCTTTTCCCCCCGCCTCGTTCTGCCCGCACCTCGCCCCCCTGTATTACTATGTTCAACAGCATGTCCCCCACGCATCGTCCCGTCCATCTCTGTTTCCACCCTCCGTCTCCAGCATCCAACTGCATCCTGACCCCCCCTTCCGTTTCCCCCGATTCGCTTGTCATGCTCTGTGGGCCTATTTGCTTAATGCGCTCGCCTGCAAACCATCATGGCTAGACAGAGCCCTTCATGTCACAGCCTTCCGTCCTGTGCAGTGGCTAGCAGTATGGATGCTGTGTTCCACACGGTGGATCGCGTCGCAAACTGAGAGAGGGCGGGCTCCTGCGTGACATTCTCTGATCTCGGTGAGCGGTCCTCGCCAAGGCAACTTGGCCGAGCGGAGGTCAGCATAGAGTTGCGGGCATGCAAGGGAAAGCTATGTAAAACTTCTCGCGAGGGCACCCCGCACGCCGGACAAGCAGCTTGCTTGCTGGTCGAGTAACACTCAGAGAGCAAGAGAGTAGCGTAGTAACTAGTTAGTAACTTGTAGTTTAAGAGTGGCACAAGCAGAGGAGGCGGGACAAGGGGTTCTGTATGACGAGGAAGAGCCAACACTCGAAAAGAAAGCCTGCAGACGCGCACGCCCCTCGCGCAATTTGCACTAGGTAACTTTATTTCCAAAGACCCTAGATTGGGTGCCGGCGGCTCTGACGAGGATGGCCCAGTCCAGCATGAGCACCTCACCTTCGCTTCGCTCCACCATCATCTCTCCAAGCATTCCCTCTTCACGGCGCTTCCCCTCACCTGTCGCAGACAGAGCTTCGTTCAGCAATGCTCGACCCATCTTCGCACCTTGCGTCCGCCTCGCCCGCTTCCCCTTCCTCAGCTCTTGTCCAAGGAACTGAGTCTGCGGGTGTAGCCGCAGCCCACTTTACCGTCGCAAACGAACCTCTTGACAAGCTCGTCGACCCAAAGAGCAGCGCACTCCTTGGCTATCGCAGCAAGCACTCAAGCTCCTCCTGTAATGTAAGGACTCCGTCGGGAATCAAAGAGCTACAGTCCCACGGTCTCCGTACTGGCTCCATCACGTGTGAGCCGGCCTCGCCGGATCGGCTGCGCGGCCACATTTGCTCGCTCCTGCCCTATCGACGGTCCATCGATAAAAAGGCAGACATCAGCGCCGCCCTCGCCCGTTTCACCGCCATCTTCCAGTACGAACCTGGACTCAAAGCAGACTACCTACGATTCAAGCGCGCCGTGTCGTCGCAAGCCGACGAGGCTGGAGAACTCGCACGATCATCGCCACAGACCGACGCCATCGCTTCCGACCCAGCCTCGTCAACGACGGCGCGCGCAGAGCCTTCCGAGGTCAGGACTGGAAAGCGCAAGAGGGACTCGTCGCCCCCGCCCTCACCTCCCACAGCAAACGTATATGCGACTTTCTCGTACGAGGTGGAAGGATCGCAGTGGGTGGTCCACTTCACCCACTCGCCCGCTCGCCCCCTTCCGAGCACCGTCTCTATGCTCTGCAAGGCCGAGACCAGAGGTGCCGCCTCGACCGACTCAGACCGGCAGCAGAGACGCATTCACATGGTGGAGAGCACGCTCGAACCGACATCGTTCAGCTGCGCCGTCTCTGATTTCGGCACCTGCGAGTACCACTTCCAGGCTGTCGTGGAGGCGCTACTCACCACCCTCATGCATTCGCTGCATGCTACGATCTCGGCGGCCTGGGATGCTACAGCCGTCGGTCTAGTCCATCCGGGAGGCAAAACTCCGAAACACCGGGACGAGACCCAGGGTCCCACCCATATCGGAGCCTTGGCCGACGCCCGTGCCGATACATACCTGATGCCCGTCACCGGCAAGGATCCGACCGACGAGATGAAGTGGCAGGACATCTACGCAATCCTCGAGTTTAAGAACCGAGGACGCCCAGCCCGTGCAAACACGATACGGAGGGCGAAGGCGGCCAAGTCGAGTCGAGCTGGACCCCCGACCCAGATATCACCTGACAACGATGACGACGACGACGAAGGCGACGGCGGCGACAACGACGATGTCGGCGCTCCTGGAGCCGATCATGAAGATGCCAATGTGGTCGGTGCCACCAGAGGCGTCCCTCGCGTTACGGCCATCGGCAGGCAGCGTGGACCGCAGCCTGCCCTCCGATCTGGCCAGAACTCCCGCGCGGCGGCGGCCAGCGAGGACGACGTTTCTCAGATGCTGTCCTACGTCCTCGCCATCATCGGATCGACGCCGGGATTCGCCGGCGCTTACGGCTTCGTCATCGATCGCTGCCGGTTCAAAGCGTTCTACGTCGATCCTGACCACGTCCACGCGCTCGCCGACTTCAGCATCGACCGCGAGCCTGAGGCAATGTTCGACATGGCCGGACTGATGCTCGGCATGTGCATCGAAGGCTACTCGGGCTTCCAGCGATACAGGCGCGCCGTCAACATCGAGGCCGGTCAGACGCTCTACGTGCAGCTATCTCCCGAGGAGGCGGCTTCGGAGAAGCGTTGGTACGACTCGATCAAGATCCGAGAGCAGCCTGAGCTCATGTTCTGGCATCGAGGAGAGCTGGTGCACCGCAACACCCAGGTGCTCAAGGCCGATGTCAAGATCAACAACGAGGAAGAATGGCAGACGGTCATCATCAAGGTCAGCTTCCTCGCCGAGGGCGATCGTTACACGGAAGGTCGGGCGCTCCGACGGCTGAACTCGCCGCCCGAGCCTGCCAGCGATGCGGCAGAGGATGTCGCCCGGCACGAGGATGAGAGGGCCAAGCAGGCCGGCTATCCGCAGCTCGTGACCCATGGGGGCCTCTTTTTCTCCGTCAAGGAGGCCGACCTGGGTTCGTGGGCTGTTGTTGTGCCCAAGCGCGAACCCACCACGAACAAGAAACCGATCTCGGATCGGTTCGGCGAGGGCTTCTTTTCGGTGGACTTCGACAACGGCCTGTTCGCTCGAGCGACCCGTGCCGGCCGGCAGCCTGTCGTGGTGGTGACCAAGTTCCAGGAGTCGTACGAAATCTCCCGCACCGTGACCTGGCTGCTTCCGGCCGTCATTGCCGATGCCATCGCGGTATTGCACGTCGTTGGCCGCCGTCGGGGCGTGGCGCACGGCGATATCTCGGATGGCAACCTCCGGTTTGTCAAGCCTCCGCCGAGCGGATCCAAGACGCCGCAGCCCATCAAGCCTACCGATCCGCCCCTTGCCCTGCTAATTGACCTGGGCGAGGCTTGGATCGACGGCGTGCAGGGCGAGGGCAAGCAGGAAGAGCGCAAGTCGTTCTCGGGGACGTCGGCGTTCTGGCCACTCAAGATGCACTCGAACTACTCAATCCACGAGCAGATCTCAAAGCTCAGCAGATCCTCCAAGTACGCGGGCAGAACCGAGAAGCTCAAGGCGCAGCTGAAGCCCCTCGATGTCAATGATGACATTGAGTCGTGCTTCCTCTTGCTCTGCTACGAGCTGACGAAGAGGCTTGGGCTGGCGCGCTGCGACGAAGGCGGCAAGCTTTGGACGAGCGAGACGGAGCGATGGGCGAGCATGAGGTTGCAAGACCGCGGTCGAGAGTTTGGCAGCTCGGATCGCCGGTTCGCATACCTGGCCGACGTGTTCTCCGACAAGCGCGGGCTGTCGCAAGGTATCCGGGCGGCCGAGCAGCAAGCGCCCGACGACGATGCCGGCAAGGTACTCGACCTCGTGGCCGAAGCGGTGATGGAATGCCACGAACTGTGCGGCGAGGGAGGCAAGGCCATCGAGCGCGAGGCTGAGAGGATCATGGCGCGGCTGCGACTGCTGGCAGCGCAGCTGCAAGAGTACCGCGACGTCGACTTGGCCGCAGCCTTTGGACCGCCCAGGACCTGAAGCAGGCACCCACCCTGTATTGCCTCTCCGCCCAGGGCCTAGCAATGTGTCCACTGCGAGATCCGATAGAGTCCGGTGTGATGTTTGAACGCTGGTCGAGGTCGGTTGGCTGGCCGTGGTTGAGGGTGGTGGCCCGGGCGCAGCGGCGAGCGGGCGCGTGTGGAGGCGGGTGGGCCACGCTTTTCTGTCTGGCGGCGACTTTTGCCAAAGTTGGCCTGGGCGGCGCCCTCTTTCCCTTCTTCCACGACCCCCCCTCTCTCTCCCTCGAGGCCAATGCCCGGCTCCTCGCTATGATGCCATCAATAGGGACCTCCTCAGACACGCCGCCCCTCCTTCATTCAACTCGGTCCTCCTTGAGCAACAGGGACGAAAGCCCCCTCCAACCAAACTCGCTCCGCCAGCTCTTTGGCGCCATACGGCATGGCAGCCACCGCCTCGAATCACTCGATGCACTTCTCGATGCCTTCGTCTCCCCCTTGCTCAACTGGTATGGCCAAGATTGGCTGCCGGCGGAGCTGCGCCCACCTGCGCTCACCAAGCCAGGGCGCCACAGTGACGCTGCCCCCCAGATCGACCTCGCCACCGTCGCCGCGGCCCAAGAGGCCCTCCTGCACAGGGTAACAGTCGACTGGACCGACGTCCTCGACGACAAATCTCTGCTGCACCCGCTACTGCGCCTTTGGTTCTTCGGCTGCTCTCCTGCGGCCTCTGACGCCACTGGTCCTGCTCAGCCGGCACGCACAGAGCACACGCCAGCCATCACCGTACTTCAAGACGGCGGCCATCTGACTGCGGCACCTGACACCTCGGTGGCACTCTCGACGCTGCGCTCGAGGAACGGCCTACTGCAGCTCTCGGCCCTGAAGGCTCTGTCGGCCGCCCTTTCCACCAGCACCGGGACCGAGCCGGGCCCGGAATCCAACCATCTGGCCACTCGGGAAGCCGTCCTGGATCTGTGCCGCATGGCAGTTGATCATCTGTGCCTACCGGCCATCTTCGAGTGGACAAGCCTTCACTCGAACGCAGCCAAGCGCTCGCTTGCTTGGCAGGAGGCCGTACGCCTTGGCATTTCCCTGCCCGATCGCCTGGCCAACTTCACGCGGGGCGAAGTCGACGTGGCGTTGCGCCCGCGAAGCTGGTGTTCGAGCGTGGTCGTGCCTGGCCTCGTCGGCCTGCTTGAATCGTCTGACAGCGGCCATCAAGAGGCGAGCTCGGCCGCTTCCGAGGTCTTGTGCCGGCTCGATCGAGCAGCGTTCCTATTCCCTGCAGCCGAGCAAGTTCCGGGCCACGACGGTCACCACAGCTTCTGGCCGTCCCTGCTCTTGGCATGTCGGCGAAGCAGGGCGCTTCAGGCCGAGGCTGATTTTCAGCGGACTCTCTTGCCCACGAGCTTCGCCCGCGCATGGCTTGCGTCCGTCGCGACCTGTCCGGTTGCAGTCCAAGAGCGCATCGACGAAAGCCTGTTTGCCTACATCGACAGCATATTCAAGTTGCGCGATCTCCAACACTTGGTCGCTCCTCAGGAGCGCGGCAGTCCAGGCAAGCAAGGAGCGACCCTCTCGAGCGGCGAGAGCGCTGACCTGCTCGCGGCCGCATGCCGACTGCTCCTGTCATTCTACCCGACAGCAGACCCGTCGCGCGACGCCGACCGAGGCGATGCAGCCAAAGACGACAACGAGGGGGACGATGAGGTCTGCGATTGGGACGAACGAAGCGTCCTGCGCGTCTTTGAGAGGGTCGCGCTGGCAGGGAACAGTTCAATGGGCCTGCTGTCCCTCCATTTTGGCCCTGCCCTCGGATGGCTGTTCAGCACATGGTTGAGGTGCGAGCAGGAGCAAGCGCTGCAGCGGGATGGCGACGACGATCTCATCCACAGTGCGCTCGAGGCCACGATCAAGGCCTGGTCGCATCGTGGTCGAGTGCGGGCCGCCGGCCTGGATCAGGAGCAATGTAAGTCTTTGCTCGCGAGACCGGCCTGCCCTCCGTCGCCAAACTTTGCACTGACCCTTGCAGCGTCGCTGGTCCCGTCCATCCCAATTCTTCGGCAGATCTGACATTGCTCCTGATCGGCCTGCTAGCCTCGCAAGCGCCCGCTTCCTCCACGATGATGCATCTGGCGAGCTCTGCGAGCTTCCTGGACGGTGTTTCGTGCCACCTCGAGCACGCAGACCCCCACGTCCGCCGCACGGGAATGCTGGTCGCCGAGATCGTCAGCGCGAAATCAAAGGCGGGGGCATCGACGTCAAAAGCAGAGGCCAAGGCGCTCAACTTTGGCCGAGCGGTCTGGGACGGCATTGGTCAAGGCAAGGAAGAGGCCCGGGTCTTGCGGGCGCTGCACGATGCCTGGCCGACTCACTGCCGTGTCATCGATCAACACCTCCAGCCCCTAAAGCCCGTCGAAGCGTTGGACCGTTGCCTGCAAGCCTTTGGCCTGGGCTCGACAAACGAGGTCAGCCCAGCTATCAGGCTGCAGAACGCGGCTGCCACTCTGGCATCGGAACCTAGAGCCGCGCCGCGCACGGTCCGGCTTCCGGTTCTCCAGCCTCCTCCGCCCCGCTCGTCGGCACCTGCAGCAACCGGGAAAGCTCGTTCGAGGCCATTGATCACGCCGCTGTCCGACGACGAGAGTCAGGGGAAAGACGATCAGCCGCTGCAGATGTTTTCATCGCCAAGGAAAGGTCCCAGATCTGCGCTACGCCAACGGCACGCCGATCGAGTATCCGACAGCTCCTCGGGCGACGACAACTCTTCGGACGATGACGACGATGACGCCGGCGACGGTCGGCGAGATGAGCAGGGGCAGCGCGACGAGGTGACCCGCCTCGCTGCCGACCTCTCGGGCATGGCGCACGACGAGGCCGCCAAGCTGACGCGCACTGCCGGACTAGACGGCTCCTCGCCCTCGGTCGCCGCCGACGCGTTTGATGCAACGCGCGAGGCGCACGCGCCGGACTTTACACGGAAAAAGGGGCTGCGGCCGCCGGTCTACATCAACGAGCTGGCGCCGCTCCTCAAGAGTGACGACCGCGCCTCGATCAAGCTGGGGCTCAAGAGCTGCGCCGCCCTCGTGAGACGCAAGGCGGGCTGGGGCGGCGAGGTAGAGGAAAACGCCGTCGACCTGGCGTTTGCCCTGTGCGGGCTGCACAACAACCTGAGCATCCGCCGCCTCGACGAGCGGCGCACCGAGGCTCTCGCGGCCCTCTTTGTCGCCTGCCCGCGCACCGTCGGCGGGTGCCTGACCGAGCAGTTTTTCAACCACCAGTACTCGATGGTGCAGAAGCTGTCGATGCTCAACGCGCTGGCACAGGGCGCCATGGAATTGTCGGGTCGCACGGCGTCGAGCTTCGGTGCGGGCGCGGATGCGGGTTTTGGCGCCGTGGCCGAGACGATGACGCACGCTGCCATCGACCGGGCGAGGCAAGAGGGCGAAAAGCACGTCCCTGCCATCCAAAGGTCCAAGAACCTCTCCATCGGCCAGCCAACGTCCCGACGCGGTGCGATGGTGACGCCCATCGCTTCATCGTCCTCGATGTCCACCTCGGCATCCGGTGCAGCGGTACGGGCGGCGGCGGCGGCGGCGATGCAGCAGCGCAACGACTTCGCCAGGCTGGCGCCGCAGGTTGTGCCGTCGCTGCTGCTGCGCTTCTCGGCGCACCTGGCCGATTTTCAGGAGCGCAGGGCGCGGAGACGGGCGGGCGGCTACGCCGGCATCAATGTGTCTGGCCTGTTTTCGCCGACGCTCGTCTCTGCCCTCTTTGACACGCTCGCGGTCCTCGTCGACCTCTCGACGGGCAGCGATCAGTTCCGCACGACGCTCTCGTCGACGACGCTCGAGACGTGCCTCGCTGTGCTGTGCGACCCCGTCGCCTTTTCCCCGTCATCGTCCTCGTACCGCACCAGCAGCAGCAGCAAGAGCGGCGGCATCCTTGGCGGCGACCACGACAATGGCGAGGGCGACGGCGCGCGCGATTCGGGACGGACGAGGATCCACGCCTCGGCCTTCGCACTCGCCCTCATCGTCCTGGATCGAAACGCGCAGCAGGACGCGTGCGCCACGCTCTCGTCGCGCGCCCCTCACCTCGTCGAGGCCCTGGCAAACGTGGCCGAGACGACCTTTACCCTCGCCGAGTCGCGCCGCCGCGCCGCTGACGGCACCGCCGCCAACAGGGCCGTCGGCAGCGACGAGGCCAGGCTCGCCCGCAGCTGCGCGGCCATCCTCCTCGTCCTCGACGAGGTGCGCGAAAAGCGCCAGGCCGAGCTGCGTCAACGCCTCGGTGTCGTTGGCTTCTGAACGACGCCGCGCCGTTCGGACGGTCGGCCGACGCGGGGATGCGGGTCAGGGTTTAATAAGTCGTCATGGGCGGCATGGTGGTGGCGGTGGTGGTGGACGGGGAGGGAGACGAGCGATACAGATACAGGGGCGATCAAGCCCAGCGGAAGGAAGGTTGCGCAACGCGACGAGCAGGGTGGAAGGGGCGCAACGAGGAACGACGAGGCAGCGACGGGTGGCGTCGGGCCTCTTCTACCGCCGCTGCCGCCGCCGCCGCCGCCATCGCCACCACCGCGACCCACCGCTCACGTCTTTCGCTTCTTGCTCTTGCCGCCGCCTGCGGCGACCGACGGCGTCGAGCCGCGCGAGCTGGCCCCGCCGCCGTTGCCGTTGGCATGGACGTCGGACGCTCGTTTCTGCAGCCAGACGGGACAGCGACGACAGGAGGGCAAAGGGGGGAGGCAGCGCTTTCTGCGTCAGTCTACCTTTATCGACGCCGCATGGGGAACTCTGTCGCTCCGCGACCCGCGAGAGCCGCCAAAGCGCGGGCTCGCTCACCTTGCCGCTCTTGCTCTCCTCGTCGTCCTTCATGATGAGGAGGAGCAGGGTGTTGCACCGCCTGCCAATCTCCTGGGGCGTGCGCGACTTGATGAACCAGTCGAATCGGAAGCCGGGAAAGGCGGCGGCGTCGCGCTTGATCTTTTCGTACACGTCCTCCTCCTTGAGGCCGTACTCTGCCAGCTTGACGAGGAGGAAGCGGTCCTCCTCCTCGCTGTAGCTCTTGCCCTTGGCCTGGCCGTAGGTGAGCTTCATCTGCGTCAGGGGGGCGCGGTACGAGTTGACGCGCTTCTTGAGGATCGACTCCTGCGCCTGCTGCTTGGCCAGCTTGGCCTCGCCCTCCTCGATGCGCGTAATCAGCCGCTCGTGGTCGGCCACCTCCGGGTACCGCTCCCAAAACACGCGCGAGTACTCGCGCACCTCGCGCTCCGTCTTGCTGCCCTCGGGCATCTCGGCCGTGATGGCCGAGATGGCCTTGCGGCCGTAGCGCTCGCACCCCTTGATGAACGACTGGAAGTCGCGCCGCGTCCACTCGGAAAAGCCCTCGGCCGCCAGCTGCTCCTTTTCCTCCTGCTCGGCCTCGGTCAGGGGCTCGGCCGCGTCGATGACGGCCTGCTCGTCGGCGCGCTCGCGCTCGACGTCGTCGGCCGTCTCGTCGTCCTTTGGCTCCCGCAGCGGCACCTTGTAGTCGATGCTGCGCCGGTAGGCCGCCGTCTCGCGGTCCTGCAACTCGATGAGCCGCTGCGGGTAGAACTGGAAGTCGTTGACGTTGATCTGCCGCGGCGCCCGCGGCGCCCTGGGCTGCGCCGGCTTGGCCGTGACGCGCATCGCGTCGCGGTAGTAGCTGTCGACCGAGTAGTTTTGCTTGCGCTCGCGCTTGCTCGGCTCGATCCACAGCTGGCCCAGCGGCTTGCGCTCGGAAAAGTCGTTGCCCTCCCAGTTGTAGACGGTGTCGCTCTTGAAGTTGTTGAGGTCGTCGAGGTTGAGCGACTGGTACTTTTGCTGGAGCTTCTGGGTGCGCTCCTCGCCGCGCGAGATGATGGCGTCGATGTCGTCGTTGACCAGCAGGTCGTCCTTGGACTTGATGATCTTCTCGGCGCCGTGCTGGATCATGTCGACCAGGTCCTCCTTGCTCTGCTGCGCCTTTTGCTGCTGCTGCGCCCGGTTCTGCTGGATGACGAGCTGGTCGAGGCGCAGCTTCTGCGCCGCCCGCTCCAAGATGCGTTCCTCGATGGCGTGCTCGGTGACGAAGCGGAAGACGTAGACCTGCTTGGTCTGGCCGATGCGGTGGGCGCGGTCCATGGCCTGCAGGTCCGCCTGCGGGTTCCAGTCCGAGTCAAACAGGACCACAATGTCGGCCGTGGTGAGGTTGATGCCCAGCCCGCCGGCGCGCGTCGTCAGCAGGAAGACGAATTTCTCGCTGCCGGGACGGTTGTACTCGTCGATGGCCGCCACGCGGTCCTCGTGCGCCGTGTTGCCGTCGATCCGGCAGTACTCGTACTCGCGGAAGAGGCAGTAGTCCTCGAGGATGTCGAGCATCCGGCTCATCTGCGAAAAGATGAGGACGCGCGAGCCCTTCTCCTTCATGCTCTTGAGCAGCTTGTCGAGGATGACCATCTTGCCCGCGTTGTCGACGAGGTGCTCGTCGGTCGTAAACGGCGGGCCGGGCTCGGCGCCATCAAAGAGGTACGGGTGGTTGCAGCACTTGCGCAGCTGCATGACGATGTTGAGCAGCCGCGTCTTGCCCTCCTTCTTGCCCACGCCGCCGTTGACGGCGTCAATGTCCTTTTCGAGGATCGACTTGTACCACTTGCGCTGCATCTCGGTGAGGCCGACGAAGACGTTGACCTCCTTCTTGGGCAGCAGGCTCTTCTCGACGTCGGCCTTGACGCGGCGCAGCAGGAAGGGGCGCAGAACCTTGTGCAGCTGCTGAATGACTTGGTCCTGGTTCTCGTCGCCCTTGCCTTTGAACCACGATTCGAAGTCTTCCGAGTTGGAGAAGACGTCGGGCTGTCGGGTGCGCAGAGGTCGGATGAGGCGGTTGGGAATGGGGCGGAGCGGAGCACAGCAGAGGAGCGAGGGCGAGGATGGTTCTGTCAGCCGCAATCTGTCGGGTCGCGCGGCAAGCGGCCTAGGGCCCCGGCACTCACCAGCAGGAAGTTGAGCAAGCTCCACAGCTCCATGAGGTTGTTCTGCAGCGGCGTGCCGGTGATGAGGAGCCGGCTGCGCGAGTTGAAGGCGCGCACGATCTGCGAGAGCATCGAATCGACGTTCTTGATGCGATGCGCCTCGTCGATGACAATGTACTCCCACGACAGCTTCTTGAGAGCCGACTTTTCGCGCAGGCACATCTCGTAGGTGGTGATGAGGACGTCAAAGTCCTGGGTGAGGAGGTGGTCCTGGATCACCTTGGTGCGGTCCTCCTTGGTGCCCTGCATCGTGATGACGTTGAACCCGGGCACCCAGCGCTCAAACTCGCGGCGCCAGTTGTCGAGCGTCGACTTGGGCACCACGACGAGGTGGAAGCCGGGCGTGTCGCGGAAGTTTTTGAGGTAACCGAGAAACGAGATCGTCTGGAGCGTCTTGCCCAGGCCCATCTCGTCTGCCAGGATGCCGTTGATGCCGTTGTGGTAGAGGGAAATCATCCAGTTGAGGCCCTGGACCTGGTAGTCGCGCATCTTGCCGCCCTTGACGTAGGCGGGGCTCTCGTTGAAGACAAAGGCGCCCTCCTCGGCCTCGTCGCCCTCCTTGAGCAGCTCCTCGTCCTCCTCCTTTTCCGTCTTTCTCCTGCGGTTGTCGCCGCTCCTCTTGCCCTTCTTCTTGGACTGCTCCTGCGACTCCTCGAGCATCTTTGCGAACTCTGGGTCGCGCCCTTTTTTGATGTCGATGAAGTGCTGGAAGAGCTCAGTCTGCCCGAGGAGGTAGCTGAATCGCTTCATGCTGTCGGCCAGCTTCGACTTAGACATTTCCTCGCGCGTGTTTGCCAGGTCCTCGTTCTGCGCCGCCCGCTTTACCTGGTCGCGCCTCCGGGCAGCCGACCTCTCTGCCTTTTCGCGCTCCTTTTCCATCTGCCTGGCCGTCTTTGTTGGCGAGCCCATCTGGACGTCGCCGTCATCGTCGATCTCGTCGTCGTCGTCGTCGTCGTCAGAACGCTGCTCGGCGTCCGAGTCTGGCGAGCGGCTCTGCACCCTTGACGCCGAGGCCGAGGCCGAGGGAGCTCGGCTGAGGTCGGCGCTCATGGGGACGTAGTCGGAGAGCTTGTCCTGGTCGTCCCACGCCTTGCCATTCTGCTGGAGGATGGGCGGGATGGCGGACGGCTTTGCGCCGTTTCTCGGCGTGTCAGTCATGGTCACGGTCGATGCTGGGTAGGGTAGGGCAGAGCGGCGGCACGAGGGTGGGCGAAGAGCCGGCTCTCGGGGCAGGTGCAGAGCGGTGTATCTCCGAGGACCGAGTGCACGTCAGAGGTGGTGGCAGAGGCGAGCTGAGGTGGGCAGAATGCGAAGCGTAGAAGAGTGAATGCGAGTGGCCGGGGTCGTGAGCCCAGCAGTGTGGTTGAAGAGGTGCGGGTGTAGGAGGTCTCGAGGAGGGTGGTGGACGTGGAAGCGAGCGTGTGCGAGTGGGTGGAAGGGCAAGCGGACAGGCGGGAGGTTGAGGAGAGGGATGGAGGCTGTCGGTAAATAATGAAGTAGACGAGGTGATGGCCGTGGTGGTGGTGGTGGTGATGGCGACGAATGAGCAGGCAAGCGAGACGAGGGGCGGAATGGATTTTTCTCTCGACCCGGCGCACGTCCAAGCAGGGTCGGCGAACGTAGGGGGGGTTGGTGCGCACAACCAGGCAGGCAGGTAGGCGGGGGGCGGCGGCGAGGTCGAGGAGCGTGGAGGCGGCCAGGACGAGGGGAGCGGCAGCGAAATGAGCGCGCCGCCACGAGCGAGCCGCGCCGCCTGTCCGCCTGTGCGCCGGACCGCCCGATTTCGACTTTCTTCCTGGCGGGGAGGCAGGCCAGGCCCGCCCGTGTCAACGCGTCTGGCCGAGTTGAGAGGTCTCCTTGGCCGCGCCCCCTCGCGTCCGCGTTGACGACCAGCGGGAGGGCCGCCGTCGTTTCGGCTCGGCTCCGAGGTGGACCCGTCTCGATGATGAGCAAAAGTGGAGGTTGCGGGTTGGGCCGAGCAGGTTGAGGGCCGGCCGGCCTGCCTCTCTCTGACGTTGCACCGCCTGCAGTTCTTGGCAAACGCACAATTGGCCCCTCTGCTCGCCTCCTCTGTCTGTCTGTCTCTCTCTCCCTCTCTCCCCATCCGTCCCTCTTGCCTTTAGCGACGTCAATCAACGCCCCTCTATCGATAGGCACGCAGCCTGGACCAGCACCGCCCTCCCCTTCGCCGCAGCACAAAGCAGCACAGCCCGCTCGCACGCAAGTCGGCTCAAGTAGCCTCCCAAAGTACCGCTCCACCCATCCCCCTTCTCGTCTTGTCGTCACTCCGCGCCACCACTACGCCCGCTTCATCGACCAGCCTCCTCGTTCAGATACCCTCACCACCCCGTCTCGATACCACTCCAGCCTGCCCGCATCCATGGTGCTCTCCACTTCCTCCTCGACGGCCACCATCCCCAACGTGGTGGCCACCCACCTCGTCGGCGAGCGCACCCTCCAGATCGCACGCGGTCAGCTCACCCTCCAGCCCACCCCGCACGCCATGGCCAAGGCGTCCGCCGCCGCTTCCCCAACGACCTCGCCAAACAAGATGGGTGCCGATGCCGCCCTCCCGTCCCATCATGGCCAGACCGACGCCAGCATCGACCCCAACCTGCCCATCCTCCTCCTCTCGGTGGGCAACGCCACCTGGCCCCTCTACCCGAGCACCCTCTTTGGCACCCACGACAAGGACGAGACCCTCTACACCTTCCTCGCCGAAATGGCGCCCCCAGAGGACCTAGAGGACAGCGGCGCCGTCGGAGCTGCCGCCACAGAGCAGCAAAAGGACGCAGTCATGCAGCCTTCCGACGCAGTGCCCGCCGGTGGTCAGCAATCAGCTGGCCCAGGTGCAGCAGCATCGAGCGAGGCCGCCCTGCCCGCGACTAAGGCCAGCTCCTCCGCCACCTGGATCCGCCTCACGCTCCCTGCCGCCGTCTGCGCGTACAAGTCGCCTGTCCAGACAGGCAGGGACAAGATGGAGCAGATGCTCATCAAGCACGGCCTCCTCAAGGACGGCTTCGCCGCCGCCGCCGACGAAATCGCAAAGAGCGCCCAGCAGTCGGGCCAGCAGTCTGCCGACCAGATCCGCGGTCGCACAGAGAGCTACCTCGCCTCGAACCCCGCCACCGCCTTTCCAGCCTCGTTCTCCAGCACCACCCGGAGAGCCGCTTCCGGGGCGGCTGCGGGTACCGCCACTGCCGCTTCGTACACCCACGCCGCTTCCGAGGCCATCTCGGATCTGGCCCACAGCGCCGGTGCGGCGGTCGGCAAGGCTTTCGCTTGGACGCGCAGAGCATCGCACGACCACAGTGCATCAACCTCATCTGCCGGCGACGAAGAGGCGGCAGCGGGAGGCGGAGCGGCCGCTGGAGCCGGAGCGGGGGCGGGAGGTGGCGCCCGTGTCGAACGTCGCCCCTCGACCGGCCGACGCATCTCGCTAGAACGATTCGGCTTTGGACGATCCAAGAGCCCCAACCCGCACAGCGCAGCCGCGACGGCCTCGCCTCCTCCGGCGCCTTCGTCTCAGCAACAGCCGCAGCAGCAGCAGCAGCAGCAGCAGGAGCCGCACCGACCGCCGACGCTGCACACGTCAAACCCAAACTCGCAGCTCTCGACAATCCAGTCGCTCGGAGAGGCCGCCGAGGGTATAGCCGCCGGCACCATGGCCACCGGATCGGCCACGCTCGAGTCGATGCACAAGGTCATCGAGCACGACCACGGCCCGCAGGCGGCCGCCGTGGCGGGCGATGCCGGAGCCGCCGCCGCCAACACTGCCCAGGTCGGCTGGGACGCCACCGTGCTCACCTCGACCGTCGCGCACGGCACCATGGCCGGAAAGGGCGCCTACGACCACGCGGGCAAGCCCTAGCGGCCGGCGGGCGGGTGCAGGCCGATTAATGTCTCTGCTCTGATCTCGAGCACCGTGTCCTCCCCTCTCCGTATTTTTCCGTATCTCGTTAATCTCTCGTCGGTCGTCCAGTGTCGAAAGGGAAACAGGTTCGTCTATTGCGTGTTCAAAAGGGGTCCGCGTCTGTGGTCGAGCGTCGTCGGAGGACGACTCAGGTAGGGCGGCGAGCCAGTCGGGTCGAGGAGGGGGTCCGCAGCCGTCGAGCTCCGAGTCTACCAGAGACTTGCTTGCTCCGGCTCAGGATGTAGCCGGGCGCCGCGCTGTGCCGCACCAGGCTCACTTCTGGGCGAGCTCGCGGTACTCGACGAGCCGGAGCAGGTTGCGCTGGAGCATGGCGATGGTCGTCTTGCCAATGGCGGGGAGGTACATGCCGGCGCGGGTGCGCACGTCCTTTTCAAAGTTCTTTTCGCTGGAAAAGTTGACGCACGTCGCACCGGGGCGGATCCAGTCGGTGGGGATCTTGTACGACGCCGCGGGCACGCCAGAGATGACGACGTCCGAGGCGCGGATGCACTCCTCGGCCGTGAGCGCGCAGGCGCGCACGACGTGGTGCGGGCGC